ACATGTGAGCTCCAAGTGGGTCAAAGTGCTTTTATGGACTATAAATGGACCTGAAAGTGGACCTAAGACTACCATGAAAGACAGTGTGTGCAGACTACTGGAGAGAGTGCGCCACATAAAACACATAAACAGACTGTTTCCTGCTGTGTGTGTTTGTGTGTATGTGCGCGGGTGTGTTTGTGCTCGTGTGTTGGTGTGTTGTCGTCACACTTTTGAACAGAGTAATTAATGGGGGCACAAAGTCTGCTGACAACAGCTGGTGAAGTGAGAGCGAGGGAAGGGGATTGTGTGCGTGCGTGTGTTTGATTTGTGTACAAATGTGTGTGTGTGTGTGTGTGTGTGTGTGTGTGTGTGTGTGTGTGTGTGTGTGTGTGTGTGTGTGTGTGTGTGTGTGTGTGTGTGTGTGTGTAACCCTGCCCCCTGGTGAAGTGCTAGTCAACAAGCACAGCTGTTAAATGGATAAGTGTGTTAAGTTGTAGAGGAGATGAATCTCAATAAGCTATGATTAGTTGCTGCTCAGAGCCGAGGCCATCAATGGAGCACGAGTGTAACTGGTGTAATACACTGTATTTACTACCTGTCAGTGCATATGGCTGAGTAAGGGATCATTTATGGTGTGCCTGAGATTATGCTAAATAAATCCTCTTTGGGCTGACAGGACCCCTAAGGAGATTTCATTTGTACAATGTTCTGCTCACATTATCCCATTATACATGATCCCACTCTCACTTATTACCTGACTACTTACTACAAATCAGTGCTAACCCAAAGATGACTTTACTGGTAATATTATAACCGTGATGTTAGTCCTATCAGCCTTCTAGCAGGACATGGTAACATGAGCCATCATATCTTAATTCTTGATAGCATAAGTGGACTAAATGGACAATGTTTACATCAATTTTCACCCATCAGTTTTGACTAATCCCATTTTCACACCACTAGGAGCAACCAGCAGGAGCATCTGGGGTCAAATGTCTTTCCCAAGGACACTTCAGCATGTGGACAGCGGGACCTGGGATTGAACCCCTGACTATATTTAAATTTGTGGCTAAGTTAAAACATTAAACTCTCTTCTAACAGATGCTGAAAATATTTTCTTTTCTCTCATCACTACTAAAGCCCATTGTTATGCAGTTTGAAGAAGCTTCATTTCCGTTTTCTTCATTTTTTTGATGTCTCTTTACTCAGCATTTCTGTATTTCAATATCCGTTGCCGTGTCTGCATGGTTGTTAGTGCCTCCTGTTCTTCTCTCAGCTGGTGATTGGTCAGTCATTAACCACCAACCTCAAGTTTTTGCTCTCCTAATAGATTGTGGATAATATTATAGACATCATCTAATCTGTTGACTGATGTTGACTGAAGTGAAATCAGGAATTTGATAACTATGCCTGTCTTCTTTCCATGGTGCAGTATGATGTGATGAGGTTTTCTCTGGCATTGCTTTTGGTACCCTGAAATAAAACCTTCATTAGGGAATTTTGACCAATAAGAATCAAGTATTTAACACAGTCAGGTACTTAAAAGCCGGATGATGAAATCACTTAGTGCACTCGACCAAAACTTGCCAGTAGAGTGTCTTTGAATCAGTTAAAAGTTAACACTTACAGACAAACAAGATTTTTTTGTTGTGAAGCTGTAAGGGAAAGTATTGTTTTTAGGTTTGGGAAAACAGTGTAAAAATTCCCAATGTAAAGCTGAAACTTCAATGAGGATTAATCACTTAATTTTAGATCACTAAAACCTCTCTCCTCTGTCCTCTATCTGATTAAAGCTGAGAGCAAAAACAGAACAGAGAGCATTCAAGACAGAAACACGGACAGAGGATTGGAGCCAGCTGGTTTTTTAGGTAAGTGAGTTAGAGTCAGAGGGAGGTGAAGGAGAGCGAGGGGCGGGGGGGAACATCAGTCTGTCTGCATTTATTATCCAGACGGACCATTAGCTAATGAAGCTCCCGTCTGAGATACACTTACTACAACGACAGACTGCACTAACACAGTGACACACTGCATCACTTAACAAAACACTACAAAAAGACTACAACAAAACTCTGTTACTCGAACACAACATGACAGTGCATTACTTCAAAACATGCTGCATCACTATCTAACTCTCTGCTTAAACTGATCTGAATGTTAGATAAAATGAGTAAACACAAGCTGTAATGAGTCTGTTAACATGAGTTGACAAGAGTTCACGTTCCCTCGCTCAAAAATGCCTCTCATCAGGGTCTCATCCTGTCATCTCCACCTTTCATCGGCTGTTAACTGTCTTGAATATTTTTCTGCTGTCTGGCCTGTTCAGACTTGATGAAGAAATTTTAATAGGCAGAAAATTTCCTGAGAAAGTCAAGGTGAGACTTTGAGTTTGCTATTTTGACACATGCATCCAAACCTGAAAATTTGCAAAAACGTTTTGTTGTTGTTGTTCTAATGTAAATTCAACTTTCAACTTGATTTGAAGTAGAGGATGTGGAGCGTGAACCACACTCTACGATTTGCCTGCGCCTTTGACTTTGGTTCATTCAAAATCTTCCCAAATGCTTTTTTTCTTCTCCAGCTAAGTTAGTTTTACTTGTTTGGGGGGATTTCCCTGAAGCAAACATGGGGATAGACTTCCTGTCTAGACAGCATGTTGGATCTGATCAGGTCAAGAAGATGAACAAAGAACAAGCCAGACCTCTCTGAATTAAAATAACTGTGTCTAATTCTATTTCCTCAGATTTTCACAGCTCTTAAGTCACATAACCACCTTCCTATCACACCATCATGGACACTGGACAATTTAAAATAACAATTTTAATTGAGGCTCTCTTTTTCTAATTTGTGCTTCTCTTTTCATATTTTTTTGTCTTCATTCGTCTCATGGGCCAGGCTTTGACGATCATCTTTTTCTTCCATCTTTAGAGAGTTTTAATGAAAGTGTGAGTGGGATGGGAGTTACCTCACCTGGAGTTTTCTGACAAATGAAATAAAGTAGCTGCAAGGTTACACCATCTCCTGATTTCTTACTGATGATGAAACTGGATGTAAGCCCTTCGCTGCTCTCTCTCTCTCTCTCTCTCTCTCTCTCTCTCTTTGTGTTTGTGTGTGTATGTAGACTGTGAAGGATCAGCTCTATTAGGTGCTTTCCTGAGCACTTGAAAGTATGAGTACTCCCTCTGGTGCTAGACTGCAGAAAATACAAAAGTCAAGATGGTTATGTTTGACAGTGTGTGTGAGGGTATTCTGGCACAGGGGTTGAAGTTGGGGTAGGGTGTTGGAACTGTTTACCCCTGGTCCCTGTGGAGGAAATAGGCCCTCAATAGACTAGAAACCTAGTTTTTGCCAGAGTAATTTTTGTTTTTAAGTTATGACTTAAAAGTATAGAAAAATAGTCTGAATAAATATTATCAAGAAGAAATGAAATAAAAATAAAGTAAGCAGCCTACTGTCATGTACTGTAATAAAAACTACATAAAAATGAAAAAAAAAAAGCAGTACATTAATGCAAGAGGGAGGAGAGATGGCACAGACTGTAGGCTGTGAATTCTGGTCCTTACAGGGTACTTTCTGCATAGATCTTAAAAGTCCTGGATCCTACCACTACCATTTGAATTGAATCACCATAGTCTTCCAGCAAGCAGATAGTCACGGGCTCGTAAATCTTGTCACAAGGAGCAGAGGGTTCAAATCCCAACAGTGACTAACTTATATGAAGCTAGTGTGGACTGGATCATTCCACTGGGGTCCAAACCATGCCTCTGAATAAACACAGTGCAATAAAAAGAAAATAAACCTTAACAAATAAAAGCACTTAAATAGCACCCCTGTTTGGTGGTAAATACAAATGCACCAGGCAGGCAGGATTTGGGTTCAAATCCCTGCAGGAGGCAGGGCACATCTTTAATGGCTGGGATGTTCTGGCTTCACAAGTGCAAACTTCACCATGATTTTCAATCACCACCATCAGCAGTGCATGGGAAGAAATGTTTTCTTCACACTGTAGTTTGAGCTGTTATGTTGAACTACCATAATCAAACTGTGACATGTGGTGTTGGGGTGAAAAAATCTGATTCTCAGTGCAATCTGGGATCAAACACATGACAGGGACTTGTGGGCAAAGAAATCAATGATTTTCTCAGACTGAACCTTGGCTGATGATTGTTAACCGCTGTAATCAAATAGTTCAATTATGAGACCTTTAAAGCAAGATCAACTAGGCTAACCTGTAGTGTAGTGGTGAAAGCTACGGCCTCGAAAGATACTGGGTTGACATCCTGAAGTGGTGATTTGTCGTTGCTGTAAAGTAGTACAATCCTGTATTACTAAACACTGTGGCCTTAATTGTTCTTTTTTAATTTTTTTTATCAACTCATAATACAAGAAGAGTCATAAAAGCAATTATGATCGGGCACTCCTGTGGTGCAGTGGTAAAGCCTGCTGCTCCTTAATGCGAAGATCCAAGGTTCAAATTCAGAACAGAGGCTTTCCATGTGAAGCAGAAAATTGAATACTTTACTCACACTGCAGTTTGAGAAAATGATAACCTCAAGTCTTGGGAAATGAATACTAAACATAAGTGCTAAATACTGCATTTCTCCAAGTGTCCTCTTGAGTTTGGCTGCAGAAACAATGAAAGACAGGCCTGTAGTGTGGTAACTCTTTCCTAATTCATAAATATTATCTATATTACTGTGAAGGGACATCAAGTACACTTTGCTAGTCAGACATTTGACCCATAACCTTAAAATTAAAATTTCTGGCATCATTCTTAATTTTTGTGAGTCGTGCTAACCTTTTTATTCCAAAGAAAAATAGTTCAAATTCCGTATTCTCAGCCTGCTTACTTTATTTCTCCTGTGTTTCTTCTTTCCTCCCTGGTGTGTCAATTATACTGTATATGAGCTGTATATATATATATATATATGTATGTATATATAAAATAAGGCAAAGAGAGAGAAGAGTCAGACACAGAAACAGGGAGAGAGAGGGGGGACAAATAGGCAGTGAGAGAGTGCGCAGACGCACTGTGTTCAGGGAGGGTGAGACATAAATGGGAGATGGAGAGGAAGGGGGAGGAGGAGAAGAAGAGAGAGGGAGAGTGTGTTAGCATAATGGGATTGAGGGAGTGAGGGAGGAGCAGAGTGAAACAGAGCTGAGCTTCAGCTCATCTTAAGAAGGGAGGTTAGCTCCTCTGCTAGCCACACAAACACACACATACACATACATACATACACTCACATACACACAAACAAACACACACTCATACAAAGCTAACGAAGCTAGCAGAGCAAACAGTGGGAGAGCAGCAGAGAGACTGCAGAGCAGCAGCCATGACAGACACCGGTGAGTAAATACATATATAACATTTGTGTGTGTGTGTGTGTGTGTGTGTGTGTGTGTGTGTGTGTGTGTGTGTGTGTGTGTCATATGAGTGATGACGTATAATACCAGCTGTGCTTTCTGGCATCACTTGACAGTGTGTGTGAAGACAAGACATGATAGATAGATAGATAGATAGATAGATAGATAGATAGATAGATAGATAGATAGATAGATAGATAGAATCACTAATTAAAGATGCCTTTTCTTCTCTGTAAAAGGATGCAGGGTTTGACATGCAATTTACATGGAGTAGTAATTCAGTATTACACCGATGAAGGCAAGAAATACCAGTTAATTTTCTAGAGCAGGTCTCTGTTGAGTCCTGTCAGAGAACAAACCTTAAACCTCTCTCAGTAATCACAGACACATGACCTTTTTTATTCCTCACTGTATAACATTATCTTATTTTAATTAAGTGTAATTAATTAAATTCGCAAATAATTCAATTTCAGTCAGCATCATGTTTAAGCTGCTTTGATGAGTTTTAAGTTGGTTATGTAACAGACTGTAACGAATTTTAATACCTCTATATAATCCATAAACACATCAGGACCATCATTTGCCAGATTTGATAATTCTTTACAGTTATTATTGATGCCTTGAAGCATTAGTCACAGTCTTATTTTTAATATTTTTGTTTAAAGACTATTTACAAATGAACAGGACAAACTGGCTTAGTGATGAGAGGAACTACTTTCTCCACTAGGGGGCACAATCTAACTCCCGTTTGTATAACTTTAAAAAAAATATATTTTATTTTAGACATATTTTTTAAAGGGAGATCTAAAACTAATACCTACAGTTGACATAGTCAAATATTATACTCACACTTTACTAACAAAAGCCTATGCGAAATACTTATAAAATATATATTTTTTAATATTCCTCACATGTTGAGTTTTCTATAAATATTAGCACTAAGTCGCAGCTTTTTTTGTGTTACCTTCCTGTCGCTTTATTGTTAGCTTGTTTTACGATCTTCTCTGATGAATCAGGGCCTGTGTCCACTATTTCCCTTGAAAAACCTATAATTTTAATAACTTCAGCTATCAGTGGCCAAAACGCAAGAACACCGATGCCTGCACGAATGCTGTCTCCTCCTGCTGTTTTGTTACCATGCCAACAGCTCTCTGACTTGAAAAAATATCTAATTTACCAAACACCGCCAAACAAATAATAGTCACCTCCCCTTGACCAGCCAATCAAAAAACAAAGGAGTGGGATTTCCATGCTTGTTTTATCAATGGCAGTGGATAAACTAGACCCTCATCTGTGAGGTGTATAGTTTTCTTTCATTCTTTAATTCACATGAAAAATTAAGCAAACTTTATTGCTAGGGAAGCTGTAGTGCTGTGGGATAACTACTACAACCTAACAACCACGAGTGCCAGTGACAAGTAGGGCTGCAGCGATACGCAAATTTCATGATATGATACAATACACTTCACAATATTCAGCTCACAATGTGATATAAATCACGATGTTCAGCCAGCATGCGTTACCTTGTCCTGGTGGTAATGTTTTAGGTGCATTCGTAGGTTGGTTGTATTTTCAGAAAATTTCATGCTTTTTACACAGCGAGCAGGAGTGCCAGGTGGAACAAGAGGGATTTAAATGAGACTAAATGTATCGAAACTCGTGGCTGAAAAATCGATACTTTCTGGAAAACAAGCCCCAGTGACAAGTGCTCCGACAATCAGGTTGTGGCGCTGCTAGTGCAAAAACGCCATCAGTGGACACAGGCCCTCGACCAAGAGCAAAGACTGTTTGGCTTTGTTTTGTAAACTTACCTCCTTTTTAGCCTTACTCCTGCTCACAGATATGCATACTTCTTGCTCCAGAGAACCAGGATGGCAACACCAGAAAATATCAAACTGCATCGTTCATAACGACAGTCAGTAAAAGGATCAGTTATGTCTGGATGACTCGCTTAATTATCCACAAAGAATCCTCTGCCTGCCCAAAGTTTTATTTAAACATGATTATAAACCACAGATGATGTTAAATGCTGAGTGCACTTCTCAAACACATAAGGGACTTTCTAATTCTGGGTCAGGCACAAGCTGTAAGGGGTTTATTTAACCAGTGCTGGCTCTGTCGTAAAACATTTCTGCTTACCTGGGTTCAAACCTTTAATCCTCCATCTGTAAGGCTGATCAATAGTTCATTTTCCAACGCCTGATCGATCCAATCACAGTTTACAGTGTCATTATACCATTTAAAGATACGTGTCAAACGAAAAGGTAATATTAATGACCTGATACAGAATATTCTTGTTGTACTTTTCAAAGGCATTTTATAACCTTAGTCTGTTTGCATAACAATTCCATCAACTTAAAATAATTTAGATTCAGGCTGAAATTTCCTCCTGTGGGTTCCTGGAAAATGACAAAAAAACGTCCTCCTCATACACCCGTTCGCAGTTAAAACTTCTATTTCTGGAGTCTGATAAAAAAAAAAAGGCAGACAGACTAATAATAAAGCTGTCAGCATGACAAACACACAGAGCAAAATAGCTAAATAACTCTGCTTTTGTCGTTGAATTTAAAGTTAAAATATTTCAGGCATTTGCTACTCTGTGTGGAGTGATAATATGTCTCTCTAAGAAAAACTCCAACCAGGCGGAGGAATGAACCTGGATTAAAAGCCAAATAACAGAGTCATCACTGATTTAGTCTTGTCCTCAGTTGATTGAACCCATAATTTATTGATTTATTGATATGACATTAACATAACACTTGATGATAATCGCAGCGCTTCATCAACAGATCGCTGAAACAGCTCAGGAACAGTGAACATACAATGAACACACAAACACACACACACAGACGTAGCAGGTTGTCTGACAGCAGATTTCACTCTGAGCTATTTTCATTCAGCTTACAAGAGATTATCAGTGGTGATCACCATCTGCAGGTCTGTGTGTCTGCGTGTGTGTGTGTGTGTGTCTGTGTCTGTGTTAATTAGAGCTACAGCACATGTATGAAAAGTAGCTCCAAAGGTTTGTGAGCTTGACTTCACGCTAGCAGTGATTTCCTACAATAAATGAATGCTATGTTTTCGTGAAGGTTCATATTTTTGAAGTGGATGAATAGGGTATTGATCATTTAGAAGAGCACCAGAAAGAAACTGTTAAATAAAGCAGAGATCCTTCAGACAAGGACTGTGTGGGCTGTTAAGTGTCAGGAGCTGAGCTACATCCTGCTGCAGACAGGGTCATGGGAGACATTTTCTGTAGACATTTTAGAAAGACCAGCCTTGGAAATTATTTCAGCTGAAGGTACAGCAATATTTTTAGTTATTTTAACACTTCACCTCTCCTGATCTGTGTTTCTATCGCCCTTTTCAATTAAATAATAAAAGAAAACAAACATATTCAGTGAATCTTCTTATTAGACATCCTGCCCTAGTGAATATTTCTGTGTTTGTGTGTGCATGTGTGCTTGTTTCCTGTGTGTTCAGCCATATTTCTGCACTTATGTGGATGTTTGTTTCTGAATATGCTTGTCTTTGTGTGTGTTTGTGTGCATGTGTTGCAGATGCCCTGAGTGATGCCTTGCAGGCTCTCAGCGTGAGCACGGAGCTGATTGAAGAGGAGCTGAAGCCTCACCTGGACACGGTGCTTACTGCTCTGCTGGAGAAGAGTAAGATCATTGATCGACGGATTGATTAGTATTCCTTCCTCTCATGTTTGGACAGGTGTGTTTGTTGCTCTGCTGTGTATAATCAGGTGTGTTCATCACCCACAGAGAAAGATGCTGCAGTGGAGATTTCTAGAAGTGGGATTCTCCCGACACTGGCTCAGGCGTTAGAGATGAAGGGCAGTCTGAGCTGTCAGGTGGCGCTGGTGGTGGCGGAAATGGCCAGAGAAGGTGCTTTTTTTTTTTTTTCAATTTATTGCCCTTTTAATCAAAGAGAAAGGTTCCAGGGAGAAGCAATATTTCATTTCACAGAGAGCACAGATAAATTCTCTGTTCAGGTTTATAATGCTGTTGGTCTGACAGTAAAGTTTCTGGCTGAAATGCCGGTCAGGAGGAACTACTCTCCTCATTTTAATCAACCTGATTTATTTCTGTGTTTGCATGTTCACTGTGTTAAATAGTGACCCCAAATTGCCTGTTGGTGTAAACTTAAGTGTGATTTTTGTCTCTGTGTGTCACCCTGTCATTGACAAGTGACCTATTATCGAAGTAACTTGAATTAGATCCACCATCCTGACCCTAAAGAGATAAATAACAGAAATAATATTAACTAGAGCCTGCGTTAGAAATCATGCAACTATACTCTCGATTTCTTTTGTTATGTTAACCACGCTTCCTCTCACTGTTGAGTGTTTTGTCCTTTCATTTTTTTTTCCATTTTTAGCCATATCTGAGCTCCACTTTTATCCTGTTAACACATTTTGACAAAGTAGATGATGAAATCACTAAAAGCTGAAATTTTAAAGATTGATGTCTTCCAGTAGAGGTAGCCTGCTGAGGCCAGCACTACCTCTGTCATAACAAGGACTGCGGTAGGACGACTGTGTCAAGATGAGCTACATGCTGCTGAGTGAGCCCTTTCTTTGCTGGGTCCACTTGTTCGGCTCCTCTGAAAACCTCAAGTCATTACTTCCCAAACATCCATTTAAAAAGACAAAGGGTCATGCACTTCATCAGACTTTTTTGCTTTATCTCGACCTTGCCCTCACATAAACCTGCTGCAAGCTAGCCTCAATTCCTACATCTCCCCAGGTTTAGTCTTTATGCTTCATAAATGTGTGGGGTCATTGAAGTTTCTCAGTCTTTATGGGGAGCCCTCTGCCATAGTCCTCTCCTCAATGTCTTGTGGTGTGCTGCAGGGCTGTGTTCTGGGCTGCAGAAGCTTTTCTCCTCGGTGCTGCCTCGAAGACAAATCAATCAGTTTAGAAACAGCGTATCATCTGCATAAAGATGAATCAAAACTGTGCTTTGTGTTTGTGTTGTAGCTTCAGTGAGGGAGCCGTGCATCGAGGCTGGTCTGGTAAAGGTTCTGGTTCCTTATCTGAACAGCAATGACCCGGAGATGCTGCTGAATACTGGAAGAGCCATCGGACGGATCTGCTTTGATAACTGTGAGTGTGTCTGTCTATAGTGAGTAACTTTGTATGTGTAAAGTTAGCGGCTTCAGTGAAGGGTTTTCAATAATAATGTTACAATTTCACATTTTGATCAAATTCAATTCATTTCCTTCCATGCAACTTTGAAATGTTGGTCAATCTTTGCCTCTTTTCCTCTAAATGTGAGAAATCACTCCATTTCAGCTACAGACATTGACACAATTGTCACCAAACTTGCTTCTTTGGTGTTCATAACACCAATCCTCTTTGGTTTTGAGTGTTGTATAAACATCAGAGAGAATCATTTCACACTGCTGTGTACTGTGTAGTTGATATCTTTGAAATGCTGCTTGCCAGAGACCTCCTCTCCTTTTTGTTGTGCAGCAGACTGCTGAGCTGTTTTTATAATGCCTCTGTGTTGTCTCAAAACTGCTTGACAGTCTCTGATCAATAGTTAATTTCATCTTGTGATTATTTATCCATTTTGGAAATGTAAGCTGTCCAGGCCTGGATACAGTTGCAAGTCAGTGCTGATTTCACAGAGAAATTGTATAGTGGGTAATAAGCTTAACTCAGTGGATTTATACGTCTACAGCACCTGAAATAACAAGTAGAGTAGCATAAATCTGACAGATAACATGCAGATTATTCCTAAAATTTGCACACAATGCAAACTCTGTCTGTTTATCTTGCTGTCTTGCACTGGATGTGAAACTGGTTACTCAAAAAGAGTTTCATAACGTTGCAGCATTACTTCTTTTTCCAAAGGCCTTTAAAGAGGCATTTTAGGCTGCAGCAATCAAAGAAAAAGCCTGTGAAATCATAGAGGGGCTGATTTATATGAGGCTACAGGGAAACAGTGAGAGAGTGAAAGTCTCTCTGAAGCTTTACTATAAGGCTTTATCTGCATATGCAGACTCATCTTCAGTCGTGATCATTTAAATATGATGAGCTGTGTGTTGGTTATATTCCCTCATCAGCGAGATGATTAAAAGTTAAACAGAAAGAGGAGATGCTGAAGGGCTATTAAGTATCAGTGCCTCTGGATAAGCATGTACATGCAAACAAAGTATAAGTGAATTATCTTTAACTCTGTGTGGGGTATCTCTTCCCCTCACTGTCTGAACCAGCATACCAACAGGACCAGCTGGTCCAGAGCGGTGTAATCCCCAGACTGGTGACCATCATCAGGGACTATCCAGAGAACGATCCACTGGTCAATGTGTGTCTGTTGGCTCTTTGCAACCTGGCTGACATAGGTGAGAATTACTTTATTATTACTTTATTTATGGGCAGCAGTAGCTCAGGAGGTAGAGTGGTCGTCCCATAACTGAAGGGTTGGCAGTTTGATTCCCCCCGATCCTTAATCTGTCTGTTGTGTCCTTGGGCAAGACACTTAAAGGGATATTCCGGCATAAAATTAATTTAGCGTCAAACACACCGTAACACAGAGTTAGACACCCCCTCGAGAGATGAATATTGCAGGAATCAGGGAAGAACAGTTATGATCATTTCTTTATCATTTTCTTGAAGTAATAATCATCATATTTATCATTTTGCACTGCAGATGTGATAGTTCTTCTGCCTTAGCGTCTCGGTCTGTTTGCATTTCCGTGAAGAAATGATCATAAATGTTCTTCCTTGAGCTGCGTCACCCCGCTTGAGTCGATGATGGACTGGTCGAGTTGTGTTTAGTCTCTTTGCTAAAGAAATCAGGCAAAGTTAAAAAGATGTTTGGTGGCTAGTACTATGGCTGGGGCCCTATATGTACTGTTGGTGAAATTAGGTGCTGTTCTGAGCATCAGTTGTGGCTATAGAGTGGCTTTTTGGTTTAGGTTTGTGTGTGGCTTTTGAGACCACTGTGCATTGCTATCGTTTGGTCATTACTAAAGTTAGTTTAACTACAAAAGCAAGCGGTCGACAGCATTCATCTCTCGAGGCGGTGTCTAACATTGTGTCACGGTACGTTTGACCCTAAATTAATTTTACGCCAGAATACCCCTTCAACCCACCTTGCTCACAGTGTGTGTCCTCCACCGGTGTATGATTGTGAGTGTTGTGTGGTGGGGTTTGGAGAGGTGGAGTCTACCCCAGGACTACTAAGGTAGTTTACCACCACCAGGGTGTGACTATGTGAGCAAATGAATGTTGTATCCGATGTAAAGTGCTTTGAGGGTCTCTGAGAAACTGCTATAGGAAATCTGATGCATTATTTACTATCTTTACATATGTCAACATAGTCTTTAAAGTAGCCTAAATTGATGGTTGCCAAATATGGAAGGTGAGGCTGTGTTAGTGTCTCCAAAGAGGGTCAGGATCATAGGGGGCTAAGGCCCATTCATGGTCCTGGAGAATGAAGGCTTGCCAGTGTAGTCCAATCCAACAGTCAAGCAATTTTATTTCATTGGATCGGAACCAGCTCTGTTGGCCAATTATGTGCACAAATGTTATTTTTGTAGATGGTGTGGATCTGTCTGTAGGTAAATCACCACCTTGTGTGTTTGCAGATTCTGCACGAGAGGCTCTGGCAGACCAGCATGTTGCAGAAGTTCTGACGTTTCAGCTGAAACGAGCGCCTGATGCTGAACGTCGACATGTGATACTGGAGATACTGGGATCCCTGGGAGAGAGTGGTGAGACCAACTGGTTAAAAGACAGCGATGAAATTACCCTGGTTCCCTGTCAGAAGAGACCCTTTGTTTCTCTGTTTCCTCCTATCACTCTCTCTCTCACAATCACACAAACACATGCATACACACTGCACCCTGAGATCCTGTGGGCTGAAGGGAACAATCAGCATGGTGACAAGGGACAACCCTGACAGAGGCCAACACACACACACACACACACATGTCTGACTTTGTGCTGAATATGCAAAGCTCTCTCTTAGGTCATACAGGGATTGAGTGGCTCATAGTAACAGCCCTGTAACTCCATATTTCTGCATGAGACACTGAGAGACAAAGTTCATAAGCCTTCTTCATGTCCACAAAACACATTTAACATGTGCAGTGTTCGTTGCTATAACCCCATCATGATCAAACTATCAAGCCACACTCTTGTCTTAACAGATACACTGAAGCTGCAGTTTGCAGAGTCAGGAGTACCAGAGGCTCTGTCAGAAATGATCCGGGCTCTGCAGGGGGGGTCTGACCCTCATGATCTCTGCAGCATCAAGATCGCCTCCAACCTCATAGTGTCCCTGCTTCTAGGAGGTGAGTGTGATTGTCTTAATGTGCACAAGCAGCTACTGTTAATTTTTTAATGTAAAATGAAATTTGTTGGAAACATCGACTGCAGCAGTTGATAGGGGGCAACAAACAGGCTGCAGAGACATCAGTTTAGGAAAATTGATGCATTATGAAAGTAAGGATTGGACAGTGACCGGAAAAATGCTTTTAGTTAAAGGTAACTGACTGGCAGTATAATGTAGCCCTTAAAAGAACGAACAAACACACTGCACTCAAACTGAAGTTAAACCCAAACTCTAAACACCACCTAGCTCTTGACCAGGTTGGAAGTGCAGACAATGTTTTCTGAGACCGATGCGCCTCTGTTATTTCATTAGTTTGTTTTGTGTAACAGACAAAAAGGCATAAAATCATCCTCAGCAGGAGTGGTGATGTGTTTCTGTCATTCTATGTGTGGCTTTACAGATGACTCCATGCAGAAGTGTTTTGGTGAAGGGTCAGGTCTGGTGTATCAGGATGTTCTGTCGTGGTTGCAAAGCTCAAACACTCAACTGCAGCTCTCTGGAGCTCTCGCCATCGCCAACTTTGCCAGAAATGGTGAGAAAAAACAACAAAACCCAAATCAAAGAGATCGCTGTGAATTCACACAAACTTTTAAGAGATGCCCTTGACATGAAGCATGTTACTGAAAACACTTCCTGCTTTCGGTATTACTTTGAGTAAACAGTCCAAAATAGGTCTTAATTCTCTTTTAGAGGGCTAAAAACATGGTTTTGTCCAAGGGTGTGAGAGATATGTTGTCTGTGATATTATCTTAATTGTTGTTTCAAGGATGTGTAAAATGACAACATTGAGTTTATCTATCCGTTTTGCATAATTTGAATATGTGCAGAACCAAAGTAATTCAGTTTAAAGGTTCCCACATGAACTGAATAAATAAAATACCCCAAAATATTGAGATACATATTTTTGCATGAACACAAACTTCTGTTTTCCTCAAGAGAGAGCTGGAATCATTGTTTAAAAGTTAATAAGAACTGCTTGTAAACATAGAAGAACATGCAAGGAAATTTCCTTCAGGAGGTGGTGGAGACCAAATCAGAGCTAAAACAGATATGCACTAAACTCCAGAGAACTTCTCAGGATGAGCTGCATGTGTGAACCAAGCACAGAATGAAGCCAACCAAGAGGTAAAGATGTACCTAAATCTGCAGTTCCCAGAGTGTCCATGAGGAGGGTGCAAGTGCACTGGAAACCACATACACACCCATTCAAAAGAGCTCCTCTTTAAAGCAAGAATAAACAGGTTTACAGCCCAACACAGGAAGGGATTTGGTCCAAAAAGTTTATTTCTCTTTCCTCACTCACTAGAGGTGAATTTATTTATAAGCCATTGCCTTTAAAAATATCAAGGTTATGAATTTGGCGTAGATAGTGGTATGGTTGATTGATTGATGGGCACTGTGACTGTTTGTAAAAAGGACTCTCAACTCTTCCTCTTTGTGTCTTGTCATGTTTGCTTCTTGTTTGTTGAATAAGGTTAGAGAAAAGTAAGACATTCTGATTAGTTGGATTACACATGAGAGGAATGAGTGTGACCCTCTCTCAACTTTGCAAAAAAATGTTTGTTGGATTAACTTACAAAGTAAAAACTCCTCAAGTGCATACATCATATTTGTGTTTAATGAAAAATTGCTGTTACGAAAAAAAAACAAAAAAACATTTAAGGTCTTCTTTAAGTGATGGTCATCAGATACAGCTCAGTCTGATCTAAAGCTAAAGCTAACTTGTGTTTCTGTTTTTCTATCAGACAGTAACTGCTTGAAGATGCTGGACCTCGGCGTGGTTCCTCACATCCTGACTCTATTAGAGAAACATGTTGATGAAGGAGACGTATCTGTTCAACATGCTGGATTGAGCGCACTCAGAAACCTTGCCATCCCTGGTAATGACATAGAAGATTTACCATACAATCTGAGAAATCCCAAAACTCATCAACATGCGCACAATATTGCGCCTCTGTGTGTTTTTTTCAGCCACAAACAAAGTGCGGATGTTGGAGGACGGAGTCACAGAGAGGATAAAGACGCTGCTGCGCTCAGACATGCCTCCAGTTCAGTTCAAACTCCTGGGGACGTTACGGATGATGGTGGATGGACAAGGTAGTATAATAATATACAATGGTGCATGAAGTGGTCTCAGGTGTTTCATCTGGTAACAGTAGAAGTGAAATCAGATGAAACATATCAGCATTTTTCTTCTTCCAGACAGGGATGTTAAAGCTTTAGATACTGCCATCTGTTGGGACCAGTGCAGTACTACATTACAAGCTATTTCTATAAAACCAAATCAAAAGAAGTCATCTCTGGACACAAAGATAAGGTCTAGACGGTTCTCTTTATAAGGTTATTTACAAACCAGCATTGATTAACCATGAGCAAGAAAAACTTCTCAAAACAGGCTCTTTGTATCACACTCATGGTGAACAGCCATCTGTCGTGACTGTAAAGGCCAAGACAAAAACAGACAGAGCAAAAACAGATAGAGTGGGTACACACTAAGAGGGGATTTGGCCTATGCTGGGCTCCAACCTCACAACTGACAAAAGTAGGCAAAGTCCTGAATTTATGATGATCATGTAGATTATCCTGGCAGATTTTTCTGTGGTGTGAGGGAAAATTATAGCCGACCATCAGGAAGCTGAGAAATAAGAGAAATACAGAATTTGCATGTCTAATGAATTCATTTTTCCCGGCGGCGGGTCAGAGGAGGCAGCGCTGGTTCTGGGCAGAGACACTGTGCTGCTCACTCGGGTCATGGAGTGGTGTGAAGCCAAAGATCACACAGGAGTCAGAGGAGAAGCCAGCCGCCTACTCGCTGCTCTGATAAGACACAGCCGCAGCGCCGTGAGTTCATCCAGGCCGTACAACACACTCACACACAGATACTTATGTTGACAATTCACTCATGCAGACAAAGCAGAGGCACCGTGATTTCACCCCCACAAGTTAATATACACACATACACGCACACGCACACACACACACACACACACGCACGCACGCACGCACGCACGCAGAGGCATAAATATAGACTGGAAATCTGTGTCCTCTCTATTAGAACTGTATGACACACTGAACACATGAAAACATATAATTGAGAACACACAGACACACTGAACATGAACACAAATACACACAGTCACAAACACACACACAAACACACACACACATACTCCCTGAACGTCTGATTTCCTCCCTGACAGGAAGTCGTGCGTGCTGTAGCAAAAGCAGATGGGGTCCGACATCTTATCTCCATGGCAACAAGTGAGCACGTAATAATGCAGAACGAGGCCCTGGTTGCCATGGCAATAGCATCTGCCATCGACATAGGTAAAAGTTTCTAAATAAAAAGAAAATGCGTGATACATTTTTTGAGAACCAACATTACAGTATCTGTGGAGGTGATTGCTCTCATTCTTCAAGGCCAAGTTGCACTGTTTAATTTTAATATATCTGTGTGTATGTGTTTGTGAACATTACAGACTCAATGAAGGATGCATTCAGGGATGCTCAGTTGCTTCCTCTCTTGAAGAAGATGTTGGAAGATCCAGTTGGAGCGGTGGAAGTGAAGTTCAGTGCATTAGGTCTCATCTGCAGCCTGGCTAACAGCAGTAAGTTTGTATTTCTTTTGTGGCTTCTTTAGAAACAGCAGACAGTAAATAGAGTACACAACTGGGAAGAGTATGGAAAGTGTCATACAGTAGCAAAAGGCTGCAGGTTGGAATAGATTGCCAGCTTTTCGACTGTTTACTGGCAGTCATAACTGTCTTTTTTGGAAAATGAAATGTTGATAGTTACATACATTAATACTCAGAGTAATTGGTTAACAGTGGTGGTCCTTTGCATTGGTTGCCACACACCATAACACAGAGGGAGGCCAAAGAAGAAGCAGCAGCTGCAAATGAGCTATCTAGTGGCCCTTCGGAGACGACTGAGAACTTTTAAAAAGTGTTGTCAAAGATTGTGCCTTTCCCAGTTCATGATTAAATGATCATGTCTTCAATCGCTCTTTGACCTGTTTTCATTCAGCTCTGCAACTTACAGTTTACTTATGAAGTATGATGAAAACGTATTTAAGCTAAAGCATCAAAAATAATCCTATTATGAGTCATTGTCATCTCCAAAGAAGTCTCTTTCACTTGGCTTGTAATGTTTCATAAATTTGAACACCATAAGAGATGGATTGAAAAGATTGAATTGAAACAAAGTTGCTCTTCCCGTCTTGTCATTCTTCAATTTGACAGATTTTTACATCTACGTTTTTTTCCAGAATATCATGACAATATTGTTGTTATGATAATTAATGCCACAATAATTGTATGATAAATAATAACATGATTTTGTACATGAGGCATATAAGTTTCACTGCTAAACTTCACTTGTACTCCAGTAACATTAAATCCCTTTAATATTGTTGACAATTTAAAGCATTTGTTTTTATTCAGCACTGAAACATGAACATCTTCTGATCAGTTGTTAGACCTGTGGCCATTAACTATAATGTAAACATAAATAACTTTGCACTTTGGGTCAGTGAGGTTAAAAAACCAACACTGTATGATAGTCATACCAAAGGCTTCATGGTTTCCTATTTTTGAGATAACAATGGAAAACCGTATCTATCAATTAGTAAATCACTTTCATTTGAACAAAACTAGCTTCAATCTGAAGTTATCTTTAGAGAGGTCTGACTGAACTTGTAAAAATATTCTGTAAACTCTGATTGTTTCTGTCTAAATGATGCATGAAATGAAATTTTAAAGAAATCAAAATATTTTCGTTTGTTTTGTTTCTTTTTTTTGCCTTTTTTTCATTTTCTGGATCTGACAGAAGAGACGATGCAACATTCATAGTGTATATAACACACATGTAGAGATTCTTATCTGCACAATTATACACACATTCTTTTTCTTTCTTCCTCAGGTGTGATGAAGGATGAGCTGAACTCTGTGGACATGAAGGAGAGTCTCAGTAAACTGACAGATCACAGCAGTAGTAAACTTTCCTCCCAGGCCAGCTCCATACTGGCCATTCTCTGTGACACCAGTTAAACCAGTGCGAAGCATCAAAGAAACCCATTTGCAGTTCGGAAATATTCATTCATCCAGTGACAAACTTTGATAACAACAATCTAAATGCACAAACTATAAAACATATTTAACCGCACTTAAAAACAAATCAAAGGTTCTTGGGCAATAATCACCAATCAAAGACATGCAGATCTTCATTTCCTCCTGAGCTTCAGCTCCATCTCATGAGCTTCTCTAGTGGGCGGAATTTGCTCAGCTGTCATGAATATAATCGTTAGAAGACAAAAAAGCAGAACTATGTTCATAAAAAGGATGTCTTACAAAGATGATGTGACATAGCTGAACTAAATATGTTCAATTTCTCCAGCAATGTAAAACTTAAATGAAACTTACCATTTGACTTAAAGTGTTTCAAGTAAAGGAAAACATGAATGACTCCAGTCACAAATAAGACAATAAGATTGTAGATAAAGGCTGAATGTAAGGTGTGTTTGGCTTTCTCAGTATAGTTTTAAAGCCAAGTTGTAAAATGTTCCTTAAGATTGGTGCGAAAGCTGATCTAAAGACCTTCTGTAAAACCAGCTCAACAAACACCATCACATAATTTTAAATTGTTCTGGTTTGATTCATCACTGGCACTTTGTTTAAAAAAGCAATAAATCTGATTCAAATAACTGATACTCAGACTTTTATGGTTAACTGGTGAATTTTGAGTATTTTAAATATTCTAAGTCTTAATAACCAGCGTTGAACTTAACATACAGTCTTAAATTTAATGTCAGTATCTGTTTGTCACTTTGGTGAGCATAAACTTATTCTAAAGCTGTTTTAACCAAATGTTTGTCAGTCCTGCCCGAAGGTGTCAGGCTGAAGCACAATAATGAGCAATTATTCAGCTGTGGTGTGGGGTAGGTTAGAAGGTCACATGTTTATTGTTGTGTACACTAAGTTTATTGTTGCAGTGGTGAAACATAGGAATATATGATTAAACAAAAGACTGTTAGACTTAAATAAACAGTGTTGTCAATGTAGCCAAAGAAAGGATTATTAGTTTCCATTTGGGACTTAATATGATTTGAGAAAAAGAGAAGTTTTGTTGGATGTAAACTCCCCCGAGCCTGAAGTTGTCGCAATAAAACAGCTGGTTAGTGAGGGTTTAGTAATCAAAGACTTAAAGGTTTTACAATAACTCAGAATGATAGTGACCATCATCAGGAACTTTCAGCAAAATTTAAATAAATATTGTCAAGATGATATAAATAATTTCTGACTGCTCTTCTCAAACAAAGGAGGATAAAATCAAAGTACCAAGTACATAAAAGTCCCAGTTTTATTTGTCAAAACTAACTGACAGAAAAATAAACACAGATTTTCAGTCTGGCTGAAGAATCTTCCATAAGGACAATACAATATGAGGACGCCATAAGCTGAGCTGCTACCATTACACATTTGTACATATTGTACAGTACACACAAGAAATCCAATACAGTTTGTGCACAATCATTAAAGTTACAGTATGTTTACAGATGGCTACTCAGAGATAAGGGTGAAAACAAGCATGTGTGTTTTAACAGAACTAAAAGTGAATGATGTGATAACATGAAGAAACAGGTGTCAAGTGTTTCATATAATATCTGTATTAAAATATATTGAGTCTACAAAAATATGTATCATTTAACATTTATATTTGACATTTTGTTGTCTTTGTTCTACACAGAGCAGAATAAAGTTATGCAACTTTTTCCCCCAGCTGGTTTCTTATGAATATTTTTTTTTTATTGATGTTTGTCCAGATATCTACTGAACAGGAATGAGACACTTCTTCTACCAATGCTGTGTTTATACAGTCATAGTTCTTAGTGGTGTCCAAGAACTGAGATAGATCTGCGAGTCTTTTTATGCAGTATCTGCCATAAAGGGGACCGAGTTAGTAATTCATATATTTAAAAAAATATTGTACCAGTGTTTTCAAACCTAACAGTTCCAAGAACTTTTTTTCCATAATGATGGCAGTGATTTAAGTGACAGAAGTCAGTACTAGACAGTTGTTGGAGCTAGAAGATGCTGTGACAGGAGCAGTGTGCTTGTGTGTGATTGGGTTCAAGAATATAACTGAGTCTAAAGGAAGTTGTATAAGCTTAGATGTAGGTCTACTGCATCTAACCTGTTTGTATTACTCTGACTGTATGTAGCTTTTCAACTAACCAGTGGTGTTGGGGTGATTTAGAGCTGATTTAGGTGGTGCAGCCTATGTAAGCTCAGCAGACCAAGCCAAGAAGAACTAAACAGATAATTGTAACTAATTACTAATTTCCAGTTACTTGCTCAACATTAGTCCAGATAAAGTGATTTGAACTCTTGTTAGCCGGTTTACTGATATTTGGTTTTGATGAATTGCAGTCATGTTTTGGGATTGGGTCTATATGAGCTGTCTGCAATGGGGGCTGGTGTCAAATTCTATGGGATTTCTTTTCTATCCAAAGGGGAATCTAAGGTTTGTCATGAAAAAAGCTTCAGCAAAGGCTCTGGCTTGGCATCTGGACTGGGAACACCTTGGAACCCACCAGTAAAAGCTAAAAGAGACTGCGAGGAAGAGGATTGTCTGGGTCTTTCTTAGCCTGGTGCAACTGTGACCAACTTTATGTCATGACTATAAACATATTTCAGGGTTTCCAGATCTTGCATCATAATTGTGAGAAGGAGCCTTACTTCAGAAGTACATAAAATGGGTTCAAATACTATTGTTTTGGAGCTGAACCTGAGGCCAAACTAACTCTTGCTCATTGGCTCACGGCAGTGCTTTTGTTTCAGACCATCCGGTAAATAACAGTTTTTAAAGATCACAAAGATAGTAAAGTCAACAAAAACATTTCCTCAATGTTGAAGAAGCTTCCCTGCAAGTCTTCAATGTCTACAATTTGGGAAAAGATACCATGCTGAATAGCCCTTAACAGTGAGAGTGAATAAATACAGGACATTTGTGAACATCTTTTTATTAGTAATCACATTTTACCATTGCTTCTCCAGTCATATCCATTTTTTTTTGTATTCCCACTGGTGCATTATGACTTTAGGCCAGCAGATGGCCACCAATGATTTCCTTAGCAGGTCAGCCCTTCAAGCATGTGGCGTTATTAAATTTTTATTTATCACATTTTAATCCTTACCCTTTTGCGCCTGTGGCCCATTTTTTATTGTTTTTGGTCTCAGTAGCCAATCAATAAATATCCCCTCTCATAAAAAAATACTCTGACAAATGCAGAGCTGCTTCCCTGTGCATGCTGTAACCAGCTGACATTGTGCTGTGTTAGATTCAAATCAGGTGAATAATATTTTTTAAATAATGATTTAGGAGTTAGAAGTTAGCACAGTAAAAACTTGTAGCATGCAGTTTTTCCCAGCCTGCTACCCTGAGTTAATCCTTCTTTAAATTCAGCTTTCTACACCAAACAACACAAAAAATGTCAAACATAAGTTATAGTAGAAATATCCTTACAAATTACATACTTAAAACTACAGCAAAAACAGTACATTTTGAGTTTTTATACAACGTGAATGTTACTACCGAGTGAGCTAAAAGACAGGAGCCATCAGGTTGTTTGAGACCACATCTCTCCACCTTGCTTTACTGCATGTTTTGAATTCTTTAAGGAGGCTTTCCAACCCGGATATTGATTTTATAAGAAGAGAAATACCATGTGAAAAAATAAACGTGTAAGTCTCTTAAATATTGTGACAGCTGTGTCAAAAGTTACAGATGATGTTCCAGGTGAGGGTGGATGAAGGTAATAGGGGATCTTCTTTCCACTGAAGTCAGGTCATGGTTTGCTGGTCTTTGAACCTCATTTTTCTTTAGCAGTTTCCTCCGCCACTTCCATCAGATTATCGAATAAATCTGAAACACAACAAAAGACATTCAGACAGACAATTACAAGTAGAGTTAGTAAAAGTCGGACTGTTATTTGCTATTAATATTTAAGGGTCTGGGGGTGTTCGTGACTCTGTTTTTGCTTTTAATATTGTTGCTCAGTCAACCTGTCATGACATTTGGCTGTATGTAAAAACATTGTTATTCAATCATCACCAACTTTGCTTTTCAACCCTCTCCGGTAAACAGATATCTTAATATGAATACAGTATCTGTAAGTGTGTAACAAGCTAGGCGTTTCTGTTTGTGTTAAGTAGAAACATTAAATGTTGTTATCATTATTGTTAGTAAAGATACTTTTAGTTAAAACTGAACCATTTGGAGTCGGTTCACAAAGATGTTGGAGGGATTGTGACCCATTAGCTGAGCTTAAAGGACACACAGCTACTCCAACACTGTCTCAGGATACAGCAATCATTAAAAGTAGCCTAAAAGAAAGTTGCAAATTAAGCTAGCTAAGTTTGGCTCTCTTCCCCGCTCCCCATCACTAATATAACAGACTTTCAATTCAGGTCAAATGGGCTTTATTGGCACTCACACTTTTGAGAATGTCAACTGTCACAAAATAGGGTGACCATACTCTGACTTCCCAAAAAGAGGACACGACTATGTGGGGGCGGAGTCACAGAGTTGCACGCAGTTAATTTTGAGAGTTTTTGGGTCAGATCGAGTGTCTTTTACACACTTCTAACTCAGTAAGTCCAAGTTTTCTTTTATCAGCACATGTGTTTAAGTGTTGAGTCTTCCATCAGATTTTAGTCCCTACATGTTACTGAACAAATACATGAAAGGCTGCCAAGATGTGATTAGACTATCCAGAATATGGAGCAACACAGATGGAAACAAGAACCAAACTACACCCAAAAGTTCTTCATAGCAGCTCTTGTATAGGATCAAAAAGAGTGAAAACTCAAAACTGCCATGTGTCACTCAAGTAAAGCTGAGGGGCTCTTTTAGTTGTAAAAAAATCAGTGTCAAATATCTGTCTTGAGTGGAAATGGCAGAAAATGTTCTCCACGAAATGGTAGTTTAAGTAGTTTATGTAGAAAATGTCCTTTGTCTCATCCACTTTTAAGAGGATGCTTTCATTTGTGTTTAGGTGTAAATCTCTGAGTAAGTTAAGAAGCTAACAATGGACTTAAATCTGAAGAATAAATAAAGGCGCCTGTTTTTAAAAATGTATTTCAACTGATCCTTTTGTTTGTCTATCTGGACCTTACAGCTCTATATACGTACCTCCATCATTTACTCCTGTACTTGGAATTTTAGCCCCTCCGCTGAATCCTCCACCTCCTCCTTGGTTTCCTGCTAAAGATTGTCCCCCATCACCTCCAGCACCGCCCTGCTCGCTGAAGAGACCATCAAATCCTCTTTTCTTATCTTTGTCCTCATCGTCATCTTTGTCAAAGATTTTTGAGAAGAACCCTCCCTTCTCCTCTTCCTTCTTCTTGTCATCTCCAAAAGAGAAAAGCCCTCCGTTGTCCTTGTCTCTGTCTTTATCCTTGTCACCTCCAAACATTGAGAGGATTCCTCCTTTCTTATCATCTTCATCTTTGTCTTTGTCCTTATCACCGAGACCCAGCGCGTTCTTCACTGCATCCTCCACAATATCTCCTGCAGAAAAAAAAACATCAACAAACATCATGTCTTTGCGTGTTTGACTGAATTCAATGCAGAGGGGATTATCTTGGTATTGTTCTCAGATTAAAGATAAGAATTATTTGTTATCAATTTTTTTGTATTTCGCCTGAACTCATATCACCTGATATTCTGTTTTGACAGTCAAATTCTGTGATTACTAATAATTACACTGCCAGCAAGCAAAGTTAGGATGACATGTAAAGCATTAAATTAAACATTCAATAAAATCATTAAAGCCCTTTTTATTATGAAAATAGAGCAAAGACAACAAATCAAATGTTGAATCTTAAAAAACTTTCTATGAACAATAGTATTTTGAATTTGATGCCAGCAGCACATTTCAAGGCGGTTGGTGTAGAGACATGTTTAAGAATGAGTAATATCAGTTCTTCTTTCAGATTCTGTCAATGCTTTGGGACCAAAGAGACAAGTTCCCAGAGTTCTTGCCTGGTTGAAGATTTCAAGCAAATATTTTTAGTAGGGGACAAGGTGGAACTGCAGGGAGGCCTGTTTAACACCCTCCCCCCATGTGCTTCCCTCCTGTGCATGTGTTGGCATGGAGGGTCCGTGAGTACTATTCAAAACCTTAGTGGAGCAAGCGTTCATCGCCCCAACAGCCAGACTGCACTGGTGCTGACTTACTGTGCAGGTGTCACTGCTTTGTTCAAGAAACACAAATCACCAAAAATCTGGTAACACTTCATATGAACCCATCATAAGCACATCAATAAAGCATTATTAATGCATGAATATGGCTTTATAACAACCGTTATGAGTGACAATAAGCATTCGTAACATTTTACAACAATGTTTGTAACATGTTTTTGGCAGTGAGCATAATGCCTTATAAAAGGTATGATTTATAATGCATGATACCTAAATGCAAAAAAAATATATAACTTCACAAACTGTGTTACTGTAAATGTTGAACCTCTTTCCAGTCTGGAAAAATGCAAGTTCATTTTATTTTACTTTTCTGATACTGAGGTGAATTATGATTACAAGGAGGAAACTAATGAGATTGTAAAAATCAGTTCAAAAATAAAAAGATATCTACAATAAAAGCCACCAAATAACATTAGGCACATTCTCATGCTAAGGATAATTTCTTTTGAGTCTGCTGATAGGTTATTTCTGTAAACTGCTAATTACTAATGCAAAATGCAACCATTGTTACATGAAGTTCTTGCTTCCCAGAGTCCACTCACTGATCCTTCGTGGAGTCTGTCCCTGCACCTTCTAAAGTAGTGCCATATTATAGAGAGAATGAGGATACATGAGAAAGTGGTATTAGTAAAAGTGGTAAAATTTTGCTCAATGGCTATGTTAAAAAAAACAAAAAACATTTTAGCTATAGCATGTTACTCACCTACAGATGAAAACTATGGCTTTCAAATTTGTGCAATTTGCCACCAATTTAGTTAAGCTGACTTACTTTTGGAAGCCAAAGCTAATCCATAGACAGCACATTGCTTCTAGTGGTAAAAGTGGTAAATTTTGCTCAATGGCCATGTTAAAAAAAAAACAAAAAACAAAAAAAACAGCTTGCACAAGTCCTATCAAACTATTTGTTGTGTTGTATGATATCGCCTCATATCATGTCATGTACTTTTCTCAGAGAGAGAGAGAAAAAGGGAAACTGTGCCTGCACTGTCACAGACTGGGCGGCTCTGACTATGACACACATGCAGAAACTCTGGACAGGACAGATGATAGAGACCAGTTGGCCCCATGTGAAAGCCTTGGGTGTGCATAAGAAGGGTGTGAGATGAAAACCAGGCAGAAGCACAAAACATACACAATACCACTTAAAAACAGCTTTCTATCAAAAGTCATTATTTCTCAAAATGTAGATGTTTTTTCAATGAGAAAATGCTGACTGGGGATTAATGTTTGAAAAGATGGAAACCACACCCACACTCAACAGGATGACGTGGGTACCCACTCATGCCAGGGTTGGCATATTTTATCAATGTATTGAATGGCTCTTAATATCAAATGTGTAATAAAATGGTATGTTATTGTAGGTTTGTAAAGTTTCACTCTTGACTGTTCTACTTTAACCCTAAAAAATTAGCACTTCTTGCAATTAACCAGATTTAAAAGTACACAGAACTGTTTCAGCTAACAAACTAAAAGAGTAATGTAATGGTAGTGTCAACATTATTAGCACAGTCATTTCAATTGAAAATAAGAACAATACAGTATTAAACTCTACATCAAGCAGCTGATCACATCTCAGTCCTAATCCTGAACTTCACTTTTTGTATCTACTTCCTCTAAACTCACAAAACCCCCTAAATTTCTGCACTTAAACACATTTTCTAACTCACCAAATTAGTTTGTCCCCAGACCAAGACATGTAAGAACTACAGGGTTTCCATCTGACAACAGGGTATTGTAAACAATGCAAATAAGGATTCGGAAAAAACAAATCAGTGACCTGTATCTTCCTTCATCATTTTTTGTACTCACCAACTTTTTCTCCAATAAGGCCTGCTATTTTGTCCATTGTTGTTGATGTGACTTTCAGTCCTTCTGGTTTGGGGTTCTTTCTGCCTGGTATGTGTCAGAAAAATAGTTTTCTGTGTGTTTCCTGGATGGTGGGGGTGAGACCGAAGCTGTTCTCGTCCCTCTTTCAGTCGACGCCCCTCAGGCCTCTCCTCGTTGGCCACAGTGGAATCGGGTGTGTCCTCAGACCGGACCAACCTGTTCCACCTGCCCTGCGCTTACCTCAATCAGGGGCAGAATCAAGCTCAACTCAGACGTCACAGCATCGTACTCACTAACTTTGAAACTTTGGATTTCTTGTGGTAAATTGAAGTGAAGTTGAAGTGCTCTATTCTTGACTGCAGTTGTTTGTGACACTGCAGGGCAGGTTTGTGGAGCTAGACAATAAGAATAATTCTCTCTGTGTGTGTGACATTTTTTCACCTGCCTGTCTGTGAGAAAGAAACAGGATGACTCAACATAATACTATGAACACAAGACTCATTGTAAAACATGTGACACATATGTCCCAATCTGATCAGCTTTTACCAAACCAAAATAGACTTAGAATCTGTTTCACTGGCTTCAAGTGCAAAGTCAATAGACTGAACAGCTCTGCCATGAATACTGAGTTATTGCCTTCTAGAAATCTTCAGGTCTTGTTTACACTTTCAGCGCAAGTGCATACAACTTAAAGATGTTTGGCATTGAGGGTGAGGTAGATTGTGGTGTTGCATCATATTAGAAAGTGTCAAAGTGGTAATGTTAAGGATTTGGCGGCATCAAGTGGTGAGGTTGCTGGAGCTGTCAGTCAACCTCTCCATTCTTCCTCCTCTTTGAAAGAAGAAGTGACAGTGGCCTTCAGCTTCAGAGAAACGTTAATGTTGAATATGGTTTCGAATAGTGATTCTGCACTAACGCTGGCTTACTGACCCTGTTTACCATTCATCATGCTAATGTGAACTGCTTCAATCAAAATAAATTGATACAAATGGAAAATTGTAAAAATTCAATGATACATTCATGATTTAATCAACCCTTTTCTATTTTTGAAAACAACAAGTGTGTGTCAACATCGTTTGTTTAGAGGAACTGAAAAACCGAACAACTCATACTCATGATATTAAAGTACCTACAAATAAGAAGTGGCACCAAGAAGAGTTGGTAAACTTTCTCATATAATGGAGTGATTTTTCTTTGTTTGCTTTGTGACTATTTAGTTATTATTGATTGACTTTTTGTAAGATATGTAACGAGGGGTGTACTGAAGAAATCTGGACTAATTCAGACCAGTGTGATTAAACAAATCCCCTCAGAAAACATTAAGAGGGGAAACTGGGGTATGAGAAATGAGTGTACTTGGAAATAAGTTTAAGTGTGACAAACAATAGCCGAGCTAGTATCACCAGCCTTCAGCCCATATGTTTGTTTTGCAATGCAACAGTCAAATAGAGGTTATTAATAACACAGCCTGTATACAAATCATCCAAAAAAGACCTGTGCCCCTGTCAGGTATAAGAGACCATCAGAGAAGTCAAACACATCCCCTTTTTAGGTGATTATACACTCCTTACTTTTAATATACTATTTAGTTGGCCTAAAAAATTGCACCAATCCTATAATATAGACTTAAAAAGCCTTTATTTTATGAACCCTATCTAGATGTTTAGTTTTAACATCAGATTCTTTGTGTTTAAAATAGAGGCTACATGAAAAATGAGCTAAATGTCTTGTCAGTCACAGTGATGCTTTTATTCCTTCATATTCCTCAGCTGTGGGAATATTTTTGTCAGTCAAATCATTATAATTAATTTCACAAGAGGTTAACAAGATAATTCTCTGTGGCTTTGATAAGGCATATTTAAAATAACCTATAACTTTGAAAAACGATCGAACTAAAGTCAACTAGGATTTGACTGAAGTTTGTTGAGATCACTAAGAAAAATTCCCTCTTCTTAATGTTGTTTTATCCTCTATCCATCAAACCAGAGCCTGAGATTCATCCTGAGTATGACATGGAAAAAATTAAGGAAGAATACGAAACCATACAAGTGTAAATAGTTTATTAAGCATATTGTTACCATCATTTATCATAAACAATTTTCACCAAAGGAAAAAAAAAGCTTTTTATCTGACAGTTTCTTTTCAAGAATAACCCAAGAACTTTTTTTTCTGTCCAAATAAAAGAGATTTCATCAGAAAAAAATAATAATTGGATTGTTTGGAGGTCATCAGTAGATCCTTCTGCTGCTAGCAGTACAGAAAAAAAAAAAACATCCATTTTTGATGGGTAAAATTGATGGTCACCAGGCAAAAGGAATTTTGAAGAGCTTTCATCATCTTAAATGATTTTATTTTCCAGAGACATTTTCCTGTAGATTGATGTTTGGTAGAAGGAAGCAGGGGGACTTTCCAGGAGCTTCTTGTATTCCAACAGATGTTTACTTGGAAAGGAATCCTCCAATTAGGTCACCGACAGCTGACAAGAAACATGAAAACATTATTAATACAACAAAGAAAACATAAACCATTGCTACAAGTTCATTAACCTTCAGCCACATTGACCTCTGCCATGATAAACAGGTGATTGTGGGAATGTGTCTGGAGACTTCTGATGCTCTTAGCAACTTGAACCTAACTACAGTGATGAAAGCTAACCACAGCTTCAGATAACACTCAACCAGAAGAGTTGTGCTCAACAGGTTTTCAGGTGCGTGCGTGCGTGTGTGCGTGTGTGTGTATAAGTGTATAAGTGTGAAGAATATATAAATGAAGAACTCACCTCCACCTGCGTCTCCTTTGGAATCATTACCACCAATAAGACCAGCCACATTGTCTAAACCAAATCCTCCTTCGCCTCCTTTGGAACCACCACCACCAATAAGACCAGCCACATTATCTAAACCAAATCCTCCTCCATCATCTTTTTTTCCAGTGACTGAACTGATGAGTCCACCGAGTCCTCCATCTTTCTTTTCCTCCCCTTCTGCGTTCTTATCTCCTCCTCCTCCCATAGCCTTGCCCACTACATCCTGGACAAAGTCCTCTGCAGAACAAAAATTTTTACTGATTAACACACATCACTAACACCGTACTAATAAGCTTGAAGCTCAAATTTTAAGAGACCAAAAAGGTCATCTTGTAGTCTCTGCTAAAAAGCCTCAAAGAACCAGTGTGTGAATTCTTCACATCCCTTGACACTTCCTAGTCCTTGGTATAAAACACAGAATATGTGCATCCAAATGTTCCTACATCAGTCAGTTTGACATCATCCGGCTTAAATTCCTAAACAACTTCTACGGGTTGTTTTCATTGCCTGAGTTCTTCCACTGCTCCTGAAGCCTGATCAGTACTTTTTGGTTTGAATCTGTTGCTGTACATAAAAACATGCATTATCATATAATCTTTGAGATATTTTGAAGTTGTACTTACTTGCTTTTTCCCCTGCTAATTCAGAGATCATGTTATTCATGGCTGCAGATGTGTTTAGTGTGATTGGAGTGTGTTGCAGGACCAGAGACGCTTGGTCTTATAGCATCAGATGTCTGGGCGTTTCCTTGGATGACGCCTCACTAGTCTCGCCCATCTAAGGAATCAGGTGCGGCATCAGGGTCGACCTGTCACACTTGTCTGAGAGCAGTAAGTGTAATATTTGATGCATGTTGTACATCAAAACACACATGAGTCATTTGGCTTATTAGTCAGCAAATCTGCTGCCGAAGCCCTCAACCTTGACTTCATACTCTCCAGCCACAGCAGGAAGACAAGTGTTGTAGCCAACTAACTTCTATTACGCACAATCACAGTTCAAGAACAACATCAGGTGTGTGTGTGTGTGTGTGTGTTGGTTTCTGATTTAGTAACCTCCCTTCTTAAGAATTCAAAATAGGCATCCTGAGACACTCCCATACTCACTTTTATTTGTGCTCACATAAAGGCCCTTTGATAAATACTTTCAGGATGATTCATTCATGCAGACTCACGGTCTGCTACAGGCACTTTGGTTCTGCAGACAAAAAACACCCAAGAATAAAATACAAATGTGCTTTTTTGTCCCCTACTAATAATTAATTGACTGCACATTTTGCACATTTTATGAAAGACTCAAACTACAATGTCATTGTTGCATAATCCGCTGTAATGTTCTTGTCATGTAAAATTATCTTTAAATTTTCTGACAATTAAATTTCTGACAGAATTGAAACAGTACAAAGAAATGTTGTTTGCCATGAAGTGGATGACACTTGTTTCCAAATAAGGACCCATATAGTATGTGGTAAATCATCCATCCATCTAACTTCTCTGGGAAATCAAAAATGAGTCACGCCCATAGACTGTATATAGAATGGACGCTGTATGCCTCCTCGTTGGATAAAGCCATTTCGAGAACAGCATCCTGGTGACGGGCTGCAGTATATGTCATAACTCCTGCCTCCACTAGCAAAGCTTATGATGTTGTGGACAAATTTTAGAAATTAATTACACAGAACATAATCCATGTTCTTAATCCATATACTGGCAGATGGTGGAACCAAGTTGTCCATAGTATATGCAGACATGATTGGTACTGAAGGGTCTGCTTTATACAGAGCCCTCTAAGGTAACCCAGGAACATGTGATGGCTACAACCACACTTTGTTTACTGGACCAGAGTTTGCCCCAGAGATTGCATGCAGTGACAACAGGACAACCTGAAGGAGGAGAGAGGAAGTATTTGGGCTTAATGTAATCTACAAATGCTTGATCATCATAAATCCCCCTGACACACAAATATTTTGTCTTTAATTGTTAAATGACTCATTCTTGTTAGGTGGGAAGATGCCTGCCTGTTCTCACAGGGGCTGAGATTGAGTGCAGTTTTTACAACTAGAGGGAGGTAGCTCGGCCCTGACAGATTTGATGAGGTTTACAGTTCAAGAGCAAACCTTCAGAGGGTTGCAGAAAAGGGCAAAAGAATTTTGTTGTCATTGTATTCACTATAGGCAGCTATTATAGTACTTGGTGTGTTGTGTGTTGGCTTTATTCTTCTTATATTTCAACTTACTTTCATTGTCCTTTCAACTTCAGTTGCTTTTTTTCAAATGTGTTTATAGTCACTTGCCCATATTTTATGTTTCATTATTCTCCAACAGTGCTTGGATGAGAGGGGTCGGGGAAAGCAGCATTTTACTGTCATAACTCCTTCTTATTTAAGTAATTTTATTTCTTATTTCATTTGCTCTTTTGTACTTCACCTGAGTCTTCTGTTAGGGTTAGGGTCCCCCCTCCCTGAGTGAATTTAAGCTCAGCTTCCCCCTCCCTCTGAGCCAGTCCATCATCTACCCTCATGTTGACAGTCCATGCTTGGTTTCCTCATGTTTCGTTGACTTTTCCGTCTTTTGTCTGGTGTAATGGATACCTCTGTGACCTCCCGTGAACCGACAACTGCGTCAATACAACAGATTTTAAACCCTGAAACAGTGTTGCAATGGAGTCTTGCATTTGGGTCCAGTTTCTAGGCTCAGTGTCACAGAATCAATTACAAAATGAATCTCTATCTGACTTGAAATGTGAAACCGTTAACTTGATTGATCAATGAAGTGCCTTTTCTCATACTAAATCTTTGTGGCGCTATAAATCAAAACTGAGCCAAACCTTTGAGCTAGTTGAGTATTAATAATAATAAAAATAATGATAATAAAGCATCAGATTTTATTACGCTTTTCATCATTGACCTCAAAGCTCTTTACATTATATGAGCAGTATAAGCAGTCTTCCCTGAAATAAGGGTTTTGGTGTGTATGATTTATGACCGTTTCACATGTTTCCATCTCATCCCAACTTACTGATCTCTAAAGCATTGCCCATCTCATCCCATGAGATGAATGCTGCTTTATTTGCAAATATTGGAATAGTTTTACTTTTCTGAGGTTGGGGAAAAAAACTAAAGGGAGCAGTTATAGATGTGGTCAGAATAAAACAAAAAAATGCATCTTGAATGAAAAAAAAAAGAGAACGTTACAGAGCAAAACATTGTTAAAGAATAATTTCAAACATATTACCTACTGGAGGCTCAAAAAAACATATGGAGACATAGATTTACTCAAAAATCCTCTATCTACACTCAGATCTACTGACAGTGAACATGTGAAAAACCTCTTAAAGAAGGAAGCATCAGTAAGGACAGCTCTTTCAATCCAACATGATTAGCTGTGACACTCATTCAGAGCTCACTGAGTCAGATTTTAATCAGTGTTCCTTTGAACTGCTTTAACCCCGTGCTAATTTAACACGTCTGTTTGTTCATGTGGGTCAATAAGTCTGATGTGAACGCAGATATTTAGAAGCTTCCACAAAATATGTACATTATGTTTATGTTTTGGACACTTTATTATCCTTTTAGTTAGACTGGCTGACCTGTTTCATAACAACAGATATCGATGTTATGTGTGTGTGTTGATGGAGAATGATTACGTGTATTGATGCAGGTTGCTAAGGCAACACCCAGCGGTAATTAAGCACACATCACCTGCCAACCCGACCTGACATGACACGAGAAAACAAACCCGGTGTTTTGAAATGGAAACACCTTAACAGTGTTGAAGGAAACACCCTCCGAACCCGTCAACCCCTGCAAAGAAAAGTTTTCCTACACTGATTTTTTTGCTTTAAGTTTCTTCCCATGGTATTTTCATTTGCTGTATGTTCTTAGAAACTGTTTAATCTTTCCTAGTTTAAGGAAACCGAAGGAGAAGTTTGACTAAAGTCAGTCTAGTAACATAGCAGATGGAGACTATTCTCAAGAACATGGATCATCCACTTCACAACACCTTGATGGACCAAAGGGCAAATGGTGGTGGACGGCTCCTCTGTCTTCGCTGCACGACAGAAAGATTTAGAAGATCTTTTGTACCAACAGCCATCAGGCTTTATAACTCTTATGTAAATAATAGATAACATTTATAGACATATTACGTGAGACAACAGACAATTGAATTTCCCTTTGGGAGTTCTTCTTATTCTTACTCTTATTCTTAGTATGTTGGATAACTGATGTACTGTAGGTTATGTAATCCCATCGCTGTGCCAATAGTAAATGCGTATAGCACAATTTAGCCAAACACAACATTGAGTGACAAAGAAATTCAATAAAAAGTCAATATCAATTCCTTTTTTTGAAATTTTGGAACTCATATTTGGGCCACCAAACATCCTCAACCATCTTATGAGACCTTTAATCAATCAACAATGTTCTTGACAAATATTTTCTTAAGAAGCGTCACAAAAAAGCTTTTTTTATCTGAACCATGAACTGCCTTCACCAGCATCATAAAATATCCCTCCTTTGGATAAAACTGGGCTACTTAAAATATCACCATTTTCAGTATGACCAAGTGTTTGTACTTGACATGTTGGGAAAACAGGTTCAGGACTGACAATAACAAACAGCTGAATGATTTATGACATGGAAACACCCATCTCATCTCTTAATCATCATAAACACAAACAAGAAGACAAAACTTCTAAACTGTATTCAGACAAACAGGTTTGTCTTTTGTTGTAGTTGGGAAGGATTTTGGCACAAGCATTAGGCAAAATATCTGAAAAAAAAAAACTGTTTGTAGATCCTCCAGTCAGGGGAAAGTGCTGTTTTAATAAATACAATAAGTATAAAAACTTCAAAGTGAAAAAGATTATTTTTACTCTGAAGCACAAAAAGCTATCTATTTTTCTATCATTCATAATCCTTGCTGCAGGAAATGGAAACAAAAGCTGCTTTGGTGGTCTGCTTTTTAGAAACTGAGAAATGAGAATGGCTGCTCTCAGTCCATTATTTCTATCTATCATTTAGGAGATTTCAGGACATGTCATAACCAAAATCAAACACCTCACACGAGCGTAATGTTTTTATCACCTGCAGCGTACTTTAGTGAGGGCGTGGCTGCTTTGTTCATTTTGGTTTAATAGTAGATGCCAAACTAAACCTGTTCAGCAGATCACATTAGTTACATGACCCGAAACCTGAGACAAACAAAGGAGAGTTTTATATAATAGACAAAGAGTGTACCCAGTCGGCTTACTCATGTACTCCAGCTGAGACATGCGTTACCGAGGAAAAACAAAACACAAATAGCATCATTAATTCTCCTCAGGGTAATAAAATGATTCATTCGTTAGTTTTTTTGTTGTTTTTTTTCTTTCGTTAACCTTGTGTTCGCCAATTTCCTTGTGATCCCTCAAACACCTAAAGAAGATATGGATTGTTTTTTTTTTTTTGTTATGCACTGTCTTAAACGTGTGGCACATATTCAACATGCTTTTCTGCATATTTTTGATGTTTAAATAAAGATAAAAAAATATTCCATAGAAGTGGTCTCCTGTACTTGGATCACATTTTCAGACCACAGAATAAATCTATTCAATTTAAAAAAAAAAATGAAGTTGAGTAATTTTTAATGTTTTCATCAGTAATACATTTTAGCTAGTACTTTTGAGGTAGAATTTCAAAATATTTGCCAAGAACTTTTAACCCTTTCAACATGTTTCTCACAATTCTCGTTTGTTTTCTTTTTACTTTTATTTGCACTTTATTATATAGTTTTTAACAGTGCCATGCAAATCAAGTGTACTGTTATTATGTACCTGCCAAGTTGATCAAGGCTGGCGAAGCAGCCTTGCAAGCAAGGCAAGCACATATTGTTATCGTCCGGGCAGGCTCAGTAACGGCCCCAAAATGCAGAGCAACACACCCCCTGCGAAGCAAATAGGTCAACAAAAGATACTCCATCACAGGCCTATTGTCACATATTCTGATTCAGCATAAAGTAATAGTTGTTTTCTTGGTTTTGTTGTTGTTGTTTTTTCAATTATTTTACAAAGTTTAGAAATATATTCAGTAACTGATAACTGGACATTTTGACACTAAAATATTGACTTTTTTCAACACTGAGGGTTTCCTCATGGTAGAGCCTCTATATCCAAACTATTCCACAGAGGGCCGGTGTGGCTGCAGGTTTTTCTTCCAACCAAGCAGCAGCACACCAGACTTGATTCATTTCATCAGCTGATCTCAGTCTTCAGACAGCTGATTGGTCAGACTGCTGCTCTTGATTGGTTGGAAGAAAAACCTGCTGCCACACCGGCCCTTTGTGGAATAGTTTGGACATAACATTTGGAAAATTAGCTCCCCCTGCTGTTCATTACTCACAAGCTGCTCCCAGTATTCACACATCTGGGGTTGTGGGCTGCAAAACAAAAATCTTAGACATCTTAAAATAATAATTTTTTTATCTGTTCGTTTATTTGTCAGTCAGACACATCTACAGAGTCTGTGCTCATTTGTAGCAATATTTCCATCAATGGGATTTCTTTGCAGTTAAAAACGCTGGAGCATCTCAGATTCCTGCTGATCCCTGCTGCAAAGTGCCATGAAAAGGTTTTTATATCTGTGAACTGCAGAATGTGAACAGATCAACTTTTCAGACGAGAACTGCTCTGTATGTCCTTTTACAGTCTGAGTCATCAACACAAGTAACCAAAACGTGGATTTCAAAGTTTTTATTTCACTTCTGTAGTTTTCCAAAGGAAGAAATCAGCTCTTGAGCTCAGTTAACATCAGCAATACAGGATGCATGTGTGTGTGTGAGTGTGTGTGTTTGTGTGTGTATGAGTTGCAGGGTCAGTTAAAGATTAGTGAGTATTTTTTTTAGCATTTGAATTATGTGTAAGTATAGACACATGCATTAAAAAGGCTTCAGGTGTCTGTCTGTCTGTCAGCCTGGTGGTTCACAGGAGGAGCTTGTAGGTCACTTTTGGCATCAAACCAGATCACTAAACCTGTGTGATGTCACCCTGTCCCAACCAATCAGCTAACGGCTGCTTACAACCTGGATCAATTAATCTCTGAGAGTTAAAAACGGACATCATTGCTCTAATGCAAAGGCAGTGTAGCCACGGCGACAGGAAGAGGTGGTATTCTGTAGGTAAATGAGGTTAGGTAAACACATTAGATGAAGAAGCTTTGAGGGTTTGGTAACATCAGAGGTAAGAGGGTTGAGCAATAGCTATACACATCTAAGTTTCTTTTCTTCGTGTCTGTTTGGAAAGGCAGCAACCCGACGTGACTGCAGCTCGACAAGGACGATAATCTGAGCGAGAAAGACAGAAAAAAATCCCCAGGGTTGGGAAAGAAGAGGTCAGTGAACATAGTTGATGAAATCTTAAAAAAGGAAGAGGATATATAGGGATAATAACTGAAAGAAAATCTGACCCCAGAAATTAATTTATAATTTTTTTTTCTCTGTGTCTCACCTATTGTGCAGCCTGTTCAGTCTGTTCTCCTCCATCTTCTGTCTTTGAGGTGTCAGTCTGCAGGAGAGACACAACAGTAGTCACAAAACCAGCATCAAAATCCAACCTGAAACCAATCCACTCCATACAAAGCTGCAGTTCTCCCAGAACGAGTGAATGTGTAACTTTTTACACCAGTGGAATGAGCAATTTGAAAAAAATGGCTTCAGTCCATCTTGGTGCTTCAGTCACCTGAATCGAAGATGAGTTTATTTAGGTGGAGACCTCTTTGCATAATTTTAGAGGTTTTGTGCAGCAAAAATAAACTCACCCAAGGTACCTACTCTTTCAGTGAAATTAAATGTGGGTATTATTGCATTTAAACATTAAACATCTTCCTATTGTGATCTGAACTGACAAAAAGGACTGCTCCGATTGAACCATTTCACACCTTCTGCTTTGGGAGAAATGTAACTTTGTACAACAGCAGGATAGCGTCATGTCCAGGTTATGTTATGGAACATTTATGCAGAAAGTTTCAGAAAAGTGAGATGAATACCAGTGAGGATTAGAGCTGAAAGAAACAGCCATGTTAGTCAATATCCCTGTGTTGACAATGTAACTTTGCCATTGATTTTTCCATGTTGTGCCGCTTGATGCATGTAATCTCGGTCACTATTAAACTGTCTGTTAAAGTAAAATCAAATTTAGACAAACAACCTCAAAAGACACTAGCAATGCCCCTCTTTAATGACTCCATTTGTAAACAGATGAGAGAAAGTTGTCATCAGCATAGAGATGAACACAAAGATTTAGAAGAATGTCTTTTTTCTGCTTGCAACAAACCATGCTCTTTCCGGCTTCATGCTTTGTTAGTTTTCCTAGTTTTTGACTGGTTTCACGCCCTGCATTGATATTGAATCATACAGAAACACCAAGATGCATTATTTTTGTTTTTTTGGGGACTGAAATTTCCCGATTCCACTTCAACAACCTCTGCATCTTCTTCGCTCACACACTTAGCTAGGTTTATCCATGATCGGATCAGATGCACATTTTTAAATCAGGTGTGCATAAAGGGTCATGAGCTGATTATACATTGATTTAACATTTGAAAAATACATTTGTACGATGTTGAAGCTCCTGTGAGAAACTTTATTGTGTGTTAATCTGCCCTTTTGTGAACAAGATAGTATCCATTAAGTAGGCTACATCAGTACGTAGGATTTTCTGACAAATAAACTTTGCTTCTTTAACAATCAAATACATCACTCATTGTGAATATTATATAAGTTATTTTTGGGAAAAAATGGTTGTTCATGCCTGACACTTTCCCAAATGCAGTAGTCACAAGCATTTGAAATTTTGATCCAGAAAAAGTCTGGATATTCTCGTCTTTTTAGAGTGATTAGACCAAACAAAATCTCACTATTAGACTCAATAAATCTGAAACGCTTCAGTGTGAATCCAGCTACTGTTTAGCACTTTCTTTAAGCAATGCAGGGATGTCAGATTCGTCATTTGTTGAGTTATTAATCATTTCTTGAGTGAATAAGTCACATCCAGCAACAAGCATCATGCCATGCATTCATTAGTAACTTAATGCCCCCAGCTATTCAGGCACCTCCTCAGCCACTTGTCCCTCCTCCTCCTGTTCCAAGTCAATCATCAGAGATTTGGAAATGAAAAAAAAAAAGACAAGAATTAAAGTTAACAACACAAATTAGAAAGTAACTTAGTTTGACTAAGTAACTAAACCTGAGAGAAAGGAAATGTGAACAAAATAGATTTACTTGTGTGTGGCACATAAAGAAGGTGGGCATGTTTTGGGTCAAAATAATGAACTCATTAAAAGAAAATGTGTACTGCCATTAACCTCAGAAACATATCTTAAGTTAAGGTGCATTTGAGAATATGAAAATTCAATTATTCCAGAACAAAGTCAACAATGGCATATGTGCCATTTTGAATGACCTTATGTATGCTTTTATTGTTTTTGTTAATAATAATAATAATAATAATAATAATAATAATAATAATAATAATAATAATAATAATAATTAGAAGAAGAAGAAGAAGAAAAAGAAGAATAATGTTTTTGTCTGGTGGATCTACCCTTTTAATTAAAGTATTTAAATCTGAATTTGAAATAAAGGGGAACGTGAATAATCATGATCCATTAATTTAGATGTTTTTACAATACATGTTGATAATTGGCAGGGTATAAATAATAAAACGGAAATAGAAAAGTTACAAATATGAAGTACAATTTTCATTATTTCACTTTGATACAAAAAAGTAGATGAAACTGTTGGTAAGAGGCGTTAACAGCCTCTGCTATCTGGATTGAGATCATGTGACTTAACCAACTCACCTTTCTGACAAATCCAGTGGCCAAAGCTGCATTCTCCACCCCCTCCACTGTTGCCTGGGCAACCTCATTGGCCCCAGTAACAGCACTGTCAGCAACAATGTTGGCCTGTTCGGTTGATTTGTTGGCGACTAAACAGGAAAGAGAGACCAACAGCAAACTACTTTTAAATATCACAGATTACAGAGATGGTACCATCCAAGGTTTTTTTTTTTTTTTTTTTAATCAATTGAATTAAATCATAATAATGGGATACAAACTCCACAAAATAATAATAATAATAAAAAAAAAACATAAATTGAATATCAAACAGAAACAAATACTAATTAAACTTTACACATAAAAACAGATAAAGACAAGAAATCCCTCCATCAAATCCATCTTGATCCATCCAAGGTTAAGATTTTTTATTTTTATTTTGTCACTGGTGACAAAATATTTGGTGACAAAGTGCTTAAGATCATGAACAGGCTGTTGGGTTTGAACACACCTTGCGACAGGCTGCTTACCTGTGTTCACACCAGTTACAACTCCCTCCATCGTCTTGTTGCCTGAATAAAGAAATAAAACACATTTGACGTCATTAAAAATTTAATTGACTCAACTGCTTTGTGAAAATATCATAAGCCATAAATGTACGCAGCATTTGCTGGATGTACTGTGAGTGACCCTTGGCAGAACACCTCTATCACTGCTGTCAGATTTCTTGACTAACTCTTCGAACATTGCACTACTCATACTGTGCTTGAAACATCATTTTCATGTACAAATTCTTCCATGTCAACCAAACTCTGCTTTTTTTATCATCATGGTTGAACTACTTTTAAAAAAACTTGAAATTTCCCGTTGAGGAATATCTTGGTTAGCATTGGCTTTGAGTGGTAACAACTGTGAATTTTACTGACAGCAACTTGATGGTGACAGAAAGGGTAGATAAAAACAATCAGGGTTCAGCAGAAAGAGCAGCGAACAGTGATGGAAGAAAGACCCTGAATGTTCTATTCCGTTAAGCAGCAAATTAAAAACACACATGTACCTTACTGAACATGATGTTTTAAAAGTCATATTAACACATAATTTTACACAACTCTGGGAAAGGATGGACGAGTGCAATTCCAGAAATTAGTCAATACTCATATTAAAGTGGTCGGTCTGTTCAGAGTTCACCTGTTTATTGCCAAAGCACAGAGATCTTGTGGTGTCTGTATTTTCACTGTTTCATTCACTCATACTCTCCTCCATTTAGCCCCTTTTAGTCTCTGTCAACCAATTTCCATGGTTGGTTTTGGTCAGTTTTTTATTGAAATCTGCTTTCTGTGACATTATTTTCAAATCTTGTAATGTATGTGTGCATACAAACCAAGCCATAAAGCAATACTACTTCTGAAGCAGTCATCTTTAAGTGAACGTTCAAGCAGACAAATCAGCTTAGGGATAGTCTGCACCTGAAAAAATGCAGCGGAAAAGAAGATTTTGATTGAACTTTTCTCCTAGTTGTCATTATTCTTTATAACGCAGGCCCATCAAAGTTTTCTGGCTAAAAGGTGGTAATAACGCCCCCTGAGCCTGTGGTGTTTTGGTTCATTATGCAGAGGGCATTTAAGGATCTGAGGGGATGTTGTTTTGTCCAAATTCAGATCGAGTGTAATAGTTCTCCCAGTGGGCGTCCTGCTGCTCAGACATGTGACGGATCAGACTGAACAGAGTCTTTGTGTGTGTGAATACAGTCTGTGATTCACTGTCTGCTGATCACACTACAAAACAACTACAAAACAGACACACACATACACACACAATGCACGGAAACACAGCAGCTGTTTCCAGACAGGCGGCAGACGAGAGGAGGACTGATACCCATGGCTGAACAGGAGCTGCTGTTTCTGCCACGCATTACATCAGTTACAGTAAGGCAGAGTAAAACCAGATATAATGTATATTTGATTAGCTCATATTTGATCCCTGTAATGGATTTGTTTCCTTCCTGCAAAGGCGGAATAACAATAAGTGCAATTAAAATCAATAAAACAATTATAGTGTTTTCATACTTGGCAAATGTCCACCATGTTGATTTTTTTTTTTTTTACTTTTTTAACAAGTTGACCCTGAAACGACCCTTCAGAAAAGACTGCAGGACAAATGTTGAAGTTAAAACCCACTGTGGGATTTGAGGAGGGAAAAGTGTGAAGTTTGGATAAAGGCGGAGTGAGTCTGTCCTGGGAGCTCCCTGCCCTTCCACAAACTCATGAGGAAGGGCCTAAGACTGCAGCAGGGAGAGCACACCTCTCCTCTGTTTCATGTGCATGTATACATGGAAAGCTAAGGCAGGGGGAGCAGAAGCAAAACCTGCAAAATAACAAGACCAGGCAAACCTCCCCCACCTTTAGCTGGTCTCTGACTTTCCATGTGCTTACGTGGGAAACAATGGCCTTATTAATACTATTAATAGTGAAACCCCTCCCCATCTTTGGAAATACTCCACCTCTCTTAGATCCCCCTTTAACTCTATCATGTTTCAGATCTGTTGAAAACTATCCTAATAAGTCATAGGATTCTCCTCTGGGTGTTTTCTTGTATCATTTCACAGTATTTCCAAAGCTTTGCTTCGACTGTCCGAACTTTTTGAAAAGGTGCTGCTGGAAGCTATTGCCGTATATACCTTAGCTGTAACATACACAGTATTTATCAAAGACTCTGGAGCATCATGTGTAGTTCTATCAATACCAATATGACTATTTTCAATTTCCTTGAGGGAACCTTCCCAAAGGATAAATAAAGTGGTATCTAATGTAATCCACCTGATTAATAGGCTGCAATTGTGGCCTAAATTGCTTTTGAAATATTTAACACCCAAATGATCCACCTGGTTTAACTAGTTCAGCATATAAATGTAAATATTTACTCCAGAAATGCCAGAAAAGCAAACACTTGATCCATCACAATATTAACCTCTTCTTCGCCAGTAACTGTGTCTGGATTAGTTTTTCTAAAGCTTCGGGTGCCTTTTTTAATCTGCTAGGATCAGTGCTGAGATTTTGGCTTTTGGAGACCAGCCGCCTTCAGAGTGTTTTTTTCTCAGGTAGGTGAGAGTTTGGCTGTGTCTAGCGTGTCAAACATTGGTATAGATGCCAAATAAACACATTTTCTGGGGTCTAAAGAGTTTGAGAAAAGTATAAACTTAAGCTTTCTGAGGTCTGTCTCCAAAACAAGACTTGCACAACTCTAAAAATGACTTGTTTAATTGAAAAGAGTTTGTATCATGTACTCTGTGTGCACAGCTGTTATCATGTTCCAAACCTGGAATGACTTCATTTTGTTACTTCAGCATCATGTTGCAGCTGGAACAATGTGATATTGGGTTTCTCTCAACCCTTCACACGTCAACACAAACTCTTGCCACACCTGATTGGCCCTTCTCTTATAATCATCCATCAGCAACCTACAATACAGGTGGGACTTAAATACAACAACAAGAAGCCCAGGGGAGTGTGGCATCACTTTGTGTGGACCTGTGTGTGTTTTACCAAGTCAACAGAGAATAAACACACACACACAGACACTATCACAAAAATAAAAGATAGAGTCGGGGGGGTTATGGTGTCTTCTGCAGAAAATAACAAATAAAAGCTGATAAATAATATGTGCTGTGAATAAATTATTAGAGCTGCATTTATTCCAGCAGCTGCCTTACATTCACATTGATGGATAGTTAATGGAGACAAACCTAAACATATCAAATTACAACCTTCAGCAGCCTAAAAGGCAGAGAGCAATGATCTCCTCTTCCATGATAAAACAGCAGGAAATGAGCTCCATCAGTTTTCATTTTAAAACATTACTTTCAGTCCACTGCTCCTTGTGTCATGTTTAGTAAATATGGATTTTAGCAGTGCCGTTATCAAGGCTTTATGTTCCTTATATGTTTTCCTGTGTTGTGTTTCTATAAATGCTGTTTTGAGCACTTTCCCCTCATAAACTGAAACATAAAGCGGTTTTTCAGGTGCTGTATAAATTCAAATGATGTGGTATAGTTTCTGGGTAGTTTCATTTCCTTGCTAACCCTCCTTGTCCAGGTCTTGTTAATGATTTAAATAGTGTTTCATGTGTCAGGTCCAGTTCATGGTGTGTGTCAGCTCTGCTCTGTGTTTAAGAGTCTATAAAACACTGTTAACAACATGGCTGTGTTTCAGATAGATGGACAGAAACGTGCGTCTATAGAAACAGAATTGATTGACTGCAATTTTTAGTTTTTCAGACTCACATATATCACCTGAGAAGTGAGGTGCATCCTCTACACCTGTGAGACTACTGCATCAGTATAAAGCTAAAAAGTAATAAGCACCTTGCTGCACAAAGCATGCTGGGATACATAGCAAAAGTGGACCAATATTGTGGAGCCACTTTGCAGCATTATCTCACTCTTCCATTTTCAGATTCTGCTGATGTCGTATAATCACAGCGTTTTGGGACAAATCATTTAATCCGATGTTGTTAATGCTGCTCATGTTTCACATTCTGAGCATGTCCTTATGTAAGATTATAAATTTGAGGCATGGCTGATCTAGTTGATGGACAGGCATGCTGCAGCTGTTCATCTCAACGTTAAGGTCCACCCTAACTCCACCCCCTCGCCTCTTGATAGGCCTACCAAACCTTAGGCTGAGTCAGCATTATGAATACGGCAAACCGCCGTCGATAGATTCCAAAACTCTGCTTCAGAGACCAATAGGTTAGGGTCACTGAGGCTACATCACTGCTAAATATCTTCTATGGCCGTAGGTAAAGTCAAAATTTTAGCGTTGTGTTGTGTGTCCAGTCATGTGCATTATTCATGTTGTGTACCAGGTTTTTATTAATGCTGAGTCATGGTCCTCCGGTGAGTGTGGTGCACAGAAGCCTCCTAATTTTGAAATTCACAGTACGATGTCCCATGAAATTTTACTTTTTTTCTGCATGTTTCTTATTTGTCTTTTCTTCGATGACTACGATTCAAGTCATCCAGCTTCTTATCCTCCACCCACCACTCCCTTTATGTCTCTATCCCTCCATCTACCCATCACAGCTTTTTGAAATTCACCCTCCTACCATCTCTTTATGTGTTCATCTGAAACTTACATGCTCTGAAAATGAACTCATTTTATAAGTCTCTTCCTCTGTATTACACACCTCTTCTACCCTCCGTCTTTCTGTCTCTCCCTTCTTTTTTTTTCCCTTTCAAACTGACTTCAAAGTCTTAAAATTTTATGCACGATCTCGTGATGAATTGCATTCTGAATATTTTAAGAGCCAGCGTCATGTCCTCCGCCTGCCACTCCCTCCTGCTTGCTATTCCTCCCTTCAACACCCCAGCAAATGTCTGTCTCAGTCTCAGCTTCTTGTCCTTCCCCTGTCTCTCCTCTCTTTTTAACTCAAACTTGAGTTTCTCGTCTTTAAATGTGCTCTAACATGGCAAATAAACATTCATTTTCATTTTTTTTAATCCTACTTTCATCTCTTTTTAATCCGTCTGTCTTCCATTATTCCTGCTGCAAACAGCTGCTTGTCCTCTACCCGACACTTCCTCCATCCCCATGTCCCTCTCTTTGTCCATTACATTTTAGTATTGATCAGTTATATTATCCATCTATCTTAGAGTTTCCTAAAGACATCAACTTACATTTGTGGTAAATTAAAGTCAAAGGAAACTTTTCTCTTTTTTTTCCAGTCATCCCCTTTTTTCTCGACATCATTTTTACTGTCTTCTGACCTAAAAGAGTCATTTCACTTTTTGTCCATCTGTCTTTTTTTAACCTAACTTTGCCCCATCCATCATTTTTTACACATACATGTTTCTTTTCCATAATTTCTAAGATTCTGTGACACTTTTTCATCCATCCATCCAACCCTCCATCCATTCAGCCCTCTCACCGACAAACATGACCCCCTCCTTGGTCTTGGTGGCGGCCTCTCCCACTCCAGCTTTCGTCTTCTCTGCAGCAGCCACCACTCCGTCCTTTGCCATGGAGAATCCCTTCTTCAGAGCGTCCATGTTGCTTCACTTCTCTGTGTCTTTTTTCTCTGCTGTCCTGTCTCTCTCTGTTCTTCCTCTTCTGCTCCGTCTGCCACTGCCGTCTCTCTTCTTCTCCTCCGTTGGGGATCTGTTCTTCCTGCTAATGGGTGAAGGGAGAAGGGGTGGAGAGAAAGCACATGAGAGAGAGGGAGAGAAAAAGTGTTGGCACGGGAGGGAGAGAGAGAGAAAGGAGAGAGTGATATATCGCAGCAAGATGGGACTCTTGTTGTGCAAAAGAGAGAGAGGATAAAGTGGTGGATTGTGGGTTAGAGAAAGACTGGTGTTAAAAGAAAAGAGAGAAAAAAAAAGAAATAAGTGGGTGAAAAGGAAAGGAGAGGGATAGAAAGACATTGATTTGTGGTTTAGAAAAGGAAAAAAAGTGGTGGATCAAAGAGAGGATCTGACTTAGAGTGAGTTCACTAAGAACTCTCTGGAAAGTTTACACCAATATGAGCAAAGTTATTTCACCACTAAACACCAATCCAGTCCTGAGCTGGACCTGCCTCCAAAACACTTGATATTATTGCACATGTGTTAATACAACTTACATTATCTGCTTATGTTACAGACATGAGCTGCTTTGGAGGATAATGTGCTGTACACAACACAAGCTTAATTATTGTACAATGTGTAATTGTACAACACAATCCAAGATTTGTGTCTGTTTCCTCATACACACACTGCCTGGTGCAGCTCTGTTAGCTGAACAGAGTCCTGTGTTGATGCACATTTTAATAAATACAAACATTATCATACAATGTTAGAGGTCCACACTAAACTTCGGAAAGGTTTGGAAACAAATTTGCTGGAGCTTCATAAGTCCGACTTAAACTGGACTTTTATAATACTGTGTGTATTGAATTTTAAAAGTATCAGTGTGATACTTTTGCATGAACATTGATTCACTCAAAGTAAGACATACCTAAACTGGCCTAATATGCCACAGTTTGCACTCTGGACTTTGACCCAGAAGTTGAATAGCATAAATGTACGCCTGGAAGAAGACGGGGCGTAGAGAGAGATGAACCTGTTTTAACATACACACAAAAAAAAATGGAGAACAGGAAAGATATCATTGTTTCCATCTTTCAACATTTTATTCAGTAAGCCTCTTGCTAACACATTTGTTGTTGGTCCTGGTATGTGATGTAACAGGTCAACTGGGAGATGGCTCAATTGTATCAAACTGATATGGGGCACCCAGGAGGACATCCTTTTATCAAGAAACCAATTCTCACCTTGTCTCCTTTCTGTGCATTACTGTTGAAGAAATGAATAAATTGGTTTCCTTTAAAAAGTGCACTTTAGGGAGGTGTTTGACAGATTAAGCTGGAAGCTAAAAATAAGCTGTTATGGTGTAATATTTGTATATCTTTCTTTGTCCTTCTCCATCCTCTCCTCTCTTTAGTAAAGATGGAACAAAGGAAAGGAAACCAAAGGATATCTCCCTTTAATGTGCCTGGAGTGCAACTTCAGGACAGCAGCAAAGGCAGACCATTAAACTGATTGTGGATGGTTGCTGTCTCTCATAAAATCAATCACAAGTTCCCCAGAGCTGACTGGATACAGATACACTTATACCCGACTCTATAAGCACTGAAAAAAGTGAGTGGAACTCCAAGGATGTGCCTTTAGCATCGATACAAACACATCATTTGATATTACAGCATGAAATATAGATATGTTGTTTTTGATTTTGGAGTTAGACCTATCAACAACCATAGTTATAGTTTTTTTTTTTTTTAAAGCCTGGAGCATCTGTTAAGTTAGATAAACTAGGCCAGAAGCTATATCTGGGATTATATGGTCTATTAGTCTGTTCAGCTTAGCCAACACAGCAGTAATGTTGGCTTGCTAATGCTAATCAGGCTAACGTTATGAATGGATAGAAAAAATAAGCAGATAATAAAATCTATGTGCTGTCACTCAATTTCATCTCTAAGCTAGGGTTGTTACTTCAAGCCAAAAAAGCGAATACAGTGCTAGTATAGCAAAAATCCGCTTAATGAGATTCTTGGCAGCCGATGGTTAATATATTTAATTGAGTTTCCATGTCAACAGCAGCCTTCAATGTCGGCAATAGATCATCGGAAGTTGGCTGGGTGGGGCAAAGGGAGCTAGCTAGCTAATATTAAGCTGCTACAATGTTATCCAAAATCAGACTGTAAGATCACTGATGGTGTAAAACAGTCTGTAAGGGTGGGTGGATTAAGGGCATCTTGGGGTAAGTGAGACAAGAAAGGTGAGGAGGAGTGGATGATCTCTCCTCTCTATATGTCCTGATAAGAACCTGAATGTGACTCAGCACAACACACACACACACACACACACACACACACACACACACACACACACACACACACACACACACACACACGAACACATACACACACCCTGCACTCTCCCAGACAAGCCCTCAGCTGCCTCACCCCTCCTCTGATTGGCTAACAGCCTGCGCAAGTATATTTTTAGACCCATTTATTTGATTTTACTTCCAGGATAGATGGAGAACTGATGAGCGGCAGCCTTATAGGCTGCTGTGGGTTACCGTGGCGATGAGAGCTGTCCGCCCAACATCAATGATGAAAGCTGGTATCTGCACACACCCATATATTCTGAGTAATGTAAAACTTTATTGATTTCCATACAGCCGACTCTGATGGAAGCATATATGCTCTCTTTCTCTCTCTCTCTCTCTCTCTCTCTCTCTCTCTCTCTCTCTCTTTCTCTCTCTCTCTCTCACACACACACACCCTTACTGATGATTTACTTCATTGATCTATGTGGTGAAATTTAATCATCAAAGCATGTTTTTTCATACTTTAATCGCTTGAATAGATTAAAAAATCCTTAATGAACATGACAGAGAAAAAAGTATTTCTTAATGATTTTTATCAAGAAATTTCAAGAGTAGATTTTTTAGCACATGGAGGTCAAAGACAAAAATACCCAACGAATATCTAAAAATGCATCCCTCATAATTGGCTCATTCAGCTGTTTGTCCATGTCTCTCTTTTGCTGCAGTCTTCACCCTTTTTATGTAAACTCACTTATGCTTCACCCACTGACATAAATAAAGCAAATATAGAAGATAATAGAGTATTAAGCAGCCAAAGACTTTGATGTTCCCCTCAGTGTTCATGACATATTCTGTCAGCAACAATGTAGTCTTTTAATTTTGATGAAACATGATACCATGGATAACACTTTCCCCACAACAGCTGATTTAACATTTTTAACTACAAACACACTGAGGACAGTTTACCCAAGTTTAACACAAAATGTGATCTTTCACCTAAAAGAAAGAGACATTCTGTAAACTTGCTTTGACCTTTAACCTCATTTTTAAACAATTATCTCACATTTAAACAATGGTTATAAGGGAGAAATGGACCTATAGAGGAACAGGAGACCTTTTCTGGCCTGATGCAAATCCTAGGAGGAGAGTCTGGTCCCCTTTAAAGCCTGATTGGCGAACCTGAAACTCTTTCCAAATTGATTGTTTGTCAACTTGCCAGAGCAAAGACTTGCACAAAATTGAAATATCTGAGCTGCATTGCAACTAAGCTGCAGCCTCCATTCTTGCATACTCCTGCAGTGCAGAAATGCCAAAAACTGCAGTTCTGAAGTGTCCACTTGAGCCAGAGAGCCTGCCAAAGATAAGGAGTCTCCCAGGAGGGCCTTTACTACATTTCTCAGTTGAACAGCCAGATTTAATGCTCAGAATACAAAGAGCAATTTTTAACACATTCATTTTGATTGGTTGAACTATATATGATTTTTTTGCAAGAAAAATGTCATATGTAAAATTGTAAAATAACTATACATACAAACCACCTCCCACAAATCTGGTGGAGTTTATATGGAGTCCAATACAAACCAGGAGCACAGTCTGGATAAAGATGTTAGATCTAAAGGTTTGCCAAGAGAAATAAAGCTTAAAGGTGTGACATTACCAGCTGTACAGTGGACTGATTTGTGTGAAGAGCTTTTACTGTGAGTGGACCGCCTCCTTCTTCAAGGAACTTCAGACGGTACAACGTGCTCCAGATCACCTCTGTGAGGAATCCAGCACCTGCCTACTAATTGATGGTTGTATTGTTTTAATGAGGTGTCTGAATGGTGTGTGTGTGTGTGTATGCAGTGTTTTCTCACATGCATTCACTTTGCTTTCATAACAGCAGTGACTGGAGTGTTTCTGCAAACACAGCAACAGCTTTAGAGATCTTAGGTCAACCGCCACCAGAAGGCCTTTTAGCTGAGTCAACATATGAACCCTGATCTGGACTGGAAGAGACCCAGGTTTCCAAATTATTGTTGCTGAGCACCTCTCTGTTTTTCCTTGTGAACATTTTCAAAACAATCTGTTTATCTATAACTTATCAATATAAACAGTAATACTTGAAAATATGAAGAAAACTATCTCACCTTTGTGTCACTTTTCTCATGATGGCCTCAACACTGCCCCTCAAGGCCAGAGGGAGAAAACGCCCAGTGGAATTTGCTGAGGCTGCAGGTCCTCCAGGTATTTCTTTGTATTTGCACATGTGGAAAGATCACTCCTGAAAACAAACCCTCAAATTGTATATGTCACTTTCTGGTTTTATATACAAAAATAAATAAATTAATAAATTAATTAAATTAAGAGTCCGTTCTCTGAAATTCTGGAAATTCTTGATTGAAATGCTGCTGTGGCTTTCAAAGACAAGACACTGCTGTGATGCATAACAAGTGTGATCCTCCATTTGTTGGAATTCTGTTGCACATAAAAAACACTCTCTCCTTTTTCTTTTCCTCCTCTTTTTTTAACCAGTGCATTTAATACAGCCACTCACTAAGTACAAAACTGCACAAGGCCATCAACAGTTTTTCTGTTTTGCACTATTATGTAGACCTGGCAGTCATGACAGTGGCCTCTTAGTAAGGCCAATGCTTAGAAACATATAATTGATTCACACACTGTACATCCAATATAAATTTGATAAGATAAATCTTAATTAACTCATAATATAATATAATATAATATAATATAATATAACATAATATTATACTATGCTAGGACATACTGGGAGATATGTCTTGTCTGGAGTGCAGCTTATAAAGCTCTTTGGTTCTGCGATGAGCCAGATACTAACAGTATGCCAAGAGTTAAAGTCGTTATATTTGCATAAAGGTAATCTGAGGTAAGTCTTACTTAATGTTTAACAAGACCAGCTGGCCATCTAGCCATGTTAGGATTTTCATAAACAAATGACAATTCATGTTAAATGTCTGCGGTGACATTTGATACCTGCTGACATTTAACCCGAGTCATACAGTATAAGATTGACCACTGAAATGAAAACTAAACTAAGAGTCATTCCCTCAGTTTTTTTTTGTGAATCCTGTTCATTTGTGGTTTATACTGAACATTTTTAAGTGATTTATCTATAGTGAGGGAAGAGAAAGACCTTTTCAATAGAAGTAATCACATAACATGCCTCATTACTCAAACAAAAGGAAAACTTATTTATTCAAAAAGTTTAAAATTTTCAGGGATGAAAATGAAAAAAAAAATCTGTCCACCAAGATAAAGGAAAACGCAAAAAATTAATACCATAATCTGAAATGATTTAGTTATTAAAATTAAATTGCCATTCCCCGTGCAACCACCAGGTGTCCTAATCTGCTGTGTCTGTTACCCTACATGGGCCCTGTTGTTTGCAAAGTTTGGCAGTACTGCAATCAAAAAAGGAAAAGAGCTTCAGAAAAAGACAAAATGTGTGGTTCATACCTCACTTTTCAGTCCAGCAGTCTTGCAGATGAGGAATACTTAGAAGAGATTTGACATTATTTAATTATATTTTTACAATCTCTGCAGCTGAAGTGAGGTCATATATGCATACTCTGCCACGTCTTCTTTATAGTTGACATTAAAATCACCTTTTTGCCTCATGATCACCTCCAGCTCTATGACAGTTAGATCCACTAGAGGGCGACATCATAACAAAAATGAGCGGTTGGCTCTGATACTTGACAGCTACTTTCAACATGAAATTGGTACTCTTACCTGTCCCTTTTATTTCTCTGTTTGTTGATTTTGTTCAAGCAAGGACCAGGTTAAAGAGTACCCAGAACCCCCCTAAGGACTTTCAAATAACTAAGTAAAATCTTTTTGCACATTAAGTGTGACACCCTCTAAAATTTGGAGACACTTTGAAAAATATTTTCAAAGATTGTATGTTTCCCATTTGAAAAAGTTAAAAGCAGACACAGCTTCCTATTTTAAAAGCTGATATGTTTGCCATCTGTGGTTGGTGAGGCTGTTGAAGTTCAGTTAAAAAAAAAAAAAAAAAAAATGGCACGGCATTTCATTCATCTAAACTACAACTTTTGCCGACATAAATATGTGTGTATCCATTTATGGGATCACATCCAGTTCAGATAGAGTCACTTCCATACACAGGTCGTTAACCACTTCTGAATCACACATGTGTTCCATTAGGTATTTGATTCAACCTCCATTGTTGCCTACAGATTTTGTTTTACCCCCTGTCTGGCCTTCTTGTCTGCTGTTTAAGTCTATTTTCTTTTTCCAACTATAAACACAAAATTGTCAGACTTCGTTGATTGGTCGTTTGCCAGTCTGAGACAAGACCTGTATCCATGTGGAGTGCTATCAAGAAATAACGGACCGTTGCTATGGATTATGGACCAATCAGAATTAAGTATTTCACAATATCACAGATGGCTGGCCTGTTTGACTTTATGAGACTTTCATTTAAAGAAGATAATATGTTATTTAATAATGAAAAATGAATTCACATATATGATCAATTTTAGCATAAAAGATAGTTGAAAACAAAGTTTTCTGGACCAAAGTCTCCTGAGAGACAAGGCAGGTCTCATAGAATCATCAATTCTGACTTAGTCTAGTTTCAATCCTCTGATTATGCATCAGCCAAAACCACTTTAACAGTTATGTTAAAAGATAACCTGCTAAAAGGCTCTCTCTTCAATACCCTTCCAAACTTTCTCTTTCACTGGCACATATTTTAAAATCCCCTCCTCCTCCTCCTCCTCCTCCTCTTCCTCCTCACAGCTCTAAAACAATCCTCGGAAATGACCCGCACCCACCCAGCGACCAGCCCACCCCCCTCTCCCAGTGGAAAAGTCCCCACTCAGCCAGCCTTGCAGGAACCATCAGCCTCCCTGCCCTTTCTTCTTTCTCCGTCTTCACATGTTCACTAACTTTCATGTGGTTCAATGTTGATAATGAAACATCACTCAAACTGCATGAAAGGATGGATTCAGAGAGAGAGAGAGAGAGAGAGAGAGAAGTATTCTGACAGCCAAAACCACCAGCATACCGTTATGAATTACTTTCTAAGACCAGCACCATGAGAGGAAAGGGAGGAGGAGAAGATCAAGAGGGAAATGTGTGACGACTGAGGGGGAGGGGCTCCCATTACCTGTATTAACAACATTCAGTGTGCAGTCACTCAATAACATGAGTTGACTGACTGCACTAAAACAAAATGATGGTGACTACACATGGAGTTGACACTTTTTTGTAATTTGTATAATGTTAAATATTTTCTAGTATTTGTTGTCTCCTCTCTGATGTCACTGTTGTTTCTCTGGCTAGTTTTTGGAGTAACTTTGGTCTTGTCCTGTCCTTCATCTATAACCTTTAACTTTTCTTTATCCCTCTTCTTTCTGTCTGATTGTAACTGACAGTAATTTCATTTCATTCTATTCATCCATTACTGCAGAGATTTGCCCAGTGTTTACTTTTACATATCTATTTCAATTGTCATGCTCGTTGAAGAGGTTAACTTTTTGATGAACTTCAAACCAAAAACACAGATGAACTTTTTTGTTGCTTTTATCTGTTGCACAGAAAATGATTTTTTTTGTTGTTGTTTTTTTGCGGGAGTTAATGCTCAACCAATTATATAAGGTTGCTTGAGACGTGTTTTACTGTTTAAAGAGTTTACATTTGAACATCTTATAGTTTTTCTTCACCAACACACACTCACTCACACACACACACACACACACACAGAAAGGAAGGAGGTCATTTCTCCTGCTGCTCAGTGGATTTCCTCTCCTCTTATCACTTCCACAGGAACAGAATGACGACAGATGGACAGACTGAGCAAGGCAGGCTCGAAGTTTACGAGTTTCAGATCCGGCATGATTTCAAAATGGAGTTCCACTACCCCCATATTAAGAAAATAATCTTCTTTTATCCCCAGAAGCATAAATAGAAAACACTGGCCTATCACTCATTGCAGGGTAGTGTCAGGGTTACCCTGTGTGTAAGAAGATACCAATGTGAAAGAGTAAAACAGCATTGCAGTTTTGGTGTAACATGCCTGGCTGTTACTCTTGAAAAACAACGTAATTGAGTTGTACCTTAACTGGTATTTATCTGCAAATTCTGTGACATTTATATTTTTACCATCAACATATAAATAGATATGGACAGTATTTTACACTGAAACAGATGTTACTAGTTATGTTGTGACAGAATGAGATAATATAAGCACACAAAACTGCAGAGTGTGTGAGATCAAGTGTAAGATAGAGCACTCCTGATCTTCACTGTTATCTTCAGTTTCTAACTGATCACTCAACAAATCACATGTGTTGTACCAGAGTGAGCTTTGCATCATTCTTGGGCCTGTAACACCAGTAGATGAGACACATCCACAGTGCAACAAGTCCTCCAACTCATACTACCACAGTTGGAGGACAGTCTCCCACAGTGGCTTGTCATATCAGACCAGGAGGCTACAGCCACCTCTGGTGCGGTCTGTAGTGGGGGGTGAGTTCCTCAACAACTTCTGGATGGAGTATTTCCTCCAACCAAGAGAGAGAGAGAGAGGGAGAGAGATGGGAGGCAGGGTAAACACACACTCGACCAGCAGAGGAAACAGGAGGTGTGTCCTTCCTCCTTCTCCTCTCTCTCTCTCTCTCCTCCAGCTGTTTAAAAGCAGACGGTGGTCGTGCGAGCTTCCACTTAGTGATTAGGCCGGGAGCAGACATGGTAGCAGTGGGAGAGCTGGTGCTGGTGCTGGGCTTACTGGTGAGCGCTCACTGTGAGGTGAGGGCACGGGACCCTGAGGTGGAAGAAGAGGAGGAGGAGGAGATGGGAGGAAGAACAGCAGTAACGGGAGCAGGAGGAGGAGGAGCAGCGTTCCCTCCTCACCTCAAAGAGTTTCCCCCTGGAGCAACAGTGGACCCCCCTCTTGGAGAGAATGGGAATCACCCAGCCAGAATGGGGTGAGTCTGATTATAAATCTTTATACTCCACTCAGACTCACTCACTGATTTTCTTCCAGGTAAAAACTTAATATTTAACTTGAACCATTCTTTACTATTTTTGTGACAACAATGTACATTTTTATTCGTTTCATAAGCGTAATTCAAACAAACTTTTTTTTTTCAGAAATGACTTTAGTTGTTCTGCAAATCAGTTTTAAAAACTTGAACTGCAAAAAGAGAGAGAAATATGTGACAATGTATGGGAGGGAGAGTTTCACTCTTGATTTACTGAACTTTTTCTTAGACCGCTGACTTTTGTACTTTCCTTTCAAAAGAGACTTCTAACAACTTCATGTCTAGCATGATTTTATTGTCACAGCTAAGAAGGTAAAGTTGATAAATGAGTCTTGAAGCCTATTGGCAGCAGTCAAAAATAGCATGAAACAAAAAAAGTCACTCCCTGTAGTGAATGCTGTGGGAGCTCTGAGCTGTTCAAACATAAATCAAGAAATAATTTATTTGCTTATTTTCAACCAGGCTTCAAACATGTTTACTTCTGCTCTAAAAAGAAACTGTTATGAATTTGGGTGTATGTGGTTTCTGATGTTTTAGCAGCCAGCCTCAAGTGGACACTCTGACAACTGCACTTTTGTCCCCCTGGTGGTTGGCTGTGGTATAGGTCATAAAGCCTGTCATCCTGATTAAGACAAATGGATCAAATGAATATATTGAAATAGACTTGAAATCATGTTTTAATAGTGAGCTTCATCTGTCTTTATTAATGTGGGAGTGTTCATCTTTCAGAGGAGCCTAGTTTGATAGAGTTATCTGGGATTGTGAGGGCGATATGATGACATGACTGACAGCTTGGTTAAACTTTCCATGTCTGCCTAAAACTGACACAAGGATCAGTTCTACTAGAGGCTGTGCCAACCGCGGGGTTTACAGACATTTGATCAGTAAGTTGAGAGTGTGTTTAGATTGGCTGAAGGGATGTATACTGTGCCAATTCTGTGACTCCATCAGCCAGATTGCTCTTGCATGTCTTGGCCCTGTCAGGCCAATATGTCAGCGCCTCGTGTGGCATTAGTTTGGCTTCATTCTTTTACAATGAAAGGAGATGAGGATGATTCCTGGACATTTCTATACATTAATGGGTTGACCACTTGTAAATCAGTTTCCCAAGTAGGAGATGTTTGTTTTGTTTTGTTTTGTTTTGTTATATACTTGTTTAAATTGTAAAGTAGTGAGTAGATGTTTGTTTGCTGATTGGCTTCTGGAAGATAACTTTTTTTGCTTTCTTGCACTGCAGTAAGACTGGCTTATACCCTTTTGTCACTCTTGAAATATCTCATTGAGTTGACCAAAAGATTTGGGGAGTCATGTTGACAACCATTAACAAACATTATTTGTCCACATCATGAAGAGTGTTTGCAGAGTAGAAAGCAAAACCAAAATCATTGTCTGCATACATCATTCATTCTTCAAAAGTGAATCACACAGACTGTATACCTTACAAAAACACACCATGCCTAAAACTTAACTTGGTTCTGGCAAAGATAGAGATTTGAATAACAATCCCCCCACCCACCCACACACACACACACACACACACACACACAAGGTATAAAAACAGTCATGCCTAATGCACACAGAAGTACCGAGAAGGGATTGTGAAATGTTTTGACTGCCAGTATGCTTGTAATAGGCTGGTACCACCCAGGCCGCTGACACACACACACACACACACACACACACACACACACACACACACACACACACACACACACACACACACACACACACACACACACACACACACGGCCCAGGCGCCATACATTAGTTTTATGATTTTATGAGTCTCAGTCAGTAGGTGTCCTCTTAATGTTTGTCCCCCGGGTAATAGACTGAGCCAATCCTTTTAGGTTCCCCGCTGAGTAGAGAACAATTTCTGACCAAAGTTTATTATTTTATTTCTCAACCTTAAATTGAAGCACTTTTATCTGACTGATGGGTTTCGAGAAAATCTCTGCCAGTTTTATCTTGACATGATTAAACTAATTGTTTTTCTCTTTGTTGGACATATTTGAGGGTGAAATTTATTGCCATGCCTCTGTGAAAGTATTTGGACAGGAACCTATTGCATCACTTTAAACCTTAAAGTACTGACTACTAGGTCTTTGAATTGAATTGCCTTTTAATTTGAAAGATTTGATCATCACATCCAAGTAACTGTCTGATGTGCCATTCAGGATGCTGAAATCTAAAGGTATGATATTTCCACAGTGGTAGAGCCAGAGGAGACTTGAGTTTTGGGTGATTTCCCATACTAGAGATAGATTTTTGAACAAGAAGTCTGGAAATGAGACCAACTCCTCGCAGAGGAACATCTCCATGACATGCCAATAAAAGTTTCTTCCAAATATGCTAGAAATGTTAACGTATTCCTAATTCTCACTGCTTGTTGTTTTTCTCATTGGGATAGAGGGGAGGGGTCTTTGGAGGTAGGGCGTGACATAGAGGGTCCTGACAGGAATCACTTTTTAATATTTTAAAGATATCAGGATGGTAGGTAAAGAGTCTGATGCAGAAGTTGAATTCTTTCATATCTATGTCATGTGTAATTAACATGTCTGATGCTAAGTTCGCACTTTTTCTCTTGAGGTGAAAGAACTGCTGCATTTTCAGATTGAAACTGTGGTTTCAGGGACTGTTTTAACCACGTGTCACTCTCTGAGACTGACAGACTAAATAAGAGGATCAAATATCTCGAGTGACGTTTTTTAGAGCGAGCTCACACAGGCCTCCGTCATTTTTCTGACCCACATCCATACATTAAACCACAGGACTCTTCCACAGATTCTCAGATAAAATAATCCCTGAGGGCTCTTGACAAAACAACCCTCCATTACCTTTAAGGACCACCGTCCCCCCCTACTCTCCCTTTGTACTGACCCCCTACTTTAAAGGCTGCGGTAATGACATCGTTCACAAACAGAGCTCTTTGTGCTGTGAGTCCGCTCCGTCGCTGTAATGGAGAGCAGCTCTATTTTCTTTAGACTCAGAGTTATCATTGGAGGCTGATTGGTGGAGGAGGGGAGGGGCTGAGGGGGGTATACATACTTTCTTTAGAGGTCGGGGGTCAACAGGTAGTTAAGTGGTGATGAAGTGGAGGTGGAAAAGTTTGTTGTTCAGCTTCAAGACAAGAGGAGTCGTGGGAAGTTTTAGTCCAATGATCTAAATATTTGATCCACAATTGTACAAAACTAGAGTGACAAATAACAACGTCAACATCTTCTAGAAACTGCTTCAAATCCTGTGAATCACTTTTAGTGGAGATACAGCGACAGAACATCAAGACAAAAGTGAATGGACAGTTGAAGATATAGAGGCAGAAGAAGAAGAAGAAGAAGAAGAAGAAGAAGAAACTCAGACAGCATGAAAGTCAGACTGCCTCAGATCAAAGGGAGCTGAACCTGTAGATAACGTGACCATGAATGCATCATTTACTGCTTATTCAGCCGTAATCTAGAGGCAGGCAGCTGGCAGATGAAAGAATGACTCCCAACAGCTGAAATACGGTTAAAAAAAAAAAATGGATTAAAAAAAAAAAAAGCATTATCAGTCTTATGATCATGCAGGTGGATTAGGACTGCTACTGTGCCTATGAACTGAAACCCACAGCCAGAAGATGTCTTTTTTTCCAGTTGAGGATCATGAGTGTGAGTACGTGGAAGAATTAAATGTTGTTAACCTTTATAAAACAACAAACTTCCTGTAAACAGCTTCTCTTGAATAAGTCAACATCTGGAGAACGAAGTAAGTTTTGTTTCTACAATCACATGGGAGTACAATCAGGGCTGAGTCTTTCCAAACAATGACAAAATCTTCCTGCAAAACTTTCCATAAACATATTAGAGTTATTGAAATGATGCAACCCTACTTCGAAAATAATTGAGATGCAGTGCAAATAATGTAGATCACTACCATCCAACACCAGTTATCAGCCTTGTTCTTTCTGTACAGGGAATTGATTAAGACTTTTCCAGAGATTTTCTGTACTAGGTGAGAAAAAAACCTGAATTATTTCAATTTTACGCTGAGGAACAACATTCTAAATTTGTCAGACAGTTTTCTCACTCAGTCCAGTTTTCAGTTCTGTTTTCGGTGTCAGGGCTTGTGCAGTTTCCTTATTCAGATTTATCTTATTCCACTATCCTTCAGTCTGATCCTGAACTCTGGACTCTTGTCCTCCCACATCTCTCTTAGGATGAGTCAAGATCCTCTCTCTGATCTTTCTCTTGAAAGATAAGCAAAAACTAAACCAAACAGCACAGACACTGCGGCAAAAAAGGGACACACAGCTGTGACACTTTAAGAACTAAGGTCTGATAAAGAAGGGACATCCAGAGGGCTTTTGGTGCAAATTGAGAAATACTGTTTTTACTAAGTCCATGTACAAAATGACTGACAGCAGTAAATTGAACCAAATGCCTGGATGTTTGTATTGGAAAGGAAGGGAATCCCATTTGTTCTTATTCACAACAATTCAGTTCAACACATGGTTTTTAATTGTGGGACAGTTTTTTCAATCAAAGGGGCGCAAAAGCCAAAAAGGCAATGTCTCTCATCTCTCATTGGGTTACAAAATCTCAACAAAAAGACCCAAAACAACTTGTAACAGCTTCAAGATACACAAATGGCCACATTTTTGCCCGAGGTCACGCTCCTATAAGATTAAGTTCTCTGTAGTCCATGGATGAATAGTTTTTGGAGTTACAGATAGCAGCTGTGCAAGAATAATTAAAAATGCTTATTTTGGCTATAACAAGTGCTCAGTTATGTGAAACCTCTGCCAACAAGGTTGTCATTGCATAAATGTAAACGGTGGTGGTTGATATGCTGGTTGCTGCATTTTTTTTAAACTGAGTTTATTTAGCAAGACACTGTGCATTAACGCAGAATGCACATATGCCAGAACAATGCTGCGCGTTCCATTTACCTCAGAAGTCAGATGTCGGAGCTGGGAATGACGTTACACTCGAGTTGACAATGTTCCAATAAACAAGTTGGAAAACTAAGATGGACACCTACTGTTAGCTGTTGTCAGTTGTTGTTAGTGGTTGTCAGCTGTTGTTAGTTGTTGTTAGCTACACCAGTTGTAAACAACGCATAACACAGTATTACACTTACAAACACCATAGCACCGTGTTCACCGGTTCACAGTTAGACGTTGAGCAGTACAACATACACCACTTACTTAATTTCGAAAAAAATAACCGAAAGTGCTAATAAATACCACATTACAAGAACTTTCACCGTTCTTCTTTTGTTGATGCACTGCACTGCCATCTTGGATTATGACATAGTCATCAAGTTGGGGTTGGTGAGGATCGTCTGACTTTACAAGTCGGAAATCCGACTTCAGGGGGGCGTTCCAGAAGAATTTCCGACCCGGAGCTTGAAAATTCTAACTTCTGAGTACAACTGGAATGCAGCATAAGCACATAATGGTCCCTTACTCACCCCTCAAGTGATGAAGCAATGGTGTCCTTCAAGGTCAAGAAGCTCCGGTGATGCATCATAAGTATGATCCTCCATTTGTCAAGTTTATACCATCAATTTCTTCTACTTTCATCAATCACTCTCTGCTTTGTGTTCATCTTTCAACCAATCAGTTTCAAGTGGCCATTTACAAAATACAAAAACACATTTAAAAAAAAAATATATATATATATATATATATATATATATATATATATATATATATTTAGGACAGTTGTAAACTATGTAATGTCTGGGTGCAAACGGCTGGGAAACCTGATTCATATTACAGTGAAAAAGTTTTTTTGATTTTTTTGCACCTCCTAGTGCTCATTAAGTCACCACTGACCTGGAATAAATTAAACAGCAGGATTTAGATTTTTAATTTTTCCAGGTCAATTGAGGACCCAGGAGGACACTGAGACTAAGCTGCATCACATGAAGGAGACAATATGAGCAGCTAATTTAAAGGCTTTAATTGTTGCAGTTTAGCGCCCAGAGTTTTGCCTGACAGGTTAAATTAACCTGATACTGAAGATTAAAGATTTGTTCTCTGATGTAGTTCCAGCAATCTCAAATCTGTCTTGAGTCCATTCCTGATGATTTGAAGCTCTTTGCTGCATGAAAGTGCTCTGACCTGCAGGAGCCTACAGGTGTGTTTGTGTTCAGCTGACCCTGTACAGTGTTAATTATACCCTGTACAAACATTTATCAACTGCACACTCCTCACAGGTCAGAGGTCAGAGGTGGAGAGTGGTTGTACAAAGCAGAGACCAGGTTGACAGCCTGGGACCTTTAGGGCTATTCTAAAGGGTTATCATGAATGTCGTCATATTTAGGGCTTGGGACTTTGGTGTAAGACTCTGGGCTCAAAAAGTTATGTTTATTTAACCAAATCAAGTAGGGTTTTTTTTTTTGTTGCAAAAGTGCAAACAAACCGCAGCTTTGTTGACCCTGTGTTAACTGGAAGAAAAACATAATAAAATAGATGCCTCACAGACTGGTGTAGAGAGAAGAAGACATTTATGGAGACTTTTTGTTGTGCTGTATAAATCTGCAAATGCTGTTACAGTGAGACTCTGGGGAAACAGGACTCTGTGAGTGTAAGAGTCAATATAAACTAATAAAAAGTATTGATTTCCTTCTTACAAAAACAAAGCTCTGTGGCCCAGACAAAGAGGATACACCAGGTTACCAACAACAGTCGCTAGATAAGCTGCAAGAAGTTGTTACTTCAAACATTATTATACGTTTTCCAAATATCAATTGATTGTTTGGGGGTTTCATGTCTATAAGGTGTTGTCTTTTGGACTAATGTTGTCTACTTTACCTGATAAGACACACACAATCATGTACAGGTCAGATATGGACTCCCCAACCAGTATGTCAAGGACTAGAACCTCTGCGTGGGGTGCCTAATCTATCAGACGAGCCTAATCCTGCTGTTTCTCAGCAGTTTTTAATCTCTATAGTTGAAAGATTTGATCCTCTTGTTTGTCTCTAATGAAACTTAATTGAACACTTTTGATTTTAAAGACGTTTTTGTGTGATATTGTAATAGATGTAATTGAAATGAAAATCACATAATTTTTCTTTGTTTTTTTGCTGTTGTAGTTAACATGCACTGATTTAAGTTTCATGACAAAGCTTTGAAGGGGGTCAAGTTTTTCACACTCCAAATTTACCAAATTAAAGTTCAAATTGCAAAACTCATAGACATTAAATAGTAATTGGGTGCTTGTGTGGATTAAATTTTGGGGTAATGAAGACCCAGATGCAAAGCAAGAGGGTCTTGACTCACCCTGAAGTGGATCCCTAACCCTCTCAGACTGCACTCACATCTGTGCTTTGAAACTGTCATTATCCCACAGCGTTTACCAATTCAGAAAACTGGCAGAAACAAACATTTTTGTCAAAGATTGATTTTGATAAGACATGTGATCATCTCTAGCACAACTTTTGCTGTTGAAAGTCAGCCAGATGATAAGGCAGAAAATCTGGTATTATTCATGTTTATTATGTACAATTTTATGCTTGTTTCATGGCTTAAAAAAGTCTATTACACTGGATCTCCTTTAACATGTTTAATCAGGGCATGAAGCCACAGGCCTTCTTCAGCGGGGTTAAAAATGCAAACAAAGCTAAGTTTATTTAGGATATACAGGGTACACAAATATGAAAGACTAAGCAAAGGCTAAAATTCATACTATCTATGTGTTTGTGGTTTCTAATGTGTAAGAATGGTTTATTTATATGTTGAATCTTGTTTGTTATATGTTTCACAGCAGCTCAGGATGGTGGGGTTCTTCCTGTCTACAGCCCTGAGTGTGAGAGTGTGCGTGAAATCAAGAATAATGAAAAATAAAACTTGACACAAAAGCAGGGATTCATGAGAATCTGGCCCACATCAGAGTTCGGAAGTAATTAAACTAACAAGACCGGCGATCACCTTCATCTTGGTGCTAAGTGATGTCTGATTGGATGAAACTGAACCTTCCACCTTTGTTAGAACTTAAAATCTCTGAGTTTAAAAGCTATAAATTGGCTGTCAGATGTAGATTTTACAAGAGAGGGGATGATTCAGACACTCTACGTGACATCTGATTGGTCCAAGATGGAGATTGTGATACACAGGAAACGAGATAAGTAGGATTTACGAGTCTGTTTGCTAAGTTTGTTGACTGAATGTTAAACATAGACTGTGTATGTAAAAAGAGACACTTCAGACACAAAGCACTGATTGTGAAATATGAAAGTGGAGCTGAACTCCCTGAGCTGCTGGTGACACAGTCAGCCAGAGTCCACAGACAGGAAGTGCAGAGACAAACAGTCCAACATCAACATGCAGTAAACACACACACGGACACACACACGCACACGCACAGAGGGTCAGATAAAGAACATGTCAGACAGAGGGGTCTGTAGGTATTTGACTCTCCAGGAAAGCTGACACAGTATGATTTAATGATGAGGTCAACCAAAACTAACAGGAAGCATAAAAACAGCACATGGTACAAAAATAACTGATCAGAGGTGTCAACTCATCTTCAGATTTATAGTTTTTCAAACAGGTATTCCTCAGCTGGACAAATATTAATGTAAATATTAGTGATATTAATAAATAAATCCATGTCAAAAGGAAAGAAGAGCTTTAGAAAAATAGGTGAAGGTGAATAAAAACATTATGAGTCCTGATGATAAATGGTGACTTCAGGTAAGATCATGTTCACTATGTTTACAAGAAGAGGCCATATGTACGCCCTCTCATGTTATATTCACAACATTGTCAGTTTGCTTCAAGTTTACGTGTTTTGTTGTGTCCGATGAGGTTTGTATTGGTAGCAGGGCCCAAAGGATCTAATACTAAGTTGGCTAAAATTATTGAGTACATCATGTTTGAGATAAAAAAACCACAGAAGGAATCAATCTTATTTTGCGAACACATGTATTTTGTCGACTTTTTTATTCAGCACAAAAAAAGTATCGATCCATCAAAAGCAAAGAGATCAACAATCATCCACGTTGCCTGGTAACAGAGTTTTATTCATCCACCACTTGAACCCCAACCCTTTCATTTACATGACTTAATGACTTTATAACAACTTTACAGTCACATTTAAAGTCAGCTACAAAAGCATTAAGTATGAATTACTCTAAAATAGTCTGATAATTCAACTAGCATGCACACTTAAACCTTGTAACAGTGTTTTTATTTTTTTTAATTTTATTTTATTATTATTATTTTTTTTTTTTTTTGGGGGGGGAGGGGGTATATCTCAGTGTGTGTCATTTTTAAGGTTTTCTTTCTTTAAGGTCTTATAGCGTTTAATATCCTAAGGTTATTTAACTCTATTTAACTCTCTTGTGGCATGTTTTGTGTTCATAGTGGTCTTATCTTTGTGGCAGTAATGCGTTTTAGTTGTTTTGCGTGGGGTTTTGTTTTGTTTTGTTTTTGTCTTTTTGTCACAAAAAAGAAAGTTAGCCAAGAGAATAGTTAAAAACTTTTGAAGCAGACTCACTTTTTCTAGACATCAGTCAAGAGTTAAAGACTGACAGCATCTTGTGTGTATTTAAACATTTTTAAACCCTGTTTGTTATCTAAGCTTTGTGGGCTTACATTTGTTTATTATGTGAAAAAATTCAGCAGCTTGTTGTAAATTTACGGATGATTTTGTTTTGGTGAAATGTTTTAGTTGAGACAGGAAAAAAGTGCCCTAATCCTGCTCTTCCTATAATGTCAAACTTTGACTTAAAATCCAATGTTGGTGGTCTAAGGAAGAGAGGGCACCATGTTTGACCTTTGACCACAAACAGGAAGAAGGTATCATCGTAAAACTGGAGACACAAATTCAGAAGCCAGTAAGAAACAGCCTGTGTGTGTGTCTGTGTGTGTGTGTGTGTGTGTGCGTGCGTGCATGTGTGTGCGTGTGCGTGCTGGGGTGGGGTCTCGACGGCCATGTGGGGATGGATATGGGGGGCGACTGATATTTGATTGATTGATTGATTGATATATTTTTACTGCTTGACTCTACTCAAAAGATGCTATCCTATTGCACCCATAATGCAGCCCATAACACAATAATGTGAAAAGTTTTCTGTGCAAGTTTGCAAATCCAGCGGTCCTTTATCATGAAAGCAAACTAATAAATGCATTTGAAAAATAAACCTTAAGCACACAACACACTGAAAATTCCAGCTTATTTTGGGAGGGTTTCAATATGCTCCCTTCATCAAAACCAACATGTAAATCTGCTCACTATTAGGAAGGCAGGTACTGACAAACCCTTGCAGCAGGTGTGTCCTTGTTATTTTCTGAAATAACAAAGACTTTTCACCCTTTAGCCTGCATGATGTCAGATCACTTTCATTTACAGTTGAGGTTACTGACTTAACATGCATATGACACACAGACTATCAGTCTGTGTTAAATGTTAGTACAAACTGAAACCCTACAGGAGCTTCCATGACACTCTTTACGACATCATGTTGAGGTCACAACCATTTTTATACCATCAGAAATCTTAATAGTCTTAAATACTTAGGATAGCATGTGTAAACACCACCTATTGATGATCAGGACAACTCTTTGTGTTTTTACTGTAACACAGTATTTATTGTGACACAGAAATAAAAACAGGGAACATTAAAAAAAGATTTTAGGATGCTGTTCTTGTTTGCAGCAAACCCTCCAGTGTAACTCTCGTTCTGTCGGGAAACATGGCTGGTCCGGCTCGCGGCTGAAGGAGGCCAATCTGGCATACTGCTCCTCAGCCTTCAGCTTCCTCATCTCACCTTTTTTCTCCCTGTACTCTTGGTACTTGTCCATCCAGAACCCAACCTTCAGTTTCTCTGGAAGCCACTGCCTAGGCTCCTCTGGTATGGTGGTCTGCTTGTCTGTTTCTTCCAAAGATGAGATAAAAGTTTCAGTTTTAAGTACAAATACATATATATTGTAGCTATTAACTGATATGCAAACATCATTCAGGATTTATAATTTTTGGCATCTAAACTTAGAGACCTAGTAGGTTTAGTATTTTAAAAAGAATTTTTTAAAAAAGTGATATAAACCTTCAGACTTTGGAGCTGCCTTTGCAGTGAAAAGGAGGTAGGTGGAGCTGTTTGGGTGGGGCAGCCTCATGAAACGCTCACTGTCGGTCTTCAACACTCCAACCCAGTTATCAATCAGGGGTTTCCTCATGCCCTGCTGTTTACACGACTTTTTGTTAGAGGTCAGACGATCACAGCTGGCTTTGTTTTCCATGACTGGCTGGTTATTCATATGAAGCCTCTCTTGCTTCAGCAGGTCCTGTTCTGCTTTCTTCAGGGTCTGTAGTTCATGGACCTTTCTCTCTCCTTCCTCTCTTTGTTTGGCCTCCTGCACTTTCCTCTCTTCCAGGTGTTTCTCTCTCAGTCTTATCAGACTTTCTTCTGTCTTGAGCTTCTCCCTGGTCTCAAGGGCTTCTCTCTCTCTCTACGCTCCATCTCTAGAGCTCTTAGTTCTTTGACCGTCTGTCTCCTGACCTCTCTCTTCCTCTCCTCTGGGGTCAGTTTTGCCAAGTCTTTGGCACGCTCCATTTCAACAGTGGAGGAACTGTCTTCTCCTCTCTTAAATTCACCTTTACTTACTCTCTTATCCGTATTGTGGTTGTTGATTGGTTGATTGTAATTATGTTGATTTGTTCGATATCTCTGGGTACTGGCTGACTACGATGTGATCTCTCTGGCAGGTTTGTGGTTTCTGAGCTTCACAGACTGAAGAGCTAGACTATATAACCTTAGATGGAACCTCCATCATTGTTCCATCGCACTCACCTCCGTTAAGGTGGAACATTCTGAATGACCAGTGTTCCATGAACTCCATATATGGGAATAAGCTGTAAACACTATAGTGTTTGAGCTCAACTAGCTGCATGAATGGAGAGATGAAAACTGTGATCTGTTATTGTCAGATCACTTGGTTCACACCATAGTACACAGACCATTATTGAACAGGTGTCCTTTTATTCAGAGGATGAAACATATACTTGCCATGACAGTCCTGTTTAATTTTGGCCCATGGTTGGGGCAGTCTGCAGCAGAACAGACTGATGTGTTGTTTCAAAGCAGACACTTTTGCCTATAGACCATTTATGAACTCTTTGTAAGTGTTTCTTTCATTTGTTTTCTCACCACTCCTCCTTTACTTTTTAAAATTTCAATCCAGAGAACTGCAGGAGCCTGCATTTGTCTAAACAGCTGTCAATCAACCGTCCTTTTTTACTTAAATAACCAATTAAATGAACTTCTTTAAGAGATGAACACTTTAATATCAATTAGTATCAAACTAAAGAGACATGTATTTTAACTTTATAGATGGATCTGTGCTGGAGCCAGAAGTACTACGGTAGGCTATTAGTCATGGCTATTGCTCTCTGTGCAGACTGGAAACTGTGTGAGTGTGTGTGTGTGTGTGTGTGTGTGTGTGTGTGTGTGTGTGTGTGTGTGTGTGTGTGTGTGTGTGTGTGTGTGAGTGACTGAAATCTTAATGATCTCATCCGTTTTCCTTGAGCTCTGTGGACGTGCTATCACCAAGCATCAGTATCCTGACTCTGTGTGTTTGTGTTTGTGTTTGTGTTTGTGTTCTGCAGAAACTGGTGTACCTTTCTGCACAGGCGTACCGTCACCACAGCGGTTGCGTGTGGAACGGAGAAGTACACCATTAAGTCCCATAGCCCTTGTCCAAGTGGGACACCGGACTGTCAGCTGGTCATGTGAGTACATTCTGTTCTGCAGTGAAAGAGCCAATATGGCTGCCGATATGCTCCCTTTATTATAAGTACCCAAGTATACTTCATAAAATACAGGGAGAGTATGAAAAGTAGAAACTTGTTCGAAGTATCCCAACATTTCATTACAGGTTATACACTCGTATGAAAGCAGGATTCAGATTTCTGATAAAGGAGGAGCGGATTTTAACTAACCACTCAAAGTATAGATTATATTTACTCCGGATTAATCTGTTAAATATTTCCTCTATAACTTGTTTGATTGGTTTATTGAACCAAAGTTTGACCCAGACCCCAGTAATAGGCCCCACTCCTATATGTTTTTTACCCACTTAAGGATGGGAAGCTCAGGTATTGTTATGTCTCACTGCTGTCTTTGTAAGGAAAAAATTTAAATCTCAATAATCTGACAAACGTGGTCATTTCAAAGCCTCCTGTTTGATGAGTAATCAGTGAAAACCTGAGAGGGATTGAGCTCTTTTTATGTTTAAAAACTTATTCAACAATCATTATTGTACATCAAAACACAGTTTATGTTAGCATTAGCCATTTCCTCCACAGATTTGTTAAGGAATACAATATAATGAGAAAGCAGAAACCAAACTGATAATTTGATTAATGACTATTTTGGAAGTAAAAATGTTAATTTGTGTGCTGAAGTAACAACTGATTTTAAATATCTAACAGCAAATGTAAGCAATGATTGATATTTTTATAGTTCTGTCAGAGGATGAAATACTAACATTTACTGGACAAGATCAGAGATGCGGTTGAAGGTATCCTTTGTCCTCAGAGGAGGCCAAAATCAACACACACAGAGAGTTTTCCCACAGAAGCTTTACAAAGTTTAAAACTTTTTCATTTTCAGACCTGATAAGGCAACCTGGAGTTATGAACTCCAGGTTGCCTCAGATGAAATCATCTGCTTTATGACCTTTTTCACTCTGTTAATAAACCTCTGCTGGAGAAATTTGGGTTTATTTTGGATGGATAAAAATGAGAGTTCCTTGAGAATCAAAATAGTGGAATCAGTCTGTAAGATTATCACACATTTTGTGAGTCTGGCTCCAGTCTAGTTTTGGGTGAATTATAATTAATTGATGTCATGCACACCAAGTGTTCATCCCCAAGGGGTTTGAAAGGCGACAGAAATACATTTTAGTGGTCAAATAAAGTTTCATGATCATATTTCATGTTACACCTCAGTCTGAAACATCGCGTTCTGCTTTTTCTCCTTGTTTTTCAGATAAAATAAGGCCACATTTAGCAGGGTAAATGGCAAGTTTGACAAATAAGGCAGAGAACAGTTTAATCTCCATATGCAGCTGCAGGCCAACAGCATCTGTGTTGAGTTAAAGTTGATCAGAAATGACAAGAACCATTAAAAACGCTAACAAAAGAAAGTAGAACTGAGAGAAAGCTGATTAAGATCAGACACCCTGCTGCTCTTTATAAAACTTCACAAAATGTGATTTAGATTCTCAAGGTTTTCTCCAGTGAAGGCTTAGATCGGCAGAATGAAGACTTTATAGAAACGGGGAACAACTTGTTGTCAGACTGGGCTCTGTTAAATCTCAAGTAATCGTGCATAAATTTGTACTCATGAGGAGTTATTGTACCTGTGTGTGTGTGTGTGTGTGTGTGTGTGTGTGTGTGTGTGTGTGTGTGTGTGTGTGTGTGTGTGTGTGTGTGTGTGTGTGTGTGTGTGTGTGTGTGTGTGTGTGTGTGTGTGTGTGTGCAGGTACAAGCTGTCTACCCGGCCAATCTACAAGCAGAAGCAGAAGATCGCTACTTCTGTGCTGTGGCATTGCTGTCCAGGATATGTAGGAGAACACTGTGAGGACACAGGTGAGGGAACAGGCGCACAAGAGATACTTGGCAAAGGACTCAGTATGTCGGTTTGATGGCACAGTCAGTGAAAAGCCTAAGACAAGGGTATTTATGCTTTTTCCCCTTTTAAAAACAGACATCACAGGACATCAACCAAACAGGAAAGTGTCCCTGCGTGATGATGGTAAATATGTATAATAATGAGTCACTCAAGGCTGTTTTATGTTTCCTTAAAAAAAATACACTTGTGCAGACATAGGCTGTACAAAACATGGATGTTGTCTCATCAACACAAACTGAGGTTAAGACGTTCAGCAAAGGCAGTAGTCAAATTAGAAATGTTGACTTGATTTAACTTTTAGTCAACAAGCATACCTTCTCAAAACTAACTAACTTTTGCCCCTCACCTCTTATAATGCATTTGATGAGAAATATTCTACATAGACCATGATTTTTTTTTTTTTTAAATCTGGCTATAAACAAGTTTGACTGCTGTAAAGTTTGCCATCTCATCACAGGGCCTCATAGGGATTCCTTAGCTTTTTGAGACATCCTCATGTGCACTGTTGAAGGATTGCAGGTTTTTCTACTTACCCATAAGAACTTGGTGCAGACAGCCTTTCATTCCTCTTCAGTAGATAATTATAACTGCGTGGCTCACAGTGCGGCACACTACAGCACATTTTTTTCCAGTTTCACAGACACTCAGTTATAAATGCTGGGATATGCTAACGATTTAGTGCCGGACTTAAAAGTGGTGTAACATTTTAAATACCCTATGTTGGGTTTGTCTTTGAATCCATAGTTTGGTTTCTCAGATGTGCAGGTTAGATGGATGCACTGTTGTTCTGTTGTTTCCTGTTTTGAGTCTTTATACCAAGTTTAGCTAAGTAGCTTCTTAAAAGAGTCATGTGTTGTGACATCTAAAGGAGCTCTCATGGTCTACTAAGGACTCCAGCTGTACTGCTGATAGGCCAGTGTCACTTGTACTCAATAATAAGCACTGTTAATTTTAGACAGACTACTTTGGACCTGGTTCAGTTTGGGTTCAGTTTCATAATAGAAAGCTGATCAAACTTTCCCCTCATTCACTTGGTCTTATTTCTTCTCTGCTGGAGTCTATTTTTAAACATCCTTTCAAGAAAACTGGTATCACTGAGGAACTTAACTCGGTCCAGATTTAGTGTGTGTGTGTGTGTGTGTGTGTGTGTGTGTGTGTGTGTGTGTGTGTGTGTGTGTGTGTGTGTGTGTGTGTGTGTGTGTGTGGGAAGCAGCAGTGTTTCCTCCTATCTATTCTCAGTACGTCTTTTTGTTTGTGTTGAAAGTCAGAGTTTATCAGCGTGGGAAAAAAACTATAACCTTTGACCTTAAAGGACAGTCAGAGAGGAAAATCCTTTTAAAGTCATTTCTTCCGCTTGAGACGATAACTCAGGGCCTTATTTACAAGTGAACTGCGTAGATTCTGTGTCTATAAAACCTGTGCAAATGAGACTAAAAGATACCACGTTTAACAAAGCATGCTCAAAGGGCTAAAAACATCCTAAAGTTCTTTGCAGGGTAAGTAGCATCCACATGCCACCATTGTTCGCATGTATTTTAATGATCCATTATGCATTCCTTCTTTTCTATTCAAATGAGCCTCAATACAAAATATTTCATTCAAACTGTTACTAAAAAAATCCTCACAGTTAAAGTAAAAATTTTGCAGTCTGCTGAAATGTGTTAGTGAGTGATCATGACAGCTGTTTCATCTCTAAAGCACCTAAAAATAATATATCTGAACATAAAGCTTGTCAAAAGCTTGTTGATGCTTTTTTAAACATTAAAACATAACATCAACATTTATATCCCATCCGTCGTGATCTGACTTTAAACTGGTTCAAGTGTCCCCTCCCTACTCAGCTCATCTAGGTGGAAATCTTTGTGCTCTGCTCAGCTAGAGGTGGTGATGCTGACAGCTCATCTCATCAGTCAGACACAAAACAAGAGCAGACTGCACCCAGCAAAACAAGTGTGTTTTTTGTTTAATGTATTTAATGCAGTGTGCTCTGTGAATTGGACCTTGAAAGAGAGCAGACAGTGGAGGCAATGCTCAGTTTTTTTTCAGCTGTGGTATTAATCCATTTTGAGGGAATTCATAAAAATGTACAAATGTCAACTGTATGAGTAAGCTGGTTGTGTTTGTCTCTAATAGAACCTGGTGCTCAGCTGGATCCTGGAAAAGCGGCTCTGACAGTGCGTGAAGGATCTGAAGCAGCAAGACCTGAACTCCACACTTCAGGTGGGTTGACTGTGCTGCTCAACTCCACAGGTGTGTCGTGGACAGTAAATCTGCAAATCAAAACAATTCTCCTATTTATTCAAATGCAACACTGACTCACGAAAGCCTGGCAGGTTTACCCTCTGTAACACAAATCTCCACATCAAAGCTAATGCCAGCCCATCTTTTCACATCTGGAGCAGCAGAAAGAGAGAGATTACTGAATACAGAAATGTATTTACAGGTTCAGATGATAACCAGAAAGAGGCTGATTCAACTCCAGGGTGGGCAGAGACCAACAAAACAAATATGACAAGGGCGATAACAAACATAACCTGAGGGAATCAAAGAAAGCTAATTATAATTACCACCATCCTAAACAGTGATAAACAGGAGGGAACAAGGTAAACAAACACCAGCAGCCCACACTGTCACCCCCTGAAGATCAGAAATGATCAGCACTGTAGAGGCTGTGTGTTATCAGAGTGAGGATGCAGGTGAAGAGAGAGAAAGGTGGTGAATGTAAACACTCAGAGGAGCTCTGCTTTCACACATTGTGCTGTTCATTATGGTAGACAAGTCTAGGCACACATTTTACACATGCACAAACACACAGATACTTACCTGAGACACTTTGACACTAGTGGAAAGAAACAAGACTGTGTCATTTAAGAGCTTTTTCAGTAGTCCTTTGGTTCTCTGTTTTTAAACCTGAACCTTTTAGAAATCAACCAAAACTTTATCCCTTAAGTTAATATGGGAAATTGAGCCTTTGAAGTACTATTTTATTGACATTACTACCACTACATTTAAAACTACTTATAGTAATACTACTGTTAAGTTTTATATTTTGTGACTTTTTAAGTTTGCTGATAACAGGGTCCGGAGCTCGGCATAGTCTGTGGCTCAGTGTGGAGTATGAATCATTATACTGTACTTACATAAATAACTGTAAGTTTGTAGAAAACACCTTTCATTTATTATCATCAGATTCTGACTGAACCTGTCAGTGTGTCTGGAGATTGTCATGCCACCTCTCTTAATGGGAGGTTCTTTAGTCTTCAGCTTGATGCTCTTGTCGGACACCCTGACATGCTGTGTCCACCTGCTGTGTATATACTTGATTATTAATTAAGCTCCAGCTCATTGTTAGCTTTCTTTCTCCCATGGCTGAGTAACCCGGCCCTTCTTGTTGTCAATGGTAGATTAAAATTAAAATTAAATTTTTACCATTCCCTTGACTCTCCTCAGATCAGCAGGATCATATCTTGCCTCTGCTTTTCCAAATGTCTCTTTGATAGCATGTGATTTAATCCCAGGTGGGTAGTACAGGAGACTGTTTAATCGAAACTCAGTATTTCATTGAAAATTTACAGAAACTTTCAAAGACCTCTGAAAGCAAAACTCGTGATTGAAGGAACCACTTTTGGCATCCTGACAGAAACTGTTGCTGCACATGTTGACACATGAAGGAGTATGCGGGTAAACATGTATTGGGCAAATTTTTCAGGCCTTATATGATAAAATGATTTTTTTGTTAGAGTTTTTTTTTTTATTTTGTTTCTGAATGCGGTCAATATTCAAGTCCAAGTCTGACTCATCAGTGTTTGTGTCCAAGTGGAGCCAGAGTCTTGAAAATCATGACCCGAGTCAGACAAAAACTGCCTGGAGCTCAGTGTGACTTTACTTCACACACTGCTTTATGATATGATGATGTGGCTTTGGTCACACTTCATCGCTGTTGTTTGACACCGAGGAATCAAACATCCATCTGTTTTACTGCTTTGTTTTCTTTGTTGACTTTTTATGAGCCTGGGAACCACATACAGCGACATGTTTTCATCACGTTTAACACGTTACTTCCACTTTAAGTAATGTCCTGGAGACTTTGTCCAAATCTAACTGGCTAAAGAGGAGAGGCTTATTATTTTGTTTAGCCTTTCATGCTCAATATTTCAACCGAAAAGGTTTGTGCAATGTGCTTGGTTATGACTGATGGCTAAACCACAAACGTCTCCTATTACATCTCAACAGCACTCTAAAAAAATCTCTTATCATCAGGTTTGGTGACTAACTTTGGAGACTGAAAACTACATTGACATTAGGGTCAAAGTTTCTTCAGTTTGGCACATCGCAACAAATAAAGTTTGAGTGTTTTTAGCACAAATTCAGACACGACTACACTCCGTTAAGTCCCCACAGGATGTCCATCATGCATCACATGACCAGATCTCCGTTAAGTTAGAAAATTCTATTGACTTGTTGGACATCATTCAGAGATGTAACGATCGCTGTGAAGGGGACTTCCAAAATTACGGGGAGTCCCACCACACAGGACCAGATTGATGCCCTCAGAGGACATTGTCCACGCTGAGACACGCCTGACCCCCAGTCTGTAAATAAAAACATGTCAAACGCTCTGACTCATTCCTGCCTCTTTCACAAAGTGAGGAAGCTGTGAGGCTCAGCTTCGATAAACCTTCAGCTCAGGTCAGGAGGAGGTCTCACCTCCTCTCCCCTCCCTCCTCCGCCCTCCCTCATGGGAAGGAGGTGTGGGCGAGTCGCTCCCACTGCCAAGGTCAACCCCTTCCCACATCCTCGGCCTGTAAACAAAATGACTCACACACTGATGAAGAGAGAGTGCGTCATTGTCCTAATGAGGGTTTGTCATCAGCCAACATAGTTACACAGGAGGTCAGAGGTCACAGCAGCATGAAGGGAGATGAAACTGATGTAACCGTGACCTGATGGACTAAAGGAAGTACTTTATGTTGGGGCTGTGTTTGTTTAAACTTCAGCCCCACATGGCCAGGTGGGGGCTCCGTTATCACGTGTTTTGATCATAGTGATCGATGTTTGAAATGTTCAAAGGGGGTCGTTCAATGTTTGGACTCTTTCCTCCATCTTTGGAGCCCTAGGAGTGAATAACCAACTGGAAGATTGTTTTGGCTCTTAGACTATTTTAAATCTGAAACATCAACACGTTAAGATCTGTGTTTTTCACCAGCTACAAGGTAACAAGAAACAACCATGGGAAACATCCTAAAATAGTTGGTTTGTGAGATCCTGAGAGTTTCATGTACGAGGAGACTGTCCATCGCTACTCAATTGTTCACATTTCTTGAGTCTTTTCGCTTAAGCTACAGATATTAGTAAATTTTGCCTCATGTATATATTTATTTACGTATTTGAAGACTTCCACCTTTGCCGATGTTCTGATGGCTGTGTCAAACTGTGACCTCCTGAACAAACTGGGACAATGGGAATAATACAAATGTGATGACGGTGGACCTGATCCTTAAGGCAAAGCTCTAGTTCCACCAACATGATCTGCTTTTCATTCCTTGACTTTGAAAATTATAGTGATCAACTACATAAGATTGTTAACAGAAGTTTCTGGTTTGACTTTGCCCTGTAGGCCAAACCTTTCCATTAAATGGAGTCAGCTGAGATGGTGCTTCCCTGGCATCTTTAAGCACTCAGAGAGCACAATGAGATAGACCAGAGCTTGATGGGGTGATCGTGTATCTCATCTGGCCTTGAAAGATATTGGAAACAATGCTAGTTTAGTTATTCTTCTGCTACTTTAATCCGAACTGAATAAATAGATGGATATTTGAACGGAGAAATAACTTGACCCGCTGACATACAAATAGAGCTATCTACAGCTGAACATACAGACAGGCTGATAAGTCCTCTGCACAGTGATCCTCCTCTGACCTTTGTGTCCATTCATGGTGATTCCGGTTGTTTCAACCCTATTAATACCTCTGAGTAAAGCTGGAAGACTGGATCGATGGTGTCGGTAAATTCCCTGACAAGATGAACTGGAGTGTCTCTCTTTCCTAATAAGGTCAGGGGGTTACAACTCCTGCCACTAAATGCTGCATATCAAGAAGTCTGTGAGGTGGTGAAGATGTTACTCTACATAAAGCAGTGTGAGATGCTATCAAGCTAAGCGCGATAGCTAGTAAGGCTCACTCTAACTACAGCTACTAAACTAGGGTGACCATATCCTGAATCCCCAAAAAGAGGACACTACTACGAATTGTGCGTGCACATAATTTTAAGGGGTTTTTCTAGGGTGATTATATTCTTAATCCCCAATCAGACGGGCTAGCGCACACAAAATTTTGAGGGTTTTTCAGGTGGGGTCGGGTGTTTTTTACGCGCTTCTAACACGCTTCTAAATGCATATTCTGAATTACCAAAAAGACACTTAACCAGACCTCTTGGGGATACAGAAAAATACTCACACAAAGTATCATTTTTAAACAATATATTCATTTATCTAAAGCATTTCTCCTCAACAAAACTATCAGTCACATACAAATATTTCTCCCTTTTCTTTCACTCACCTGAAGACAGTGCATGTGTGTGTCTCCTCAGTACTGTTTTATAATGAATGACAACACGTTCTGGGGTTTGGCATCTCAGAGTGTGTTTCCAAATGAACCATTGAATGTGTATGGTAAATACAGGGGGAAAAAACTGGCTTCTGTACAAAATCCCAGACATTTGAAGGATTTTATAAACTCCCACCAGACAGGCCGGACAGCCCCCCAAAAGAGGACATGTCCGGGTAAAAGAGGACGTATGGCCAACCTAACTAAACAGCTGTTGTGAACTTCCTCATGGATCTCTGAACTTTTCAGCAAACTAAGGATCAATGGAGTCAAGAGTAAATTTCAGTGATACTCTGCAGAGAAACACATCATACAGTATATTCCCTTCCGGCACTGAGAACACTGAGAAACAAAACAGTGAATGTTTGGAGGGAAAATTCGACTGAAATAGATCTTCGGCCTTTGGCGGCTTGATTTAACAAAGAGAGAAAAACAAAGAGGCGTTTTAACACACACACACACACACACACACACACACACACAGACACACACACACACACACACACACACACACACACACACACACACACACACACACACACACCTCTACATAGCACAGTCTGCTCCCACCACACCCCTGATTGAACCTGTTTCCTGCAAGCTCATGTAAAAGTATTTGAATAATAAAAACAGCAGAAAGAGAAAGGTCACAATAACAGGAACACCCTAAAATAAAATGTGAACACCTCAGAGGTGAGTCACCACCTCTGTTACACAGTTTAACAGATTTCTCTGGAGGTTCGTTCTTACAGATAAACCCGACACTTTGTCATTAGAAAATTGAGCATCAGAGCAGCAGCGTTGAGTTTTATCTGAAAAGTATTTTTGCAGATGATCATTTTCATATCAGTTAAATACGATGGAAATATTTGAAAATCTTCACAATCTAAAGCCCAACTGAATGAAACATGATGAAAATATTAGAATCAAAACACCAAACAATAATGACTCTAAGGGCAGAGCTGATGATTTCGACTCATAAAGGAAAGAGATTTGATGACAGTGCAGGACTTCCTCCTTCTCCTGTTGCAGATGCAGCTCTGCTGTGTTTCTGGCCTCTGAGCTGACTGCAGGTCACCGATACAGAGCTCCTTTTTCCTGCTGTCGCTCTGATTCTGTCACTGACTGAGAGTTTAACAATGAACACAGAGTAGAACAAAAACTGAGGAAACTCAGCGCAGAAAATCCCATATACATCAGCCTGTTTCCCATCAGCCTCTCTGTCTAACTCACTGCCCGTCTGTCTGACTTCCTGCCTCTCTCTCTCTAAGCTGACTTGAATTTGAACTTAAACTGTAAAAGTCCAAATATGATGAAAACTCATAGGTTTTTTTTGTTTGTTTGTTTGTTTGTAACATACCTAAAAAAAAAAAAGATGCAGAGGCCATATTAATGTCCTCCGTAAATGCAAAAAGAAGTCTCCTCTTGTAGCTGGTAGCTGGAGTTGGTTCTCTTCCAGTTCCCCAGCGAGGAAATTCACTAGCAAGCAGCATCTTCATGTGGTCCTTTTTTCCTCTCCTCCCAAAGCTAGTCAAAAAGCCATCCCTGTTCAGGAGCTAAAGCAGCACCAACCCCTTTCTCCTCCTTAATGGGCCTCTTCACCATTATTGTGGGTCAATACTTAATGTGCAGATGGTTCTTCTTAAAACTAGGAACAGAGTTCTTCACACCCAGTCAGCTTTTATCCTCTTGGCACATCTCATATACCACCATGATGTTGTTCTTGTCCCTTTCACCCAATCACTCAAACTAATGAGAAATTTTCTTAGAAGTATGCTGTCCACTCTGCCATCTAACTCAAGCACTAGCACACTCAATGCTGTCAGTGGACACAGGCCCTGAACCCTACACAGCTTTGAATTATGGTTTCATATAAGTTTTGATTTGCTCCTTCAGTCCCTCTACAAGATAATTAAAGCATATACTGTACATCATAACATGTTAAATTAATCATAAATTATTTATTAAATGTAATCAATTCATGTACTTTTATGATAATGGAACAATGATACAGTATGATAAGTATCTGAACTACTCAACAAACTGTTTTTGGTCACACTTAAAGGACTAGTCCGCTGATACTCAGTAGTTCATTTTGCTGTCAGGTCTATTATTTAAAAATGTAATTAAACCATCACCTGTGTGTGTTTTAGGTGTGAAGGCAAAGCTCCAGCTGCAGAGTGGCGATCCAGACAGTGAACAAAATGACTATCAGGCACCTGTTGGACCATTGTATGGCACCGACTATGCAGCAGACAACCAGCGCAACACCACACAACCTGTCCTGGACCAAGGCTACGCCCACAACCCCCATCATGCATCACATCACACTACAGACACATACAACCAACATCTCCACCACCGCCACCACACAAACCATCCCCACCCTGGACAGCAGCAGAGACACGTCTTTCCGGGTGAGTTTTACACGGACTTGACTGCAAACATATCATTAGCGCCACCCGTGGGAGGCAGGAAAGAACTTGTGTGCCAGTATGACTGACCAAACAAGACATTAAAAGCAGATTATTGTTTGCCGTAGATTAATTTGATTGACAGCTGCTGTGTTGTTGCCCTGGCCAATGAAATGTGTGTGTCCAGGTTCAGTGATAATGTCCTGATGTCTCGTTAACATCCTGTGAGGGAGCTACAACAAATACACACAAAAACACACGCTAAGCTCCATTCCTCTGTAGTGACACAACAGAAAACCACCCCCTCATTCACACACACACACACACACACACACACACACACACACACACACTTCCTCCGCAGGAAATCCTCTCATTCTTCTGTTCCTTTGTCTCCCACACACAGTGAGTGTGTTTGTGTGTGACATTATAAGATGGTCGCTGACATTATATTATATTCCTTATGTCACCAGACCAGCATGTGAATTGCATCACACACACACACACACACTCTTCCGTTACCCTGAGTGTAGGGGGCTTTTTCAGGTTCCCATGGCTCTCTGCTTGATTTGACCCTTGACCTCAATGACCAGTTAGTATTACATCATCCTTAAAGGAGGTTTCATGTTGGTTCTCTCTCATCTCTACCTGCACCTGTCTCCTCTCCCTCACTGGTGGAGCTTCTTCTCTTGTTGTTGGAGTCAGGAGTTCTGTACTATTCCACAGGGTTAGTCACAGCGCCACCCACAGTGAAATCAGGAATCGACAGAATATCTTGTCAATTGCGATGATACAGTTAGCATTTGCTAAAGTCTTTATATAATCCTGCTTTGCTCTTGTTGCATTTCTACCATAAACACGTTTAAACTATCAGTTTGATATATGGTCAAATCAAAAATATGTGTTTTTTTTCTGCCTGTAGTCCTAACAGATACAGAAAATAACACCAGCAGCTGTAAAATGTCCCTCTCTGGCAGAGTCTAGAGGACAGGAGACAGCTGGTCTCGTGAAGACTGAATGCAGGGATTGAGATAGTATTTGGCTTTTTCTTTACCTCTGCCCATATTTGTTTCTCTGTAGTCATATCCATACAACTCATCTCAACCAGCACTCCGGAGTACTCGTAATAAACCCACGCAGACACAGGGAGAACATGAAAACTCCACACAGAAACACCCTGACACGGATTCGAACTTAGGACCTTAGCAACAGTGCTAACCACTACACCACTGTGCCGCATGTAGTTATATCATCACCGTAATATTGTGCCAATTTAGCTGTCTTTCAATCCTGTTGCTACCTACCCAATAATGTAAAAACAATTATCACTTAGTTTCTACTCACTAAAGAAAACATCAAACTAAGGGGATTTTTCAGTTATTAGGAGTGTCTCTTGTGGGTTGATAGATGTTTATTTCTAGTTTGAGAAAATGATTTCCTCCTGGTGTTTACATTCACCATAACCTGTAACTATATGTTTCACATGTCTGTGGTCTGTTTTAATTTAGATCATGACTTTTATTTCAAAACAAGAAATTAGATCAGTCAAACATTCAAAATCTGAAGCAGACTCTTCTGCATAAGTACCTTTCGTCTCTTTAGTGTTTTTGCTCTGAGTGCTCAATAGTTTGGCTCTGTTTGGTCCTCGTTTCCCTCACGGCTCATTAAAGTGTCATCTTACTTTTAATTGTGACATTTACAACAAAAGTTTGAAGGAGCAAACAACCCACAGAGGTTGTTTTGTCCGAACAGGAAGTTGACTCAGCCTGCCTCGGTAAATCACGCTGACAGTCATTAGATAGAAACACTACCAGCTGACCAGGGTGTGTTGGATTTCATCCTATGCAGTGAGTGCCAGCAGCACTGCCCCCCTCACTCCTGCAGCTGGAGTCTGAGGTGACCTGGAACTTCCTGTCGCAGTGTGGCCTCACTGTAGTGTGACCTTTGACCTCTCAGCACCGTGCAGCATGTGGAAAAAGAGAGTTTGGTTTGTCGTAATGAAAACAGGTTGTGATGAAAGAGGCTGAGGTCACTCTGTGTGTGTGTGTGTGTGTGTGTGTGTGTGTGTGTGTGTGTGTGTGTGTGTGTGTGTGTGTGTGTGTGTGTGTGTGTGTGTGTGTGTGTGTGTCTGGACTGTGTCTCAATGGGAGAGTGACAGCAGTGACCTGAGGCGAACACACACACACTCTGATGTTTGTATTTCTATACCTGTGAGGCCATCACACATTCCTGAGCTCTTAACCCTGAACTGAACCTAAACCTGATGTTAACCTAAAAACAAAGTCCTTAAGAAAAAACGGGAGGACATGTCATGTCTAAGATTGATTTTCTCTTTGTCATGAAAAGATTAAGATTTTCATGTTTGTGCATTTTGAGACCATAAACTATCACCAAACTGAGACTTGAAAAACAACTTTGTGTCAGCCAAAACTAGATAACTTATCTGACATTACTATCCCATCATCTACTGGAGTGTTGCACCAGTATACAGGATGCATCCCACTTTTAAGATGATAAGATAAGTTACTCAAAGTGTGTCTCATGCTCTAAATTTTGCAGGAAATGCAGGATCGATGGACAGAGGATGGGAATTGGTTATTGGTAAATGTCTAGTATGTCGTCCGAATATTATTATCAGCGCTGTAGTCTGTAGAAAGAGCAAAGGTATCAAAGGGCCTCTCCATACAATCCTAGATTGCGAAAGTTTCAGCAATAAATTAGCTAAGATCGATCTAACAGATATCTGCAAGTGCATCCAACAGAAAACACTGTCGTTTGTCAATGCAAACTTTGTTCTCACCTCTAAAGTCACAGAAAAGGAGGATTTAAAGTCTGAAAATAGTGATCTTTTAATATTGGCAATGAAAATGGCTTGTTTGGGCAGTATTGTCATCTTGGATAGAGGGGAAAACATTTTCAGTCAGAAAGAGAAAAAGTCAAAGAAAAACTAGCATCTCTTACTCCACTGCTTCATAAAGTCAATGTGATTAAGTCCAGGTCATTTTTTTCTGGCTCTTAACATCCTCATTATGAGTCTCTTATTCTGATTAGTGAGAATGATTATTAGCAGGATATGTCGGCACAGTTGGGTTTGTTATAAACTCCAGAAATAACAACAACCCAGGATCAGATGGATCCCCAGAACCCTGAAGGCATCTCAGACCTCAGATCAATGAGGTCCATCTGGAGCAGCAGCAGAGTCCTGTGGTCTCCATGTGTGCATTCAGCCGGTCTCTGCTGAACCAACAGAAACAAACAAAGTCTGTAAGCGTCTCTTCTGCCTGAAAACAGTGTGTGCCATCTCCTGAATCTCCCTGACAACATCAGAGTCTTCTTAGAGGAAACAGCAGCAGGGTGCTCTGGGCTGTTTTAAGGCATTTTAATTTCCAAACTGGATGATTTTCCAGGAAGGGGCTGTGGTGTGTTAATGTTCCCGTTTGGAAACTAAACTGTCTCTATTTTAGAGCAGAGGGTCCCCTGAGAGTAAGGATTCAGCGGGGAGTTTTGTGTGTTTTTGTCTCTTCTCTTGTTCAGATTAGTTTAGTGTTTTTGGAACGTGGAGGGGATGTGGGCGGCTGTGAGGAAAAACTTTATCTCAGTATCATTTAATTTTAGCTGGACTACATGCTGTGATCTGTTTCAGTTACTATCACAAGTTAAGTCCTACTAACTTTACCCACTGAGCAATAGACGGCTATTAATCGTCTAGTCTTTTTTAGACCTAATTTCAACCATCTAGATTCTGTACATTTTTAGACGGGATTTAGATGTTGCACTTTAACCCATTATTTGATAACAATTTATTTCAAAAAGCAATTGTGAGTTGCATAACTGATCTCCAAGTACCTAACCACACTGATTATGACTGCCATTGAACAATATACAGTGTAGTATAGATACAGCCCAGATTTAGATCTAGTCTAAACTTGGTCTAAATTTAGACAAAAAACTCTCATGTTTAGACCTATGGTAGCCTGATTTTAGACCAGTCGTCTAGGCTACATTTAGAGGTCTTGTAGACCTCTTTCAGACTTCAAAATGCTCAGTGGGTAGTAAGCTAACAGGCAGTCACATGGCATGCTATCTGCTAACACAAAACTATGAGTGCAAGAAAAGTACAAAAACAAAAGAGCTTTCTTCCTGCTAAGTCGAGCAGTGAACATTTTCTAAATTACGCGTACACCCACACCAACACTATTGTTTGGGTCAGAGTTTCTTAAATTAGCTAAATTATTTGGTAAAATTGACACCGTCTGCAGCAGTTGTTGGGCTAGTCTGTGCTGGTCTGGGCTGGTCTCCAGGCTGTTTTCTCAACAGGGCTGACCAGGATATTGTGAAGGAAATAAACTCACTGGTGATAAGAACTTCACTCAACTCCACTTCACAACAAGTGAACCGTCTCTTTTATATAAAACATAGTGAAGGAAATTGCGTTGAGAGTAATTGCTGTTTTCTTTTGGTGTAGACAGTCCTCTGTAAGAAGTTTTCAAAACTTTCCTATCACATTGCTGAAGTAGAAAAGCTGAGGAATAGGCTGTAGTTGACAATCCTGTGGGGCCCATCCAAAAGGTAAAAATGCTCATTTTTGGCACTGACAACATTTCTATAATGTACAATAGGATTGGCATAGTTCCTGAGATGATAAAAAAAAAAGTTACTCAAAGTGTGTCTCATGCTCTTAATTTTACAGGAAATGCAGAATCTATGGATCGGCATAGTTTGAAATGGTTAAAATAATCAACAAATTGGGTATTGGTGAAAATTCATCATCATGTATCCCTAATTTTGATGAATGTCGTTCCATTACATCTTTTTTCTGAATCTGTTTTCAATCACAATGGGATCCTTATCAAAAGAATTCCATGTTTGTGTTCTTGTGTGACTTTGATGATTGAATGATCAGAGGTATAGTTACTCCATCAGTCACTGGGTACATTTCCTTCAGGGACATTATGGGCAGTTTCTCTGTTGCAGACCAAATCAATCTATGCAAGCAATCTTAACACCGAGCTTTGAGTCATTTGACTCTGAGATGTGTTACGATAAGGCCACAATTTAAATCAATGAAAATTACTTTGAAGGGTGATAATAGTTTTTGTTCCCAGCACTGATTTTGTTCTCAGGTCAAATGTTTAATGTGTTTTCTTGAGGTCAGTATGTTGAAATCACAAAACTTAGATGAACATTTGCTCCAGTACATAACATCATCACAATCTGTATAGTTAATGGGTTATATCTTTTCTGTTGTAGATCATGTGGATGCTGCCCCTCTCCCCGTCCCCCACATGATGGCTCTGGTCATGTCCCAGCTGCAGCCCATGCTAGAGGGCTTCAATCGCTCCCTGGAACACCTGAGCCGGCAGGTAGGGGATCTGACTCGCGATGTTGCCCACCTAAAGAGCAGCCAGCTGGGGGCTGAGCTGCAGGCAGAGCCCCCTGAGCTTGACGTCACTGAACATGAAGAACCAGCTGAGGAGCGCCTGAATATCAGACTGGATGAAACACTTCAGCAGATCAGGGAAGTCCGCAGGCAGATGGAGAGCCAGCGGACAGACATAGAGAACAGGCTGCACTCCCAGCATGCAATGCTGCACTACAACCTCACCAACTTTAAGACAGATATCGACATGAAACTGAAACGGCACCAGAAGATGCTACAGGTTAGTGACAAAAAGGAGGATATTAGGACAGGCTTAGACAAGAATAAGGACACTTCCACACATTCTTATGACAATTCATCCATCCACCAATCAGCTTTAATTATTTATGCTTTTAATTCAAACTTTTGTCATTATTATTGCCAAAAATAAAACCTTACAAAAATACCTAAAATATTACAAAAATAGATCTTTCCTGCTTAAATACTCTGACTGGACCAAAATATATATATATATAGGGGAGACTGGGGCTCAGGTAAGTTACATGGGTAACTTGTCACATTGCAATTATCTTTGCCACCAGAGGGCGCAACTAAAACGTGAAAAACTAGTTTTCTTTCTTTACATGGTCAGGGGTCGTGTCTTGTCTGAGAAGAGAATCCACATTGTGAGTTGAAATGAGCGCCAATTAACCATTTTGCACAACCCAAAGTAAAAAATATAGATATCTTTTAAAATAAGCTCCTTCCACATAGAAATCCTAGCAGTGATACACATGGACTTGTTAGAGGATAAATTAAGGCATCCTGTCATACCTCAGTCATTGTTCTGTTTTAAGTTAACTTTAAGATAGAGCAAGAATTAGCAAACATGGTAGTTTGGGGCAACATGTCTCAGTCATTTTGGGGTTAGTTGTTGTTTAAAATGGATTAAAATTAACATAGAGTGTCAGTTTATCAGCAGTTGTCATATTGGAATTTGGACATTATTTTTACAGAAAAGCGAGTGGTTTAAATGAGAGGAGAAAGTAAGAAGATTTGGTCAAGAATTAACAAAAGAAATACAGAATGTGGCAGTGCAGTTTCTGATGTGATGCTGAGGGCAGTCAGGCAGGTGACCCGAGTGAATAAATCAATCTGGAGTACAATAAAGGACTTTAATGTCAACTACCATACCTCAGCTCAGTACGGCAAAACATTCACTCCAGCCGAAATACAGAGTCAGACAGATCTCCAAACTCCAGAGCATGTTGCATAATATTCTACGTTAACGTTTGTTCAGTGGTTTCGTTCAACAACTTTTTTTTGCTGAATGATAAACATTTTCTGTGCCTGACTTTGATGTTCACTTTCAAGTAAAAAAATGAGAACATCAATAATTTTGTTCTTGTTTTATTAGCTGTAAAATCCAACGTGACATCTTACCCCATGTAGTGAGACAACTTACCCGATGTTAGGGCAACATGTCACATGTTCACTCTATCTATTTGATTGCTTATAACTTTGCACTGAAACAAGATATGAAAATGACATGAATATGAAGTACATACCTGAGACTTTGGTCTTTCATCTGGTTCACATTTTGTTTATATATGATGTATTGGTTGCAAGAAATATACAAGAGTGTAAAAAGTGTGACAACAAGCCCCGGTCTCCCCTATTCTGTGTACTTTTAAAATTTGTCTGAAAATATACCCACAGTCACAGAAAGTTTACGCCTGTCTCTGCTCTCAGGTCAGCCTGCAGGCCATGAACAGCACACTGGCTGAGCTGAAGCTGGATCAGGATCAGACTGCTCAAGATCGGCCGCAGGTCGACTCTGGTCCTCCCCCTGTGCCTTTTTCTCCCCTGCTGCAGACCTCAGAAACTTCAGCACTTTGGGAGGCCATTGAGCGCCTGGATAACAGGGTGGTTAATAACACAGTAAAGGTGGGTTGACCAAAAACACATGGGTGACTTTATTGTTGCTGCTACAGCACAGCCCTGTCTTACAGTTATACTCTTCTGAGGTGTCTCTCTCCCCCACTTGTTGCTGTGCAGGTGGATGGGCTGACAGAGGACTTGGAAGTGACCTCGGGCAATGTACAGCTGCTGAAGAGGGACTTAAAGGATCTTGGGAGACGGATAGACCAGACAGCCAGAAACAGTCAGATCCAGTTCATGGAGACAGGGCTGGAGGTGGAGGCAGCACGGGAGACGGTGCTGAGGCGTGTGGGTGAGCTGGCAGGTAACCTGAGTCTGCAGGGCGAGCGGCTGCAGGAGTTGGATGTGGATGTGGACTATCTGTACAACAACCCTTACAGGCACAACTCGTCTGGAGACTGCGACTGCAAGAGCCTAAAAGCTGCTGTGGCTCACCTGGAGAAGAGCGTGGCTAATGTGACCGAGCTGGCCAATGAGAACAGATTAGCTCTGGATGAGAACAATGAAGGTGCTGGGATGTGGGGTGGGGTGAGTGACTGGGAGCCAGTAGTGGGGACCTATCAACAGGACCTTCAGCAGGTAAATAAAGTCCTCTGATATTTTTTTTTTACTCAACACAACTTAAACTTTGGATTACATTGTGGAGAATCAACATTATAGTTAGTTTTAGAGAAGAAGCACCACATATCTCCCTAATACTACAAAGTATTTAGCAGCTGAATAGTCACATATGTTCCACAGAAGGAGGTAGAGACCAGAAATACAGATTATGAATACCCAGCTTAATTTATCAGGAGGACATGAGTATGACTTTATGTTAATGATCATGCTGAAGTTGTTTCTGCTTTATCACAGAATACAGAATCAAAGCAGAAAAAATAAAGTACAAAATACTAAATTTTAGAAAAATCTCACTGTTAGTTCTTTTGAGATTCTGCCACATTGAAGATTTTGGACCTCCATCAAACAAAATGTGTTTATTAGAGAAGTTTATCCCCACAGGTCTGTAGAAAATGAAACATATCGTTATACATAGAGTTGTTGGTTTAGAGTTCTGGTAAGGATCACTTCATGTTGTCTTTGGTGATGACTTTCATTTCTTTTCTAATTTTGTACAAGAGTAAGTTTTCTTATCATAAAATTTCCCATCTTCTATTATTATTTCTAACATGACACTCAATGTGAATCTTGGCCTTGAATAATCTTTAAATGTTGGTGTTCTTCTCAGCATGTTGTACTTGTCACATGGGGAAAGCTGGGGCTCAGTGGTGAGTCAGTTGTCTCTCAATTGGAATTGTGGGGGTTCAAGCCCAGGTCCCACTGTCCATATGCAGAAGTGTCCTTGGGCAAGACACATAACCCCCACCTGCCCTTGTTGGATATGTCCATGATGTATGAGTGGGATTACTTAATACCAAGCTGCAACCTTTGGTCCTGAGAAATAAAGCCCATCTGAAAGTGCTAAAGACTGGAGCTCTCTGAGTGTCCACTTGAGTTACCAGAAAACATATACATGAGAGTTTAAAAAAGACCGCTTTTAGGGCAAGAAATAAGTAATCTGAATAGCTAATGGCTCCTATGACACCAGCTGTACGGCAAGTGAAATTTTTGTTCATATTAAAGATATTTAAGTTACAAGCTGGTGAATCAGAAGCAATGTTGACATGACTGACAGGCAAGCACACTGTAGCTTAAAGCCCGCCTCTGGCACATTGACCAAAAGTTTGGTTGAGTCAGCATTTCCATTTTGGCGATTGCCACTGCAAGGCTTCAAAACTCTTTAGAAACCTACAGCTGACGTCACTAAGACTATGACTGTGACTGTAAAGTCTATGGTTAACACTGATGGCTGCCTTATAAAGCAGCCTCTGCCATAAGTGTATGAATGTGAGGATATGATGAGTTTTATCAAAGAGTTTTGAACGGTCAGGAGACTGGAGACAGTGTCACATCAACACAGTCAATACACACAACAGTCATAATAAGTTACAAGCCTTTAAGACTGAAGTGTTTGTAGTTAATTTCTTTTCTTGGATGGAGTGAAGGTTTTCTTTTTTTTCAATCTTAAGTTTTCAATAATGTCAAACAGGAGCTAACTTTTTTAAATGGCCCCTTGAAATTAAAAGGTATGACGCGTAGAAAGGGGAATACTTAGCGATATCCAGCAGTCAGATTCCAGACTGAAAGACTGAAACATCCCATAGTGCAACATTAAGAGAACTACTGCATAAAGCCCTCATTGGTATTATCTGATCCCATTTACACACTGATGGCACAACACAGGGGATAAGTGTATAGTTCAAGGACACTTTGGCATGCAGGCTGTAGGACCGGAGATCAAACCCCTGACCTCCCTATTAAAGAAGTAAGGAAATGTTTACTTCATATTACTTCCAAGGGTTAATTTGATAAAGGCAAACCTCACTCAAGCTTTAAAAATCTATTTACAACCCACTATTCATGAAACCAAACTCTATGTGAGAGAGCAATTCAACTCTTCCCAGGTCTACTGTGCAGGTCGGCCATTTATACAACATCCTGCAGCCCCAAATATTTACCTTTTCTCCAAATGTAGACTTATCCTCTGTCTGGAGAAGTCTCCAGCTAATGACCTATTATATTTTGTTTGCTTCTTGAAAACAAGGAAGAAAAAAAAATGCTGTTTACAGAAAGGCAGACAGGCCTGTTGCTGATTTGAGTCAGAAAAACTCCAAGTGATCTTTTATTCCTCATCCTGCAGGTGAGGGACACTCTGACCTCAGAGCAGACCAGGACTAGCTCTCTGGAGCAGAGTCTGAACCAGCTCCGAAGCTTAGTAACAGTGAATCTTGCAGAGGTCTCAGGCCTGAAGGCAGTCGACAAGAAGCTGTTGGATGAGTTGGATTACGTGTCCAGCGCCTTTAAGGGTCTGCTGTTAGACACCATCCGTCACAGTGATGTGCTGGAGCTACTGCTGGGGGAGGAAGTGTTAGAGTTTCTGGAGTGGCCAGAACAGGACCGGGAGGCCTACTCTATCCCAGCCCTGAAAGAGGAGCTGAGCCTCCTGCAGGACGAGCTGAGAGAACACAACCTGAGTATCTCTTCCCTGCTGGGAAACAAACCAGGTAAAAAACACCAGCATGAAGGGTTTCTATGAAATAACTAGTTAAGGCCATCATATTATACTATAGATTAAACCAACCAATAGTACAAAAATTAACCTACAGCAACATTTTAGCCAAAATATATTCATAAATCTACAACTGTGAAGTCCCTTGCAAAGACAATCATCTGTCCCTTGTGCTTACAGGAGCATTTTCTCACCAGAAATAAAATCACAAGATGAACCCGAGATAATACATCATTTAGGAAGAGGATGTGTACACTTTGGCTCGCCATGGATGATGAATTAGACTAAACTAATCTCTATGGCTCCAACACATCACAACAACAAAAGTATATTCAGTCCGTCTCAGCTGTAGCGGTAAAACGATAAAGAAAATGCTTGAATGCATGAAGCCACAGTTTAGATCAGTGTTGGTGTTGCCACGCTTAGAAGATGAATGCTTTTGTGACCTAACTAGTAAAACATCACACTGTGAGTTGGTGAGTTACAGTTACTCTACAGTAGATACATATCACCTTCGTGTCTGATATTAAACCTGGAGGTTTTTAACCTTCCTCCTGTGATAGCTTTTACTACGCAACCACTATTTCAATGGGTCAGTTTCGACCTGTCTTCAATCAGCTGCAAATGACACTAAAAACTATTCGCTATCATTTAATTTGGTTCTCATCTCTAGGTTACCTTGTTAGGCTTCATTATTCATGAAAATATTGCTTATGATATTTTTTGTTGTGGGCCTCTGGACCTTTCTTTGTCAGTATACCCTTCACACAGACATCTATACTGAACTGATCTCACATCTCTGGACATGTCCATCGTTGTTTTTTGTGCAGGGAAAAACCAGGCAAAATGAGAATTTCATAAATGTTACATGATTGGAAGAGGATCTGACTGTCAGTGTGGTGCCTGACAGTGAACTTATGATTTTAAGTTTTGCTCTAATTATTGGATATTGATCTAACTGGGTCAACAGCGACCGTAACACGACAAGTGCCATGATTTTAAGAAGAGCGCTTTATAATTTAGTCAATTTAATTGTTTTTATTCTGTTGAAATAGAGGTTCCTGACAAAGTCAAAAAGTTTTGATGCAAAAAAGCAAATTTATGTGGTTCTTTTAAGCATTTAAAAACAAAAACAGTTTGGTGCAGACCCTAACACAGGAGGAGGGTCAAACATACCATATGAAGAAATAGAACCAGTTTAATTTAGAGTTTCCTTTTTTTTTTTTTAACCAATAATGAAATCTGAGCCTGTCATTTAGATCCAAACAACTGATTGAGCAGCATCTTGTGGAAGATGTGAGAAACTACAACAACAGCACACAAGTCTGTAGTCTTTAAATGCCATCTTTGGTATTTTAAACAACAATCCTGAAAATGTTCAAGTCTGAACCAAAGTATCCACTGAACACTAATCAATGTTTATCTACCCTAAGCACAGAGCTAATTTTTCAAAATTCATCAATTCTAGGGTGACCATACTCTGACTTCCCAAAAAGAGGACACAACTACACAGGGCCGGAGTCACAGAGTCGCACAAAGTTAATTTTGAGTTTTTCAGGTCGGATCAAGTGTCTTTTATGTGCTGCTAACTCACTAAGTCCATGTGACACAAAACCGAAATTTTTCTACAAAACTGTGGAAACTTGAAGGGTTTTATAAATTTCCCTGGACAAAGCCGGACAAACCCAGACAGCCTCCAAAAAATCCGGGTAAAAGAGGACGTATGCTCACCCTAATCAATTCTGTATTTCAGATGTAGGCTATACTAAAACACTGCTGTAAAACCCTCTGAAAGTGAGGTTGTAAGTGTTATCATCGCTAAGACTGCAGCTAGTGGACACAGGCCCTAATTTTGACATCAGCTCATTATCTTGAAAGAGCACTTCATTACAAAGTAGAGTTCTGGCCTCAGATACTTTTAAGTGTTTTTAAAAGATCAAATATGAAGAAATGAATAAGTTACAAGAGAGAGAAGTTTCATTGTCAACAGTCACTTCATATAAAACTTGTCAGGATAGCATCAAATTCAGCATCCAGGAAATAAATTAAGAGGTAGTGGTAGGTTTGTTTGCGAATGTACCCACTTTTAGACTAACTTTGACTCCTTGCTGCCCCAGAAGACAGAGAGGAGGTACCATCTGCTGACCAGCCCTCCTCCTCCCACATCCCTCCTGAAGAGTGGTTCCCAGGCAGCAGGAGAAGGAGTACCAGCGGAGTTCCAGCCAGAGAGCGGCAGCTACTCTTCCAGCCTGTGGGGAGGCATCCAGGGCACGGAGTAGACGGCAGTGACCTGTGGAACCTGGAGAGAAGGGTGGAGGAGCTGGGGCAGAAAGTGCTCCTGCTGGAGGAGAAACACCGCAATGCCACTACAGTAAAAGCTCCACCTCCCAGTGATGTGGAGGTCAAACTGCAGGCGGAGGTGCTGTGGCTGAAGAGAGGGCTGGAGGACCACCTGAGAATGTTCAAGAACATCTTCAGTGATTCTGACGTACTGGCTGGATCTGACGCCACGCTGCAGCTGGACAAACTGTGGCAGCTGGTGAAGAACCTCGAGAGGAAGAAGGAGAAGAGGGGAGGAGGGAAGAAGGGGAATGGAAAAGGAGGAAACCACCGCAACAGGAGGGAGACATCAGGTGAGCGTGAACAAAGGGTCTCATGAAAGAAAGATGTCTTCTAGAGGACCAACTTAACTTCTCTAGATTCTACTAAGAAACTCATTCATTCAAGAGTTTTAGGTCTGACAAACTTAATTTTACACCAGAATATCCCTTTAACCTCCTCTCTCTCTCCAGGTGTTGTTCCTGTCCTGAACAGCCAGTCAGACGTCCCCCAGGTGCTTGTGGCTGGATCTCCTCTGCGTGTCTTTAATAGGGTCATCTTGTTGGACTCCAACACTGGCACCTTTACTGCTCCAGTGAACGGGATCTATCTGTTTGTCCTCACGTTGGACCTGAGGCCGGGCCCTGCCTTTGTGGTCCTTAGGAGGGGATCAGGAGGGGCCACAGTGTCTCTACTCCAACAGGAGGTGAGGGAAGCGGGGCCAGTTACAGGGGTGAGCCTCCTGCTGTTGGGTGAGGGGGAGGAGGTGAAGCTGGAACTGAAGAGTGGTGAGTGGGGGGAGTCAGAGGACAATGTGTTCACAGCACTGCTGCTGCATCGGACCACCTGAGGGCGCCAGAGGCCTATAAGAGACACTGATCAGAGACTTTAGGAGGGACTGAATCACAGAGATCACAGAGGACCACAGAATTAATTTGGAAATAAATCAAAAAGTAAACTTTGTGGGGTTATTTTTTTAAAAGCACCTTTTTGAAACATGAGTGAAAATGTTGGTCTGAGAGGCGATGAAGTTAAGGTTTAAACATTGTAGACTAAAATGTTGACTTTCAGACCTCCAAAATACTAAACCAGGAAATAAACTAAGAGGAAATTTTTAAGATTGTTTATTTTGTTTGTGTTTGCTTCTCCTGTCTTCCTTCAGTGTATTTACTCTGAGCACTAAATCCTGTCTTTCTTTGTCTCAGCATGTGTCTGTTACATATAGAGCTGGAGTTCACTTATTGTTCGCCTAGCTGAGCATGGATGAGGGGGGAGGAGGAAACAGTCAGCCTGTCTCTGGACAAAAACACACTCCAAGTCCACAAACTTTGACTCATATTTAAAATATGGAGTGCAGTTTGGGTGTTTTTGCTATAAGCATTGACTTTATTTTCAGATGGGTGACGCATCTGCCCAACAAATGTCCATTAGCACAAAAATGAAGCAGGATAAAAATTCAAAAACACTCATTAACCTCTCTGATAAAACATTGAAAAAGACCTTTTTAACTTATTTGTTGAGCCTTAAACACCTTTTATTATATGTTGGACAGCTTGTAGGTGTTACTTTTTACAGTTTTACATCCCTCAGAAAACCTCAGAACTTTCTGAGACATACTGAATCAAAAAAGTGAAGAATTGAGGATAAGATTTCATGTGATGATGTTCTGATAGTCGGCCCATTTCTCTTTACATTTAGATTGGGCTTCTAACCACTGCCCATAATGCCTCACTCTGGTTACAGATCTTGAAACAACAAGCTACGGCAGCTTTGATGTCTGAAGTCAATCCAATAAAGTATCCACCATATTCAGAGGATGATCATACTCATATGTGCAGTAACTCCCTCCCCATGATGTTGCTGCAGCATCACCTTCAGCTTAAGATGTGTCACGGTCTCTCAGACATCTGGTTTATGTGGATGTAAAGGCTCAGAGTGCTCGAGCCAGCAGGTCAGCATCTGTGGAATTGTGTGGCATAGGATGATTTTGTTGACATAAAAAATTTAGAGCATTGATCTGTGCACATTTCACTCCCGAGACTGACTTTCAGTGAGGAACTTGCCTTTACAGCTATGAACATATTTGTAAAACTTGTATCATGACTGTGTTTGAGGGGAATCATCTATCTGATGTGAAGAAAATCTTCTGATGTTGAGTCACCAGGTATCTGTGATGATTGTGCAGTACTGATAAAGATCGATAAACCACACATGATATTTATATACGAGAGCTGAGCTGTTTGTTGGTGTAAACAGAGCGATGAATATGTTTCTATAAAGTATTATCTGCCTCTAACTTAATAAAGTTCTATATACAAAGGTCTCTGTGTAAAGTTTCCATGCTGCAAACAAAAAATTGAGATAATTCCTACATTACCTTGATCTGATCAAGACAGTTTCACATCAGCACAACCCTAAACTTAACCCTTTTTATAAAGGAGCTGGTCAATTAATCATTTCAAACAGGAGCTTCAAGTGTTCACACTGTAAATCTCAGCTCTCCGACTCCACTGAAAATGTTCTCTAAGTAAATAAAATCGTATAAATGTTAAAAATCTGCTCCTTGTTATCCAAAAAAAACTTGTTAAAGCTCCTGTGAGGGATTTTTTGTTAGTGATGATTTTGCCATTCCATGTGGGCCAGCGGTTACAATTCCGTCATGGAAATGGTCATTCTTGTTTTTGATGGTTGATTTTCTCTTAAAGGACATACAGAGATATTACTGTTAGTTTTAATCTGTTTCATTGATAGTCAAAAACTCCTCACTGGAGCTTTAACACGTAACAAATACTCTGTTGCTTTAAAGTAAACATGATGTCACTCTTATGCAACAGTAAGTTCAATTTAAATATAATGAAATGTCGACCTCAGGGTTTTTAAGCTTCCTCAGATGAAAATAAGACTCTCGAATGTTTCATTTAAACATTTTAATCATCTTATCATCTCTGTTAAGTCTACAGTGTAGAAAAATAAGCATCAAAAATATACCAAAATCAACAAAATAAAATCTGGCAAAGCAAAAAAAAAAAGCCAATAAACAAAAAATTTGACATGTTGGAAAAAAAGAATGAAAAAAAAAAAACTCTTCATGTGAACTTTTTTCCAGCACTAAAATGCTCCAGCATCATTAATATCTTTAACTCAGGTCTGGTCTGAACCTTTTCTGAAAAGATGACAACCTGTCGGTCAAAAAGCAGGAGAAAGCTTAAAGTTGATATATCTATTAGATAATAGCTGATTAAATGATCCGTTATTATAACTCGACTGGCTTCAGACCAGACATGAGTGTGTTTGTTTAGCCCACCTTTAGATCCAGGTGGGCCAGATGGGTTCTTGGCAGTAGGACACATCAACTCAATCCATAATCAAACAACACTCTGATTTCGAACATGTCCTTTCATGATCTAAAAACCAAAACGGAGTCGTCAGAATCCAGAAACAAAACAAAAACGTCTCCCTGAACAACGGGAGAGATGTCAAAATTAAATGAGCAACAAGCAGAGAAAGAAATCTATCATCAACACTTCTGAAGTGCACTAAAGTAGAGTTACATGCAGCTGCGCCGCTGCACTAAAAAGATCTGCATATATCATCATTACAATAAATGTACACACACTCAAGTGATTCTCTCAAGGCTAGAATACATCTGAAAACATCATGCTAAATATTAGCTGCAACTCTGTCAAAATAAAAGCTTCAGTTAATAATCTACAATCCTCTAACAGGTAAAAGACAGCTCCACATCCCAAACCAGGCAACAAACTAGCTTTAGAAAATTAGATGAGGTCTATAGAGAGTATATTCAGGTTAGGCAGATAGAATAGTTTGTTAATATATGCACGACTCAGTCGACAAGCTACAAAAATAAATAGAGTAACAAGTAGAGTAGATTTATATAGAAAGACACTGAAGAAAAGAGCTCTTCTACTTCCTGTCGTGTCTTCATGTCCTTCATTTCCTGTTTAGATCTGTGCAGCTCAGAGGGTTCAGCACAAATATACAATATACTGTATATACTTATATCAGTAATCAATATATATATTTATACCCAAGTTGCAGCTGCCAAAACCTGACGTCAGTTCAACTTTACACCGAAGGATCAACACACAGACACGTCACACAAAGTCTCCGACTGAATCCGAAGAGTTGACCTGTAACAATGTCGAAACAAGAATTCTGGACCATGGCCCTGTCAGTTTTTCTTAGAGGAGAACATTTTTTCCTCAGATCTTGTTTTTATACGATAGTGAGCTCAAAATGATTAATAACTTGGACTGGTGGTCAGAAAAAATGGAATTGCTTAAAGAGGACATGAAACACACCACATTGGCATCCTCAGGTGGTAAAAAAAATCAATTGGAAGAGAGTCTGAAATATTTTTTTGTGTAAAAAATCAGCTGTTTAATAGGAAAACCGCTTTCAAGAGTGTATTTACGACATGCGCACAGCGCCATTTTGAGTTTACGACAGTTGTGACATCACTGGTTGTGCAGGGACAAAGCGGTGAAATAGTAATTAGTGTACGTGAAAATATAAAACATCCTAAACTCTGTCCATCACACACCCGAGCAGAGACATAACTGATCAAACCTTCGGAAAAAATTTCTTACCTTCACTCTAGGGTCTAAAACAGTCAGCATTATCAGTCATCCAGCTCCAGCTGTTTAATAATCCACCGATATTATTCACATCCTGTTTCTCGCGGTCAGTGCGTTTCATCCATTTGCATTGAGTGAAAAAAAGTTTTAGATCGCTTTAGCTTCAGGTGTCCTGATAGAGACCGACAGCAGGAGCATCTCTGGACCTGGTACTGAGTCCAGACCACAGGTCCAGACAGGCCGCGACTGACTCACCACGTTCCGTGTCCCGGTAGAAGAAGACCAGGAAATAAATGACTGAGCCGGCTGACCAAAAATAGTGCTAAACACTTTAATTTGGATGAGACGCTGACCATGAGGTTGTAAATGGGATTTAAACAGGATGTAAACGGGAATAATATTGGTGGATTATTAACCTGTTGGAGCTGGATGAGTGATAATGCTGACTGTTTTAGACACCAGAGTGAAGGTAAGACATTTTTTCCTCTGTTATTTTATATCAGATCTCCGTTAAACAGTGGAGACTCTGGTGATGAAGTTTATTACACTTAATACCGATGTTTACATCTGATCGCTGCTGCTGCACGTGTGAGCTGCGGAAAAGCTGCGGAAAAGCTGCGGAGAATCACCGGCTGTTTCAGCAGCAAATGATGAAAATGCAACGCTTTTTTATTTCTTACGTTGTAAAATTGGTTGGAGCAGCCTGGTGCAAAACAGAATACCCCTCCTCGAGTGAGTTTACTCGTCTTTGGCTCTCGATTCGCCATTTCAGCCATCCTAATCTGTTCCCATTCAATCAATCTCCATTCAGTCAATACACGCGACATCAATACGTCATGCGAAGTGGCACTGCTTTACGGTTCCCCGCAGTGTCGCTAAAGTGGAACTTCTGTCACAGTTTTCTAGAAATGTATTAAAATTTGAGAGTCATGAATACAGTGATTTGTGAAGTGGAGAGGCATTCTTTAAAATAATGATAACTTGGGTCAGTGTTTCATGTCCTCTTTAATATCAGTGACAAACAGAGATATTGGATGGCTACAGAAAAAGTAGCTAATTATTTCTCTATTATTCAATTGGGGAGCGGTGTTCCTGATACCTTTTAGCTTCTGTTGTTAATGACGTTAATCTATCTGCCTCTTGCTATTATCTTGAAACCTCGTGGATCCAGACTTGAGTAACCTGCATGTTTATTGATGTGTCAGTGGTTTGATCAGAGAGAGGCTGCAGGGCTGAACTGACAGCAGGTTTTTTGATCACGTCGGTTCACCAGCTGTTTGTCTCGTGAACAGCGTCGAGTGCTTTCTCCGTTAAAAATCTAGATGTGCTTTAATCCAGCAGACATTCATTGACGGATTCTGTTAAAGTTCTGTCTCTGTGATGTTGATTGTTTGTGTTTGTGTGAATATATATGTTTGTGTGTCAGTCTAGGAGCAGGCGGACCGTGGCGAGTCTTTGCTGCGGTAGATTATGAAGCGACTGTTTCTTGTTCACATGAAGCTGCAGACCAATCAGAGTTAGATCCACCCAGCTGGAGGGGGCGGAGCCTCAGGAGGTTATAATAATAATGTGTTGGCACGATGTAAATATAAGAACAGAAATGTTATGTCTGAGTTCAGCTCATACTGATGGTTATGAGGCATCTGGACTCTTGAACTCTCAAACTGTGAGATCTGCAGGGGGTGTGGTGGTCGGTCCTGATCAGCTGTTCGGGCGGAACCGGGCCACGTAGGCGCCACAGGACGGGCAATAGGGGCGTGACGGCTCAGCAGGGAGCTGCTGGCACAGTGAGCAGAGGTGGGGGTCCCTCCGAGGCCGGGTGGTAGGGGGCTGGTGGGAGCTGCTTCGCTGGAGGGGCTGGTGGTGGCGAGCAGTACGAGGGTCCCAGGAGGAGCTGAGCTGGACAGTCCTATATTCAGCCTCCCTACGCCAGTCAGTGTCAGGGGGCACATCCAGGCGAAGCGGCTGTGTGGGGCCCTCCCCTGCTACCCTGAGGGGGTGTGGAGGATAGCAGGAGGAGCCATTGACTCTACTGGGCAGTGACGGTTGCCTGTAGTGACCATTGGGGTTGGCAGAGCGGCGAGGGTGGGACAGGGTGGCGTAGAGACTCTGAGGACCTGTAGGAGGTGCGGGGCCGGGGCCTGGACCTGTGCGGGGTCTGGGGAGTGAGGAGGTGGAGGAGGCAGGAGGGGCACGGCGAGGAGCCCGGGGCAGAGTGCCGTAACTTAACGCGACACTGTGGAGGCTTTGACCTGAGAGAGCCTGATGCCTGTCAGACACAGCCAGAAACTGCTGCTGGACTCCTGATCCAGGTCCTGAGGAAGAAGAGGAGGAAGAAGAGGAGGAGCAAAATGTTTATGATTAAAAACAAAAACACAAAGAAAACATTGGAACTAAGGAGAGTTTTGTATCAAACAACTGAGAGCTTCCAGCCAATCATCTCTCTTCTTGGTCAGTTTACAGAGTAAAGCTTCCTGTCAGGTTAATGTTTAGCTGTTTGTGATTGGCTGCAGGGAAACTATGTTTGTGACTCAAAGATTAGTTTGGATCTTAGACTGAGGATAGAGAGTTGAGGTGTTGATAGCCAATGAATCACTTTATAAAACCTGTATTTATTCCTCATGCTGGTGGCACAAGCAAGTCTGAATTTGCAGAAACAGATAATAAGATACGCCCACTCCTCAGTTGAGGGGACTTATTAAAGGGATATCTGCCTTTTTCAAACTGAGGCTGTATGAGTTACTTGTGAATTACTCTGTTACCCACAGAGTGTACCAGTAAGCTTGGCCCATGTTAAAGGGATATTCCGGCATTAAATTAATTTAGGATTAAAAACACCGTAACACCAAGTTTAGACACCGCGCCGGAAGATAAATTTTGCCGACCGCTTGCTTCTCTAGTTATACCAACTTTAGTAACGACCGCAGATAGCTATAGCCACTCTATAGCCACAAATAACGCTCAGAACAGCACCTAACTTCATCAACAGTACATATAGGGTCCTAGCCATAGTACTAGACATCAAACATCTTTTTAGCTTTGCCTAATTTTTTTAGCAAAGAGACTAAACACAACTCACCTACTCTCTTCCAGCAGCCACTTGTCTGTAGGGAGACCTCAGGCCAGTCCATTACGGACTGCTAGGGGGTGACACAGCTCAAGGAAGAACATTTATGATCATGTCTTCATGGAAATGCAATCAGACTGAGACGCTAAGGCAGAAGAACTACCGCGTCTGCAGTGGAAAATGATTAATATGGTGATTATTATTTCAAGGAAATGATAAAGTAATGATCATAAATGTTCTTCCTTGAGCTGTGTCACCCCACCGTAGTCTGTAACGGACTGGCCTGAGATCTCACTGCAAACAAGCGGCTGCTGGAAGAGAGTAGGTGAGTTGTGTTTGGTCTCTTTGCTAAAGAAATGAGGCACAGCTAAAAAGATGTTTGATGGCTAGTGCTATGGCTGGGACCCAATATGTACTGCTGATGAAGTTAGGTGCTGTTCTGAGCATTTTTTGTGGCTATAGAGTGGATTTTTGGTTGAGATTCATTTATGGCTCCTCAGACTGCTGTGTATTGCTATCATGCGGTCGTTACTAAAGTTGGTATAACTAGAGAAGCAAGCAGTCGACAACATTCATATCTCGACAGGATGTCTAACTTGGTGTTATGGTGTGTTTGACCCTAAATTAATTTTATGCCGGAATATCCCTTTAAGAGCATTTTTACACTATACTGCAAACACTCTCTGTGATGAGATGAGAGAGTGATACCATACTGTGATGACTGTGGTGGGTTTGTTGATGCTGGTGGAGGTTCAGGTGGAGGTGGAGGGCCAGTGGGTTACCTGAGTGTCCCCAGGAAGAGAGGCCCGAGCTTGGGGGCCGTGATGTCTGCGTGGGGGGGTGCTGTGGAAGAGGTGCAGGAGCTGAGGGGCCGTGGTGTCGGGGTTGGTGGTGTTGGAGGTGCTGGTGGTGGAGGGAGTGTTCTGCAGTGAAGGACGTGGAGGAGGTTGTGGAGGATGCGGAGGAGGGGAGGTGCAGGGAGGAGGTGCTTGGGCGACGGAGGAGGGAGGTGGTGGAGGAGTGATGGTCGGTGTGTCTGAGGGAGGGTCTGGGCAGATCGGGGTCCTTTTCAGTGAGAAGGAGAAGTGGAAAGATGATAGTGATGAAGGAACGATGAGGTAAAAGAGGGGAAGATGGAAAAACAAAGATGAAAAAAAACAGAAAGCAGAGGAGAAAAAAAAAAGATGATAAAAATAATGGTCAACATAACAATAAAACAGGAGGAGAAATATGCAGAAGAGAGGAGAAAGAATGGAGAAATATGAGAGAGAGAAGGGTGAGGAAACAAGATGATGCAAAAAGTGAGGATAAAAAAAAAGATGAAAAGAATTTAACATGAGGGTAAAATATAAAAAAATTACAAATCACTAAAAATGACACAGGAGAAGATGAACCTTGTATCTTTACAATACAAGTTTCCTTTTCATAAAAACTGAAAGCTGTGAGGATTTTCTGTTCAACAGAAGTGAAAATGGATCTGCACTCTTTTTGAGTTTCGTTTTTGGTCATTTCCACCTTCCCACAAATTGCCGTTCTCTTTCCTTTTCTTTTTATTACTTCCTTTCCTGATAACACTCACAAACAGTTTTAGTCTGCGTATTTGCTGCTGAACAGGTCAGGCACAAGGGAACATTTTTCTCTGTAAATGACTCCATAAGATCAGTGCGACTGAACCAGCACAACAAACAAAGAGCTGAAACAGACTATTAAACTCTGTAGATCTAAGGGGAGCTGCAGATTCAGCTTGAAGTTTACTGTGGAACGATCAATAATGGAAAAACATTTACAAAAGCAGAGTCAACAGTGAAAATCACCTCAAATGATAACAGAGAGGCAACAAAACACTTTGGGAAAGAGAGCAAAATAAAATCAGTGTTATCATTATTCTCATTAGTATCATTTTATAGTTTTAGAAAACTCTTAACCCAAATAAAAAGCAATGGAAATCTCAATTAAACTTTTTCAGTTACACAGCAAATCGATTTTTAAAGCTGTAGCTTAAGTATTGCAAAGAACTCCAATAAGTATTGTGCTGTCATCATAAATGTACTGTGAAATGCAGAGTTTACAGGGTAATGCAGCGATATTTGTAGATCATACGCTTTCTTTTTTTCCTCAGCATCATGAGGTGAGAGTTCTCTCATCGCAGGGTCATGGTCATAAGTAAAGACTTGAAGGAAATGAAATGGGCCAGTGTGTCGGTGGAGCACCAGCAACAAGTGAGATTTCAGTGAAGGGTAAAATCTTCAGACTTGCTCACAAATCTAGAAAATGAGCAGCAGCGTAAATGTATGTTTTTCTTGAGTGGAGAGGATTCTCCTACGTGTTGAGTTTAAATAATAAATGAGGATCATTGACTACAGGCCTGGATTCGCCTTGTTCTTCCGGCGATCCTGCTCCCTGTGTGAGTTGTAACATTTCACTAAGTGTTACAGCTGTGCTGCAGACACAATCGACACTTAGCTGAAGAATTAAACCCTCCGGTTGGAGTCGAACATTGAGATTCTTCCTGCAGACGGTGGAGCTGGGAGGATTTGACAGAGGTATCCACAGTCAGACCTCAGCTGTCGGTTCAGATCAGGCAGTGAACGCCGAGGTTAAAAGCTTAATGGAAGAACTAAATCAGTGATCAATCTTTAATGCGCTGGCCTGAGGCGATTCCTGAGGGCTGAATACAAGATGGCTTAACGCCAGCGGCAACAGAGAGGAAAGAGAGAAACAGGTTCTGTACAGAAACAGAGGCTGCTGCTCGAGGCTCACACAGAAACCTTTACAACTGCACAGAGTTGAACCGCTCACAGGCTTTCTCACACTGTTTGAACAAGTGCAGCTCGAAATACCAGCAGCTGGTGACAGGGAGGAGCTAAAAAATAATGCTGCATAGATCCATGTCATGCCAGTTTAGTATTTAGCAAATGTGAGTTTTAATTCTGAGCCAAAATCAAAGTGCTAAACAATCGATGAGGAGAATAGGAAAGTTAAAAACAAATGATTGGTGTTTTCTATAATGTTTGAGGGCATTACATCATTTTCAGGTTAGCTATCTCACATTTTTACTGCCTCTGCTTTATGTTGTACATGCAAAACTCAAGATGAGATAGGAGAACAAATGTCTGTAAATGTTGGTATATATAGATTAATAAGTGGATTTTTACAGATACATTCAATATGTCCTCAAGTCTTCTTCATACAAATCCCACTGATGGTATATACCACTTAGGTTGTTTATTTGCATTTCTTTATGTACTGACGTTTTTCTCCCTCTCTTATGACCTGACTGGGGAGCCTTGGGGTGCTTTTACCATGTGCTCTGTTTTGTGGTTGTTTTGTATTTGTACTGTAACTTGTATAAATGGACGTCATCACTTTATTTCACTGCAGAACAAATCTACGTTTGGGTATTAATAAAGTAACCTGAACCTGAACCTAATGTAAGTTAGGGAAGCACCAGTTATTAAGTTGAACATAGTTATTGGCAAATACTGGTCCTGTTGACAGACATTGGCAAGCCAAGTGTTCGTCTGTATCCTGTTCAACTTTACTTCATCACATCAGTGTAGATCTGAGGAGATGATGCATCTGACTTCCCCTTCAGAGAAAGAAGTCCCCTGCTGGACAAACTCTGATGGATTTTCATGATTCAATGTGACAGAAAATGCATGTGCAGTGTAGGATTATGACGTAGTTTCTGGGAAAGATTTGAATTTGCTAAAGAGATATTAAGAAGGGTTTTAAAGCAACCACTTGAATAAATCAAAACTCAGAGTACTTTTAAAAATCAGACATTTCAAGACACTGGTATTAACTTTCCACATCAACTCAATTGTTGTTTCAAACATCAGTGTTATTATCTGCTCCAATTTTCACAGCAGGTACATCTCTATTGTACCTGTTTTGATCTCAGTCCTGACTAGACAGCAAAGTTATATCAGGTCATTTAATCTCTAATTGAAAGGAGCTTGTAGACCAGAGCCAACAGGACCACAGATCTACTTTGAGTGTGTACATATCTGGAGTGCTTTGAAAATCACATGTAGAAGAAGGGGCTTGTACTAAGTATGATTGTAGAATTAGTATTTGAAAGCGCTGGGACTAAGAACATCCATTATAGCAGCAAGAACAAACAATCAGAAAGGAGTTTTATAGGAACCAGTAGTATATCAGATCTGTTCTTAAAGGGATATTCTGGCTTAAATTTAAGTCAGACACACTGTAACACCAAGTTAGACACCCCCTCGAGAGAAGAATGTTGCCGACTGCTTGCTTCTCTAAGCATACCAACTTCAGCAAAAACCGCATGATACCAATACACAGGGGTCTACATCTCCAAGTGCAAACCTCAACCAAACACCACTTTATGGCCACAAATAATGCTCAGAACAGCACCTAACTTCATCAACAGTTAACATTCATCTCTTGAGGGGTGTCTAACTCGGTGTTAAATTTACGTTGGAATATCCCTTTAACCAGAGAAATTGAGAGGAGCCAGAACTGAACCTTTATGCAGTTACAACCAGCAGACACAGGGTGGCAGCACACAGTTAAATAAAACCAGCAACCAGAAACTTCACTGCAGCGGGTTTTCTTCCCAGATGATGGAGCAATTTCTATATAATGAGTGTGTGTGTGTGTGTGTGTGTGTGTGTGTGTGTGTGTGTGTGTGTGTGTGTGTGTGTGTGTGTGTGTGTGTTTGGTCAGACTTACACAGCTGCGGGAGGGGCCCAGGTTTTGTGGTCGTGATCCAATGACAGTTCCACTCAGGCTGCGGGCGATACGTCGCAGGTTTTCTGCGCTGTAGCTCTCATCCTCGCCTGTCGGCTGCACAGACAACAGAGGTAAGCATGACACTTGGACAAACTACAGAATAGACTTTTGCAACGACCTTTCCACCATCCCCTCAAACCACAACAGACCAATCACCACTCTACATGAATGAAATTAGACATGGAGTGATTGGTTACAAAAAAGAATTTTGACAAATAATTGATTCACAAAGTGTCTGAGGTTAGCTACTAGGTGTCAGAATTTCAAAACGTCTATTGAAAAATCAATTAAACTAAATATACAGCTACCACACATTTTAACCACTTAATTGCAGCTGTTGTATAATAGTATCAGAACAAACATTATATGTTTTTATATGTATGATGTAAAGTGGAAAGCATAAATACTAAACCATTAAAAACATCAGTTAACATTAGCATACATAGAGGTGGAGAGTATCTACAAGAAAGAAAATATGATCTGCAACTGAAACAGTCAGAGCTGATATTCACCAGATTTATGTGTTTGATTGGTGCTCTACATTTACAAATTTAAAGAAAAGTACCAACATATCAGTTTAACAACTTATCAGTTCACTACAAGACCTGTTTTTTTTTTAAATCTGTTCTGGAGCCTCAAACCCTGACAAGACCCCAGAAAAATGTATTTAAAAAGATGCAGATGAAATTGTTTTGAGCGAATGATCACATAACCTGCTGTGGTAAAATAGATAAATAAATAAATAAATAGAAAAAAATCACCAAAACAAACACACACACACAAAGTAATAAAAAAGGCAGCCCACACACATACACAAACACATTCACACAAACACTTGGTGAGTTGTACCTTATGAGTAGGTGTAACTGGTGTTCTGTAGGCGTATCTCTCGATCTCAGCTGTTGGTGTTTTCGATCGTCCAAATCCTGACTGCATTCTCCTCACACCTACACAAACACAAAACCAAAACCAAATAAACACAAGAACACCCTTATGAGCCGTAGAAAGAATTGTTACAGTTTAACGATAAGCAATGGAATAACTTAACTGACGTAGATAGCAGTCCCATCAAATCAAAACAGCTTCCCAACAACTATGCTTAAATAACTTATATCTGTTTCACATAGCTACAGTGAATTTAGTCTTTTTGTGTCACATTCAAGGAAGAGATTTCATTTTGGGCAAGCTTAGTGGCAGAGGCAGATGATTATTTCAGGCTTCCTATTGATGATCCTCTTTCTACTTCTTGAAGATGGTCTTTTATTTTGAAAAACCCACATGCAAAAAGAACATGAATGAGTTTCCAGTTAGCGGTCTGTTTTCTTTTCTTGGAGGACTATTGGTTGAGCCCATGGACTCTTAGTTCTCACCTGGTTTGCTGCTGGTTGTCTGAGGACTGATTCCTCGGCTGCCCCGGTGCATGCTGGGAGCCAGAAGACTGGCCTGGTATAGAGAGTCAAGCTCTGACAGCTCCTCATCAGGCATCGCTCCCCCACTTTCTGCTGCATTTTGGGAGCTGTAGTATCTGTTGACGTTCTCTGCCCAGCGCTCCACAGGAAGGGCTCCTCTATAGTCCTGGGTTGAGGGGAGGGAGGGTGAAGGGAGACTGGGCCGGCTCGCAGGCAGTGAGGGGGTGCTGGAGGGGGACTCTGGTGGGGAGTAGGGGGCGGAGCTAGGTGGGTCAAGGGGAGAATCAGGTTGATCCATGAGTAAGCAGGACCAATTTCTGGTTGTGTGCGGGGAAGGAGGCGGGGCTAGCCTGGAGGTCTGAGGGGGCGTGGTCTGTGGATGAGTGATGTAACTCTCCTCCTTCGTTAGTAGATGACACCTGTCGCCTGAGAGACCAGGTGATGGGCTTTGAGAATACGGCCTTGATTGAGGGGTGTCCCTTGTTGGTATGGAGACAGGGAGTGTTCTGGTCCATGTGGCTGGGTGGTCCACCTCCTCAGCTGGAGCAGATGGAGCCAAGTTTCCAAGGCTGCTCTGCTCTGAGGGGTTAGCACACAGAGCCGAGAAAGAGCCAGTAAAAGCAAGTGGTTTTCCAAAGCGGGAGCAGGTGCCTTTGTTCCTGCTCTCTTCCCTGGGTGAACCTGTAGGGGCCCTGCTGCTGGTGTCAGAGTCAGCGGAGCTGGAGGTGAGGGGTTTAAGAAGGCAGGGAGAGAGAGGCAGGGCCTGCTGGTCCAGAGTGGCAGCTGATTGGTCCCCCTGTCCCTCAGTCAGAAGTATTTGGAGCGAGAGAGGCTTTTCACTGCATTACGATAGAGAAAGACACAGAGAAGAGACGGAAAGGAAGATGGGTGAGGGAGTTTATGCCGCATATGGATGTGTGTGTGTGAGACTGCAGTAAGGTTGGAGCAGATGGTGTCATCGGAGAGCAATGGGTGGTCTAGGTTGTGTTTATGTGTATGTGATTTTCTTCTTTTGGTGTTGATTTCTTACTATAGTCTACCCCTAAATGTCTCACCTTAATATATAAACTCTATAAGCAGGTTAAAAAACAACCATCCTCCAAACACTTCTGAGCCAATGCTCCTCAACATGACCAGCTGAGGTTGATTTCACTTGTTGGCAAAATCATCAATTTAGTGATGGAACTACACTGAACAAAAATATAAACACAACAGTTTTTGCTCTCATTTTTCATGAACTGAACTATGACCTATTTCTCTCAAATACTGTTGACAGATTTGTTTAAATCTGTGTTAGTGAACACTTCTTCGCTGACATGATCCATCTACCTCACAGGTGTGGCATATTAAGATGCTGATTAGACAGCCTGATTATTGCACAGGTGTGCCTAAGACTGGCCACAATCAAACTGCACCTTTTAGAGTGGCCTTTTATTGTAGCCACTCTAAGGCACACCTGTGCAATAATCAGTCTGTTTAATCAGCATCTTAATATGCCACACCTGTGAGGTGGAGGGATTATCTCAGCAAAGGCGAAGCGTTCACTAACACAGATTTAGACAAATTTGTCAACAATATTTGGGACAAAAAGGTCTTTTGAGTAAATAGAAAAAGTAGGGTGATCATACGTCCTCTTTTACCCTGACACGTCCTCTTTTATGGGGGCTGTCCGGCCTTGTCCAGCCTTGTCTGGGGGAGTTTATAAAATCCTTCAAATGTCCAGGGTTTTGTATGGAAGTTTTAAGTTTGTGTCACATGGACTTACTGAGTTAGAAGCGTGTAAAAGACACTTGATTCAACCCAAAAAACCTCCAAAACTAACTACACTCAACTCTGTGACTTTGCCCCTGCGTAGTCATGTCCTCTTTTTGGGGATTCAGAATATGGTCTTAGATCTCTGAGTTTAGCTAATGTAAAATGGGAGCAAAAACAAAAATGTGGCGTTTCTAGTTTTGTTCAGTGTATTTATTGTTAAAGATCAGTTATTGCAGTTTCTATGGAAAGCTTCTTTAAGTCCTAATTGATATCCGGTGAGTTGTCTTCCACCTCAGCCCTGTATTTCAATTAAATTAGCTCACAGACCAAACCAGGCACTATTTCAGGATCTTTGATCATTCATAGCTAAAATATAGTGTACTAATACATTGCAAGACCTGTGATTGGTCAGGCAGACTACAGGTGGTACCTGGGCTGATCCTGGAGCTGCTGCCCCTCTTCCTGTTGTTGTTGTACTGGTTGCTGTGTGCCTGCCTCTGAGTTCTGCTGCTGCTGCAGTTGCATGCGTTGCTGCAGACTGCGGGCTCTCCTCATGCAGCGCTGCAGTCGACTGTGACTACTAGCTCCACCCTCAGCCGCCACCAGCTGCAGTTTGGCTGCAGCCAGGTCACATGTCAACAGACAGAACATAACAGAAAAAAAGGAAAGAATAAAGATGAAAAAAAAAGAAAAGATGTAGAAATTAACGTGATGATTTTATGCCAAATATTCAAAATTAAATATACATCCAAAAAACTTAATATCAAACGTGTGCTTTTATTATGGAATGGTTGACATGAGAAATAGCAGTGATGAAAGATCAGTACCCCAGGTATGGTTCCCCAAAATGATGTTAAAATTAAACAAAGACAAAACATAAAAAACAATAACTGAACTGAAAATGCCTGGCCAAAGTGACTCACTCCAAAAAGATAATTTTAAACTCTTTCTGGTGATCTAACTGCTCAATGGGCTTTTTCAAAACTACCAATCTAAGAGCCATCCTGTTATAAAACAGACCTTTGGATGAGGCTTTTGGAAGATAACCATGCTGTGATTAGTCTGTTTTGAATAAGATGACATTTGAAGATCTGCTGAAGCTTTATCCATGGGTTTGCTTCTTCGTTCTGATGTTTCCATTCAGATAGCTAATGCTTTTCTCAAATCTGGTTCTCTTAAATCTCTAAAATTAAAGTGTTTTGCAATACATCTGTTTTTGTCAGTTTCTAATCATCATCCGGCAGGTTTTTGATGAGGGGAGACGAGTGACTGAGAAGTTTGTTTTGCTGCAGTGGTGACAGTATGCTGGACAACGCAGTGTGTGAGTGTGTATGTGTGTGTGTGCAATGACACACACACAAGCTGTTGATGTCAATTTTTGGCAGGCCACTGTAATGCCTGTGGTTGCCATGAGCGACCGAGAAGAGATTTGGTTGGGAAGGGTGAGATGACCTCATTCAGTTAGTTCATATGTATAATAGATATGAGAGAATATTGATGTGTGTGCGTGTGTGTGTTAAATTGAGGAGAGAGTTAAAGGAGAAAGATCTGGAGGGGCTTACAGACTGCTTCGTTGACAGCTGACAGTGCAGCAGCGACCTCCCCTGCCTGCTCCAAACGCACCGACTGGTCCAGCAGAAGCTCTGCCTCTGACAGACATCGCTCAAAATTGTCACCTTTGCCTACGGCATCAAAACACACACAAACACACACATATATATATATATATACTGTATACAGTAATTGCACATTGCAGGTCCTATAAAGACAAATCTTTAAGACTCATGATAAGTTATGCAACAATTTCTGCAATGACTGCAAGTGACTGACAGCAATAATACTGTATGTACCCAACTGTCAAGTTTTGTGTCAATGGAATTTAATATTCAATTTTTAAAGAGCTCTGAAATTGCAATTATAACTTCCAATAGTAATTCAAATAATAATTAACAGTTGATATTAAGTTAAATAAATAACCAAGATAAGCTAATATAGTGGTTTTTAATACCCCTCCAACCCCTCCTCAGATACAAAATCACTCTCTGGGAAACACTATGATAACAAATGTCGAATGCACTTTTCCTGGTCATACCACAGAGTCTCTGATGATAATCTGGGCACCAAATTTGTCCGATCAAAGTACAGTGTGTCCACTCTAAGTACTTTTTTCATCCACTGTCAGGCCCACATTGTTCTTTTAAGTGTCTGACAACATTACAGGGAGGATCCCTACAGAGTCAGAGCTTTTTGTTAAAGAGCGAGATCGTTTTTTTCTATTACATGAAACAGCCATTACATCTCTCAAAGCCCCCGCACTACAAGCAACATGATGCACATACACACACACACACACACACACACACACACACACACACACACACACACACACACACACACACACACACACACACACACACACACAAACAGGATTCACTGCTGTGAGGGTCATCCCATCTTTTGTTTGTCTGCTGAGCTGGGCCCTTTCAGCTGATCAATGAGGATCTTTCCAGTTGTTTAACAAAACACACACCATTCACTTTTCACACACAGTTACAGGTTAACTAGACACCGCCTACTTTTAACTTCATCTCCAGTTTCTACATCAAAATAGTGCCAGACACTAGCATGTTAAAAGATGCCATCTTTCGTCTGTGCTTGTTTACATCCAGGTAGTTAAGCATTGTGGCAGCAGCGATAGACTGGACCTACAGCCCGGGTAATGGTGGGTGGCTGTGCTAGAGCTCAGACCATAAACTATATATGCTATGGACAACTTGGTTCCGCCTTCCACCAGTATACAGATTTGAAGCCAAAAAGCTCTTGGTAATTCTCTGTTTTCTCTCCACTTCCTGAAACTAACATTATGCAGTAGCGTTGTACGCACTCAACCTCTTGCGCAGTTGCATTGTACGGATTCGGTGGAAGAGTCGCCAAGATTCGCTGTGATGACACTTGGCTCAATCTTCATACGCCCCTAGGCTGTATCAAGTGTCAATCATAGAAAACATGAACCCCCTCATAACTTTTTAAAATGGAGCTGTACAGAAAAAAAGGACTTGAGCACTAACCAGTATTACAGTAACTACATGTCAACATCACAAGCAGGGGGGAGAAAATTTTAGATTCTGTGTAATTAATTTCTAAACTTTGTCCACAGCTCCATAAGCTTTGCTGGAGGAGGCGGGATTTATGACCTACACTGCAGCCTGTCACTAGAGGGTGCTGTTCTTGCGGTGGATCACCCAGTGAGGAGGCAGACGGCATCCATTCTATATACAGTCCATGGCTAAGACTCAACATATGACCAGCCTTAAGAATAAAAATATGTATTATTAGTTTAACTGGAAAGTAATTCTGGTGACATCTTACAAAGACAACTTGTGACATTGTTTCATTGCTTCAAGGACATATACAGTGGTTGGACACAATTCTTGAAAATACTGAGTGTATGTAAAAATGCAGGTATTTACCCTGGATCTGCAGCTGGTCCAGGTCCAGGTACTTGCTGGGACGGGGGTTAAACCCTAATGCTGCCTCCCTCTCTTTCTCCTGCCGTCTTTGCTGCTCCTCCTCCCTCGCTCTCCTCTGCACCTCCTCCTGCAGCTCATCCAGCTCGCTACGGCCTGTAGGGGGAGCTAATTAGAAAACACACACATAAACACAGATGCAACACTGTAAAAAAAATACATTGTAAAAACTCTTTTTAAATGTTCACACTTAAATGTTTTCATTAACTAAACAAGTCAGTAAGGAGATACACTCACTGAACACACTTTCAACTTAACCATCAAAAACACAAACACACACAGATGTGTCTTACCGAGGCTGGAAGAGCTGATCTCCTGCAGAAGAGCTCCACTGCTCTTTGACCTGGAGTTCTTCCATGATGGTCCAGAGGAAGAAGAGGAGGATGGAGCCTTCTTCACAGCACACTCCCTGGAGAACAGAGAGACACAAGGTAGGATTTATATACAGTGCTTAGCATAAATGAGTACATCCCTTCAGAGTTGTCAGAAAACCTTTAGTTTCCTTTCAAAATCAACATTTTCTATGTCAGACTATACGACAAAACACTCCCCCAAATGTAGACCATTGATTGCAAACATGATTTTTTTTTTTAAGTTGCATACTAATTTTTTTTTCCCCCCAATTTAAAATCAGGATGCAAAAATGAGTACACCCCAATCAAATTTCTGACAGCAAAGCAAAATTTCAGTTACCATACCACCCTTAGTTTCATCTTATGGTAAATAAAATGTTATGTTAAACTCAGCTTTGTCAAAACTTTGGAAATTGTACTTTTGCTCATCTAGATATTCAGTAATAGATTACTTTTAACAGAGGGTGTACTGATTTATACTGGACACTGTTAGAGTTATATCTGCGAACATCATTACTGATTATTTGAAATAAACCTCGTTGCATGAGTCAGAGTTTAGCTTAGCCCTTTACTAACATTTATCCTAACTCATGAGTATCAGTTTTAAAGCTGACCTCTTTTCAGCTCTGTCTTTTAATAGAATGCAGAAGCAGCATTTTAAGTAGGAAACACTAAGACACTATAAGGCTGTTATTTGTTAGAAGTCACTCCCTTATGACCCAGGGTCAGAAACATTGTGGCAGTATTACATAATTCTTTTAAATACTACTTAAATTGTAGATTTTTTCACAAAAAATAGCAAATAATGTAAAGTTTATTTTGCAGCAAAAAAAGGAAAAGGAAGAAAAACCTTCATGTGATTTATTATAGTAATCATTTGTTTCATTTCATAGCTGGTTAGTTTAAGACATTTTAGAGATTCTGTTCTTTTTATGTGATCACCTGTCTCCAATGTTCAAGTCAAGGCTGACCGGGCTGCTGCTGTTCCTCTCACTGCTCTCATATCCACTCTCCATCCTCTGGATCAACCTGGGAGGAGGGGGAGGAGGAGGCAGCTCAGCTCCTGGTCTGTCTCCAGCTCCTCTGTGGCTGCTGGAGGAGGTTGGTAGAGTCCAGGAAGAGCCAGGCCTGAGAGACGACGCCTTCTCCTGGCCTATTAGGGAAGAGTCTGCTCCTTCAGCTGTTGGAAGTCCACTATCGTCCTGCAGGGCAGCTCCAAGTGGGCTGTACCCCGCCTGCCTTCGCCTGGTAAAGATACTGTCGATGTTAAGTGCCTCTCTGCGTGGCCTCCATGCAGGCCGGTACCTTCCTGACCCAGCTCCTCCTGAGCAGCTGGACTTGGACTCGCTGCTGGTGCTGTCTGCCTCCCAGTCCTGGGGTTTAATGGAGGAGGAGGAGCAGGGAGCAGCAGCACTGGCAGGGTGGTTGTGGTTGTTGGTGGAGGAGGTCATTTCAGAAAGAACAGCAGCAGGCAAAGACGAGGAGGAAGAGGAGGAGAGGGGTCGGTTGTGGATGATGTTGCTCATGGTCTCCCTTAGGTCTCGCAGGCGGCTGGTAGAGGATGAGAAGGAGGAGGAAGGTTTGGGAAGGTGACGAGGAACCTTCTTCTCCTTTAAAGTCTCACCTGGGGGGGAGGAAGATGGAAGGGAGAGGGAGGAAAGAGAATGATAGAAGAAAAGGGAATTGAGAAGGGAAGACAAAAGAAAGAAAATAGGAAGAAAAAGAGAAAAGGGATATATAAAATGAGGACAGAGCAAAAAGAAGGGAGAAAGACAGACACACAGGGAGGTAAAAAAGTAAGAGGGGAAGCAGCAAGAGAAAAAAACACAAGACAAAGCAGGAAAGTAAGTACAAAAAGAGGGTGATTAACATCAAAAAGGCACCATAAATGAAAGAAGAGATAGAATGATTCAATGAATGGCAACTAAAGAAATGACATTGGCAGCACAAGTCATCTTCCTCTCCTTTCAGTTTGACCCTTTTCTATTTCTCAAAGTACTTCTGTGCATCTTAAGCTGAAGTCTTTTAGAAGAACTAAATAACCGACCTTCAAAAAATGTCCGGTTTCTCCAGAATTTATTTTATAAACTGATATTAACAGTGCTGTTTGCAGCAACAACAAACGGTTGGCAAGGTTACAGCCACTGAGTAAAGCAAAAACTGAAAAAAACATCATTAAAAGTACCTGCAGGCCATGCAGCATGCTTATGTTAAAGTCATCAGGTTAAATAGTTTGTGTTTATGTTCAAATCTTCTATTTCAGATTTTAAATGTTATGTGACTATTCCACTTTTAGGTTAGCTCATATTACTTCTTACCTCTCTAAGTGGTTGAAACCTAATTTTTCATCAGTGTGACTTTACATAAAGAACCGAAGAACTTGAGTTTTTGTCAATTTCAGCACCCCTTATGGGTCAATTGATACTTCTGATCTATGTGCTGATTTTGTCCTGTAAATGTATAAGCATTTTTTTTAACAATATTCTTATCCTCTTTTATTCAGCAGTTAAAGAGATCACTCACAAAGAGTCTCTGCTGTGCAAAAAGTAAAAAAAAGTCTGTATCTGCAGCATGCTGTTTATCACACCAGGGCATTTCAGAATAACCAGTATTGATACAATGCTATTATATTCATTCATTATTTCCTCCCTGCATGGTAGAGTTTCTATCTGCATTTGTGGATGCAGCAACAGACTATGTTTACAGACAATGGTTTGGGAGTGATTTGTTCTGATTCAGTGATTTCCACTGAAGAGTCATGTCTCTTTTTAATGCAGTGTAGCCTGAAGGCCTGAAAATCAAGGCCACCCAGTCATGACACAAACAGGTACTGTATGTTGAGAGATTTCTTCAAAATCTCTGAATCTTCCACTGAGGCTATTTAATGCACTGCTCTTTTTAAGCCGGGGTACATTACTGTTGAACTACATTATTTTCTCCGAGCAGATTCTCTTTCAGATTTTTCCCGTTTCTACTTCTGATAAACTCTACATCTCTAGTGTTTCCTACGTAAGAGTTTTCCTCCAGAGTTTTGTTTTTGTTTTTTGTTTTTAAGGAGGCAATGCACAACCTTTTCAGTGTTTTTTGTCCCTCTCCATATTTTCTTGAAACATGTAACTGGCTTCAAATATAAAATTCCAGAAAACAACAAGAAAACTTAGTTTCAACACCTGCTATGTTGCAGACTTTAACTAATTTGCAAACCATCAAATTCTGTTTTGATCAACATTTTACCCACAGTGTCTAAACTTGTTTTGGAATAGGGTTGCTCTAGTTGCTCTCTCTGCCCTCTGATTTTTTTGCCCATAGTCCCCAGCCCCTTGTTTGCACAATTCCCGCCTACCCTCGCTGTGGTAACCGGCAGAAGAGGCTTCGTTGTCAGGTTTAGATCGCCGGTGGCGGCTAGAGCTCCGCCTCCTATCCCCGGCCCCGCCTCCCTTCCTCAGAGATTGGTGCTGCTCACTGTCGGTCACGTGGCCTTAGCAACAAAAAGCATGTTGATGTTTACAGCATGATCACCACATTGCTCCATACAATGACAGAAAAAGAGAGGATGTGTGACAGAGTCTGATGGGCCTCACAGCAGGGTCACTCCAGGTCAAGTTTTTCATGTCTTTGTTTTTTCTTTTCAAATTAAAAAAAATGTTTCTGCCTATGAAATAATAACGTCTAAATTTCTATGGAGGAATAAAAATGTGTTCAAGAGGTGATTAAGCAAACCCTGCTGTCTTTTATCATCAACATGATCAATCAACGCAATAAGCAACTGATGATAATCTTTGACACTCACCTGACATAAAACCATCGACCTGATGTGAATTTGTTTCTCTATACATTAAAGTCTTTTACATTCAACCATAAAGCTGTCTCCTGCCCCCGCCCCTCGGCTACCCACCTATGGTATCCAGGCTGCAGAGAGAGGCATGCAAGGGTCCGTCTGGGCGCTCGGTGCAGATGACGGTTCCCTGGGAGTCAGAGGAGTAGTGACTGGCCAGGGACTCATGGTGCGAGTGGGAGGGCTGTCTGTACGAGTAGCTCTCCGTCGAAGAATCGGTGCGAGTGTCGCTGGAGATTGACTGCTCGCGGCCTGGTTGGAAGGGTGTAGGGGATGGGGTTAGTACACAAGTCGGGGCGTCAGTGGAAATGTCCCCGTGCTCAAAAACACGTATCCACAAAAAGAGAACATTATAGACTGTCTTAAAATCTCTGCCGCTAAAAGAATGAAGACTTCTGGTTCCAGTTCAAGGACTAAAATGACCACTACACTTCTGCCCCTTCTCCAATTGTTAGCTGTATTTTTAGTTACCTCAGTCTTGTCTGTCAAAGAACTACCACGACTACAACAAGCACTACTAAGTCTGGTTTAGTTACCTGAATGTTTGCTGTTGTGCTACTACTACGACTCCTAGCTGTGTTGTAGTTACCCGAGTCTTCGCTGTCGTAACAGGCCTTGTTGAGTTGTTGGAGGTCGAAGCGTGAAGGCAGATCCTGCACTGATACTGGAGTCCCACGGGGGTCGGCGTAGAGCAGCAGCAGTGGCTGGTAGTGGCCCTTAATGCAGCGTGAGACTACGTCCTTCCACTTGGGACCAATCTGCAAAGGAATGAAAAACAAAACAAAAAAAGAGATGACTGATAACTGAAGATAAATCTAAGGGGAATGTTTCAGAAATAAACTTTGGGAGGAGGAGACAAAAATATAACAATTTTGATCCATTTTGGATGTTTTGCCATTTCGCTTTACATGACTCTGTCACCCAAAAGCCATTATGATTGCAGTACTACATAACTTTGTGTAATACTGTAACATTATATGTTGTAATTACTTAGTACTGGGGACTGGGTAAACAACCTAAACTCTTTTTGTGGTACTTAAGTGAACCTAAGGCACCAAATTCAGTGAGATCTGATATTCTCTCAGACATCTTGTCTTTGAGTTATAGTCTTTGATATAAAAGTGCATGATTGTGATCATTAAATTGACAGATTGCAGCTTTATCTTGTAAAGAGCACTGGTCCCATTTTAGACAGTCAGTGTCACCCTCCCTGTCCAGTCAGATGCAGTGATTTCTCAGGAATAACTCCTGCTATGTTACCTGCTTACAGGGACTTCTAAAGTTTTCCCGGGGGACTGACAGAAAAATATCTAGGTACAGTCAAAATAGTGAAAACCTTAGCTGTTTGATTTACACATGGATCTTACCCTTAAAAGTGGTGGAAGGTCTTTGTTGATTTTTTAAATTTACAGACCTTTTTAGGAGATTAAAATCTCTAGTAGTCATCCTATTTATATTTTCACCTCTCCAATTTCTTAACAGGACTCCTCTTGAGTAGCTTTCATCGTCTACATTCAAAGAAAATAACTAATTTATCTTGGATTAGTTTAAGCAATCAATCACCTCATAATCAGTCTCAAATAATTTGAGCTTCTTTTCCCAGAAGGACTCAACTCTCAATGATCCTACAGGGAGACATTTCATTTGACTGGCCAGAGATCATGAAGCCCCTTGAGAAACAACTTCTTATATCCACCCATAATTGTTTGCACCTGTATGGTCTTAATTATGAAAGAACATCAAAGTAAAACAGTGTGAGGCAATTTGCAGGACATTTGAATCTGAAGTTTTCAGAAAATCAAGCTGAGCTGCAGCGGCGCTGGACAAGTCCATGCTAAAGAGTTTCAATCGAAAAAAATACTTTTTAACCTGACAGTGGTTTCATCTTCAACAGGGGAACTGAAAGATTTCAAATGTGAACACCACAGGGACACCTACAAACAAGCTAGGCTAATGTTAGCCCACTTGGCACCAAGCCTTTTTGCATGCCTAATTTTCATAAAAATCTAGATCTGCTATCTGATTTGTGTATTTATCTGTTGTCCATCTATCTGACAGATTTTCATACTGTTTTTGTTTTAAAGCTTGATTTGCATATCTATCTAGATTTTCATACTTGATTTGCACATATCTGACATAACTTCTCTGCTTGTCATATCTATCCATGTGTTTCACTGAAGAAGGTTGGAAAAATAACGGTTTTGCTAGTGAACCCTTTCGATTCAATGTTGTTAAAATTTTCAAATCAACTCCTTATAAAAAGAAGAGATATGTGTGATAGACAACTATAAAGAGGTTAATAGACAATAGTCACAAGACCATCTAAAAATACCCTCTTCTTTCACTGGGTTTCAGTCAATCTATCATTATCAGGATACATTTGGAAATGCAGTCCTATCATATAATTCATCTAGATAATCACTGTAATCATTGCAAAAGTTTCATCAGAGTGGCCTAATCTATAATTGGGAAAAAAACATCACTGTAACCCAAGTTTACCACAGTGAGTTGACAGCATGTTTTGTAGTTAAGTGATTTCAAGACTTCGTTGTTAAAACCAAACCTTAAAAAATTCAAAAAGTGGTTCAAAACAATTCCAATGGTTCAGTTCAGACAAACACAAACACTGAAGTCTAAACTCAGCCCCAGTGATGACCCATGATCACAAATAAAAGGAATTCACATTTTTAAACAAAACTTCCCCGATAAATATATTCTTAGAAGTTCCGGAGAAGTAGCTCGTGAATTTACCAGTCACAGGAAACACGTCAAGTTCACCTTAAAAACACAGCTCAGCAGGTAAAACAGCGATGGCGGCTGAAATGTTCGAGGCCGTTCCAACCCCTGCTTCGTCAGGCTTCCTGCTCTCTGTCTGTTTGTCTTTTTGTGTGACAGAAATCCTCCTGCTTGTTATTTCAACCTCTCCTCCATTTTCCAAAAGTCCAGGTTCACATCCAGCTCAGTTCGATCTAATGCGACATCCCATAATCCAAAACTCCTCCTGTCCATCCACCGTGGAAAAATGTGTTTTTGTTCAAGTGAAAGAAAGATACAGAATGAAAGTGTGCAGTGTGGGCAAAAAGTGTCGGCTACGGTGGGATGTGTGTGTGTGTGTGTGTGTGTGTGTGTGTTCTATGACCACACCCTCGGTTCTGTCCAGCTGTACTGATAAACAATGGAGGGATATCCTTGTTTTTACAACCAGCAGAAAGAGAGGGACAGAGAGAGAGAGGGAATGTGATATCTCATTCCAGCACTGTTATTAGAGTGCAGCAATAATGGAAAAGAGAGCAAAGAATGAAGAGTGAGACAAATTTCAGCTCGAGAATAAAAACAGGAGACAAGAGGAGAGGAGTGGGTGAAAGGGGGGAACAAAGAGAAGAGTGGGAGCAGAGAGGAGGTCAGGAGGAAAGGTGGGTAGGAGAGAAGTTAGGATGGACAGGAAGAGAAGGACCACTAACTTCAACATTAGGTCACTTCCTGTCCTTAAACTGGCATGCATACACACAGTTTATCTAAGGGGACACACACTCGAATAACCCATATCCCACCTCTAGTATTAAGAGCAGTGTTCTGCAGCCTATGGCATCTGCTGTGTTTTAATTCAGACTCATATTAGTTTTGGCTTCAGCCATTTCAAAGCTGTGAGTTCTATACACACACATCACAGCAGAGAGACGATATGATTGAAAGTTAAACCAATAAAGTTCTCATGCTTGTATTGGTAAGGATCCAAAAATGCCACAGTCACACCCCATCATGGTATAACAGCTGCTTACCACACAGCACCACTTTTTCATTAACTATGACGCATTTCAACCCAATAACCCCACAGGACAAATAACAACAAATATTCAGTTAAAACTTAATGTGGTTTGCTGTGATGGCAAGTGCTCACTCTGCATTTATAGCGTCTCTCTGTAGTTATGAAAGCATGCAGTTATGTAATGTTTACAGCCATATAAAACTCTAGTTTACTGTGGTTACAAACAAGCCAGTAACTCAGAGGTCTTCAATTTATCTCAGGTGAGTTTATCTTATCTAATATGATCTTATCTTATCTTAGAGTCAAGCTTCAAAACCCAACTTCTGAAAGAATTTAGGCACAGCAGGTGCTAACTGTTGTGTTTAAAGGGATATTCCGGCGTAAAATTAAGTTAAGGTCAAAACAGGGTCAAAGACCATTACTTTATCGTTTCCTTGAAGTAATAATATGATGAAAATAAACTGCAGATGTGGAAGTTCTTCTGCCTTAGCGTCTCGGTCTGATTGCATTTCCATAAAGTAATGATCATTATGATCTTCCTTGATCTGTGAAACTCCGCTGCACTTGGTGATAGACTCGTCAGGGCTCGCCCTACAAACAAGCGGATACTGGAAAAGAGCATGTGAGTTGTGTTTGGTCTCTTTGCTAAAGAAATTAGGCAAAGCTAAAAACATGTTTGGTGGCTAGTGCTATGGCTGGGACCCTATATGTACTGCTGATGAAGTTAGGTGCTGTTCTGAGCATTTTTTGTGGATATAGAGTGGCTTTTTGGTTGAGGTCTGCGCGTGAATCCATAGACTGCTGTGTATTGCTATCATGTGGTTGTTACTTAAGTTGGTATAACTAGAGAAGCAAGCGGTCCACAACATTCATCTCTTGAGGGGGTGTCTAACTCAGTGTTGTAGTGTGTTTGACCCTAACTTAATTTTACGCCGGAATATCCCTTTAAGCACATGTAGCCAGGATTCTTGGACAATTTCACAGTGACAACACCAACTCACTTGCAGACAGATTGGTTCTAGCAGAACTGAACCAACTAGGACAGTTGACCTCTAAACCAAAGACGTCAAGATATTTCTTGATCCAAAGAGGGACCCCAACAGGAAAGTTCAAGCGTACTGTCAAACATCAAAGGCAACTGGGCCAAGTGTCTCAGGAAATGATTTGACAATAATACCCCCTCAGGTACAGAAAACATCTCATGTGCAGAAACGCTTAGCTAAATGGTGGTTAAATAAAAATCTGAAAAATGTCTGGTCAAAGCCAAACCATGACAATGTAGTTTATGCTCAACATCTGTGACCCTCAGGAGGAATTACAAAACTTTCATTTATCAAACAACCCCCGTATTTACAATAAATGACTGAATATACCTCCTTGACGTGTGCATCATCAAAGTACATCCATCGCCGGATCTTGGTTTGGAAGAAGAAGGTGGAGTAATGTTTTCCATAATAACACACCATGCCCACGAGGTAGAGCTCCGACTGACGAGCCTTCTCCTCGGTTACCCTGTAAAATAACTGCAGAAAAAAGAGAGCAGAGGACTTTCAGTAAAGATGCTGAACTTTGGTTTTCACTGTATGCTGATGACACATGTGTTTACCAAAAGGCACATGCAGGTTTGTGTTATTCCTTTAACTTCAGAACAGCTCCACCAGTACCTATACTGTTTTTTTTTTGTTTTTGTTTTTTTGTTATGATGTTAGATTTTAGATATCTCAGGGCTCCTACACAGTTGGAATTTCCATACTTTTCCATACCCTACTTTTAAGAATTATTTTTGGAATTACCTACTTTTCTATTTTAGAAAACAGTATTTTGTGGTAATAGTCTGGAAATAAATATTTTTCCATACCTTATTTTTAATTTTTCATGCTTTTTAAGACCTGGAAATTGATCAAACTACTTCCAGACTTTTTCCATACTTTCCATACATGCGTAGGAACCCTGATATCTTTAAAATGAATTTTATCTCCACAGCCAATTCAACCTGAGACGACAGATCATGTCAGCAGACAATAAAAACTAAAAAACAAGTGAACTTTTATCTGAAATTCACCATGGTGATGAAGTTAAACATTCATTTTGTAATAAAGAAACTGTTATAAATAAAATCCTTAAGACTCAAAAGATGTAGGTAATAAGTCATATTTTAAAATACTTCATGATTCCACAATCAATTAAATGTAATTTGTGTGATGTATGGTTTACTCTATCACAGCTTTATTTGGGATCAATTTTGATCTTTTTGAGGAGTTTTTAACCGCTTAAGAAAACAGACTGAAAAAAAAACAACAGATAAATATATATAACCTTACAATAACAAAGCAGGGCGTCAACAGCATCAATTTTTCGAAAATATCTAGTTATTTCCAATCCCTCTATAACCTCTACCTCTGGGTAGGAGGAGACAAAAGGAAGCAGGATGAATTTTTCCTTAGAAAAACACTTGGACATGATCAGTAAAAGAGAAAAAAGGCACTGCTTCGTCCACAGGGGTCGACAAAATCAATGCAAATCTAAGTTCTACACAAAGCTTTAAATGAGAGTACAATAAGAACCTCTGCTGTTTGTCTTTGTAGATTTGTTTTCATTAGATTTATTGAATGTCTTACATCTCCCAGACGCAGGCAGGTTCCAAGAGTGTGAATAACATCCTCAGCGAGGTCTGAGTGGTCCGAATCCCAAACCAGACCAATGGTGATGATCTCTGGGCTGTTAAGGAGGACACGAGCCATCCTGAGCTGCTGACCACACTGACTCTGAGGAAGAGGAGGACGAGCGAACAGTAAAAAGTTTATTTTGGTATGAGACGGTGCACATCCGCACATTTGAGATAAGCTAACAATTGTTGTTGCTCTGTGATTTGTAAAAATTTATATGAATCAAAAGGTCTCACCGGACAGCTGCGCAGGTCGCCCATGCTGGCGTTTCGTAGAAGCTCCCCAAACATGCTAGGAGTTGCTTTCTCTCTTGACTCCAACATCTTCACTGCCTGGTTACTATGAAAGACAAGCAGAAAAGGATGTCATTTCTGCCATTTTGAATTTGATTCCAACCTGCCACCTTTAGCTGCATGTCATTCCCCTGCATGTCTTACACAATCTACTGCCCTATTCTCTCTAAAGGTAAAAGTGCCAAATATATGCAAAAGACGACCTCAGCTTTTGTTAGCTTGAGTTAATTTTGACCACTTTTCCACTTTTTTCTGTTTCTTGGAAAACACGACCTGAAGCCTATACAAAGCAATAAAATCAGGATGTGTATATCAAACTCAACTTCTGGATGTGAACCAATACGTAAATAAGTTTTATATGACCCTGGTAAACAACATGAAGACTTCAATTTATACTCTGAAATGGCCTAAGGAAAATATGAGACCTCTGGGGAAGTCTTCATGAGGTCTAAAAGTTATCAGTAGAATTCCATGCCAAAGGATCAACTCCTTAACTCTGTCTAAGAATAGTGTTCACTGTCTAAGCCATGAAACTTTAGCAGTGGAACGACAACTATAATTTCATATTTTGTATATTATATTTCGTATTTGGCTCTACTACAACCTCAGAATCAACGCTTAAAGGTCAGAAAAGTGACCGAAATGCAACAACTTTTTTCCTCAAACTCCTCCAGTATAACTGGATGGTGTTTTGACACTGATACTTCATGAAAGTAAAACTACAGAATTGGATGACTGTAATCCTGGCCTACATTCAAAAAAGTGGTCTCCTAAAAGAAACATTTACACAACGCGTATGGAAATGCAACAAAACCTTACAGGATGAAGTGATGGATCAGATTGACAAAATTCAATCAGTAAATGTGTCTGTGGAACAAAATGCTGTTTTTTTAGGGCTGTAGCTTCCTAACCTCTACTGAAAATGAGAAGAATCTAAATTTATAAGATGTGGTCTCAGCAAGAAAAATAATTAGTAGGACTTCCCTGAAAGAAAATAAACAGAGAGACCTTGTATGTGGTGTCTGGATTAAAAATATGGCTCTATAAATGTCTCAAAGAAATAACACATCCACTCAGAGAAAAAGAGAAATCACACTAAAAGACGCAGACACCCCAAGTGTATTTTCTAGATCAAGGCGACTTGCTGAACATTTAATTAACTCAAGTCTTGTACAAATAAGAGATACCCTTGAATGTACTATTGTTATAAGTCATTCAGGGAGTCATGCTTCGGTGACTAGAATGTGAACTCAAAGGGCGGGAAAAAGCACATGAGAGGAACATCAAAATGATGAGTGTTTCCTTCCCGAGCTGTCATCTCTATTTTTATCAAATCCTATCAGTTAAATTAGTCCGATAAAAAGAAAAAAGGACACATTTCCAGGGCTTTTTAAACTGTTTATATATTTCAAAAATGAAATGGTTCAGAGCAAAAGTTAAGGTGTCAGTGTGTGTGTGCGCACATGCATGAGTAACATCTCAGCAGCCAAGTGCAGAGAGCATTTCTTGGTTTCCTTGGTGACCCTCAGGGGTAACCTAGCGACAGAATTGGGAGGGGAGGTGTGGCCTCAACTTACCTCTCCGAGATGAGATCTAAACATAGAGCTCACACACACACACACATACACACACACACTTACCACAGGGAGGTGGTGGAGATGTAGTGGACCATCTGAATGAAAGGCAGGGGGTCTGAGGATGCTCCACAGCTGCTGCACACACACTGAAAGACACAAAATAAACATCAAATCAGGCTCTTCTGTACTTTTCCTCCTCTGGATTTGCACAGCAGGTCTTTGACTGAGAAAGACGGTTTTACACTTGAAATATGGTCTCCATAGAGACCGGTGGTTTCTGGGGACATTTCTGTACTTTGAAACTAAACCAACTGAGCTCCAGAAAGCGACAATTTGAAAGTCAAGTTATAGTCAGGAAAAAACAAACTGTTAGCTGGACTGACAAGCAAATGTGAAAAGATAAGAGATGATTTTGAAGTCACATAAGACTACATCACTGCTGGATTATAGCTGATGGTTTATGAAATCACTGTGTGACTCTGAACTTCTCTCTTTTTGGCTCTTTTGCAAATACACGACTGAACAATACTTGTGAGACAACCAATAAGATCCAAAAGCCAGAAATTTAGCTCCTTTTTAACATATTCTTCCTTCAGGTATCTGTTTTTAAGGAATCATGAACCTTCTTTTTATTTTGGAAAAATACAAAACATTTCAAGTTGACAAAGAGGAGTATTCAAAACTTATCAGCTCCGACCAGACTACTGATGCTCCCAGCCTCCTCACACCCTCACAATGATCGTGACTTATGCAGTCACACAAACAAAAAACACACAGCATGATGAAAGGACACATGAAGTCTTAGCCGGAGCTGCAGAGAGCTAATACCCCAACTATTATAATCTATATTTCAAGGTTTTTTTTTTAAAGGATTATGCAAACAGCTATCTCCCTGAGCTGCACGAGAGAATTTTAAAGGGCACATTTGCAATTCATTTGCATGTATTTTAAAACAGATGTCTTGTTTGAGACACTTCACAGCTTTTTAAAGACTTTCCACTTTAACTGAGAAGGATGGAGAACCGATTTCAGAACCTGCCAAAATGTTGATACGATGCTTCAGCAGCCTGACGCAAAGATCATAGTTTAAAACCCTTCTTTGTGTTTCCTTGCTGCAGTGTTTAGAAACACAAAGAGTAAATTTGGTGGTGCAGAGTAAAATTCAAGGACCCTCACCTTTCCTGTGTGACTCAGACTGCCAAAGCCTCACTTCAGACAGACTAGTGAAACTGTTTTTACATAGAACCTGCCAGCGGATTGCTTCTCTGTTTACATAAGGACATAATCTCTAAATGTCCAGCAGATAAAGGAGGACTTATTACAGCTAATGCTCTTTCAGTGTCCTTTAGTCTAATTGGGTGGTTTTAAAGCTAACTAATGAACAGTAAATGCAAATTTATTTTGGTTTTTTTTTGGTTCTACAGAGAGCTGAGCTGGTTGTCGCCTCTTATACTCAGACTTGATCTCAATCTCACCTGTTCAAACAGCGTCATGGCGAACTTCTGGTGGGGGATGCAGTGTCTGGCTGTGCAGATGTCTTCTTTGGTCTCATCTGCGATGTGGAAGTGGATCCTCATCAGGATGTTTTCCTGCACAAACACAGAGAACCGACTGTAAACTTGTGCTTTAAATACTCTTGTGTTGATGGTTTTCGAGTGTTTGTCTAGGACTGCAGGATGTGCGTGTTGTCTTACAAAGCACTCTGCAGCATCGTCCATGATGCCCAGCTGAAACCTCTGCTCATCCTGGAAGGTTTTGGCCAGTGCACTGCGAAGAGCATCCGACGGTAACACTCTCTCACTGCTGTACTGAAACTGAGCAAAGATGCTCTAAAGAATAAAGACAGATAGGTTAGAAACAGGAACTTAAAGATCTCGTCCTTCCCCCACAAGTATCTGTTTATATAGAGAAGGGATGGGCGATTTGGGAAAAAGATATTTTTTTTTTCATATCAGTCAATATCCATATATATCACCATATATATATAAAATGAAATTTAACAGTGCTTATTGGAAGCATGCCTTTTGCAATACAGTAAGCTTCTGCATCTGTGAGGTCTTTGTGTCTCTTTGACGTTTTGTCGTAAGGCGCTGCACTAGAGAAAGCGGAATGAATGGTCAGCTGTTTCAGCTGCACAGGTGCCATAGGCTTCTTGCTCCGCTCTGGGTTTGTAACATTTTGCATTTGTGCGTGTCTGCTGCATGGCACTGCTTCAGGTGGTGAAAAAGATTTGAGGTGTTCCCTGACTTAGTGAGAACATGTACTAGACATAATTTGCAGTGCACATTACTCTGCTTCATGTCCGACCTCAAGTGCTATGGTTGTGTGTAGCTGCAGCCTGCTACTACGCAGTTGTTTGATACTTATAATTCAGCACATGATTGGTTCATTGGCTATTTGTACAGTCTACCAAAACATGGCAGAATGCCGATTATCGAAAAGCATATTGACCATGTTTTATATTGATATTGAGGGAAATTAATTTTTTATATAAATCGTTATAGTATTATCGCCCAGCGCTAATAGAGAGTAATAGTAGATCCATAATATCAGTCAGACTGACTTACCTTCAGAGCACAGAAAATGCATGAGTCCTCCATGCACTTATGCGTCGTCAGCTGACGGAAACTACGCCTGAAGATGTCGAGGTGCCACAGAACCTAAGAGACAGAGAACAAAGAAAACATTAGTTGATTAACAAAAAAGTTGCGCATTACAAATGAACATTCTGGGTTCAATAGAATAACACATGACAAGACCGGTACTTAGTGCGCCATGATTTTACAAGATTACAGCTTTAACACTGTTTTTTAACACTGTCAGCACTCAGTCTCTTTTTTTTCTGCCAAGATATGACCCCTAGACCTCATCAGACAACAGCAGGATATGAAACCTTTACGATTCTAAAATATCCACCAACATTTTCTGGCACCCTCTAAGTCCAGCCTCTATCTGTATGCCTCTGCAGTTAAGTCAAAAGCCAGAAGATACCTGAACTTTCTCTTGGAAAATGGAGTCTGGAAGCTTAAAAGCTCACCTCTGCCAGAAAGTGAGAGGGCTATGAGTTAATAGATGTACTCAGCTTAAATTTTAAAAATCCAAAACCCTATAAATCCTGAGAATTTGTGCATCTCTCTGCTGCAGCCGCCACTCACACACCTAGAAAGACTCAGTGTTCTGCTTATACGCCAGCTAACAGCCAATCACCTGTCAGCAAATACGTCCATGATCTGAAACCGCAGTCAACCAATCAGAGAGCTTTTTAGTTCAGTGACCTGGGGATATGAATGTGTCAAAAACACTAGAAATGAAACAGTGTGTTTGTGTAAGTGTGTGTGCGTGCACGTGTGTGTGTGTGTGTACGTCACACTGTGTCACACATCATGTCTCCATCTGCTTCAGGAGCTCATTTGATCTTCTGCGTGACGAAAAACAAAAGTGTGTGAGGGAGATGGACTATGCCTAAGTGAGACTGATGTACAGAGATGTGTGTGAGTGTGCGAGAGTGAGTTTGTGTGTGTGTGTCTGTGAGTGTGTGCAAGAGTGAGTTTGTGCATGCTTGTGTGTGTAAAACAAGACAAAAAAGGGGAAAAGACAACATGATGTTCAGCGTTTGGAGAGCAAATGTCACAAAGAGTTTAGCTCATTGCCTTTTTACAAGTGTGTGTGTAGTTAGCGTGCGTATTTGTTGATGTTTTAATAATTCAAAGCATAAAAAGTGTTTTGAATGTCATAAAAGAGAAATACACAAAACATTTGTACAGCAACACAAAGTTTACACATCAATAAAAACCTACTTGTGAAAAACTAACAGTTGCATAAAACATGTACAGCTATAAAACTTTATTTTCCACTCATGCACAAAATATTTCTACAGCTACGAAAACTTTTTACACACGTGCAAGCCATCTCTGTGTGAACTAGACCTCTTCTTAACACATGCACACAATATTTCTCCAGCTCCGAAGATTTCTCACATTCACACCAAATTTTACAAGCACACAAATGTGACCTATGACTTGGTGTATGACCTTTAACTTCCCCCACATGACTCTGCGCTCCCTGCTGCTGCAGAGACATGTTTGCAGCAGATCTGATGCTGCTGACTGAAACAATCCGCCAACACAACTACCCGCTGTTTACGTAGAGGTGGAGGTCTCCTGAGGGCCAAAATGACAAAAGTAATCTTCATTTGGAGATGTTGTTTGTATTAGGTAGACAGGTTAATTCAGACTTATAAAACTACAACTGAGGTAGATGAATGGAAGGATTTTTTAAAAATCTTTCTGATCTGCAAGTACCCATGATATTAACCAACAGAGCAGGTCAAACAGAGGTCTTCTTCCTTCACATTCAGTCTCTTTTAATCATTTACAACATCAGTTATCCTCTGTTATTTTACTGTTCAGCCTCAGGTCAGGATAAAAATCTTTTAGGAATACTTTTAGGAACCTACCGGGGTTCAGACTCTGGCTCAGACTCGCTCTGTTTGTTTCAGCTAAGGTAAAAGCTGTCTATCATTATGTGGTACACATCAGCATCCAGTACAAGACGGTCCAGAACAGAAAGGTCTCTGGTGCTGCTTGTTTGGGTTTAAGCAAAACAGAACAATAAGAGGACTGATAATCACTTATCCGCAAAGAACCGCATGTTTTTCTTTTATTTCTAACAGTATTTTTCTTACTCTATATGAGGTCTAGTATTTTTATCCAAACTGCTTAGCTAGTTACCTCATTTGATATTTTCCCTTTTGGACAGTATGACCTAATGTTTGCTATTCCTGGTTTCTCTGTATATATGCTCGGAGAGATGACAAATGAGACCAGATTGAAAAGGCGTCAACTACTGATGCCGTAAGCAGACGTGCACCCATGCATTTTATTCCTCGTGAAAACACTCAGTAAGGGCCTATGCTCTGAAAAGTACCAAAGTGCAACTGTAGTTTACAGTTGTTTTCTTGCAGTCTGACTTATCTATCCAATTATCCCAGGATAACCCTGATGGTTTACCCAGGATAGTGAGTTCAGCTATTTTCCTTGAATGCTGGTTTATTTTACTTTTACTCGGGATAACAACGCCAGTTCATGATGGATTTTCTGTATTTATTTCATCATTTTGAGATAACAATGCTTGTTTTCTTGGAGTTATGGCATAATTAAAAAAAACAGAGCAGTAGACTGGTCACTGATAATTAGCTTGACAGGGACACCACAAGAACAAAATCACCCACATACTGTAAGTTTGTCCTAAGCTTTTGCAACTCTGAAACTCTGAGGATTTGTGCTATAAGATAGGAGATAAAATAAGATGTTCCTTTAATAGTCCTATAGGGGAAAATTCCAAAAGAGCAGGAAAGATATCTATGCATGTCTGCTTAGAGCTCCCTTAGCTCTCACATTCATTTCTTGTGTTTTTGGTTTATAAGAACTGAGATGAACTATTCTGTGAACAAAATCTGAGTCAATAGAAACCATCCAAGAAAAATAAACAATCTCTGCCTGTTCAGCAAATATCAAACGACTGATCCAAGTACCAGAACTGTGAGGGTTAAATGTTGGATATCTGACCTCCAACTAGACCAACCATCCGGATCATTTCCTTGAAGTAATAATCATCATAATGATCATTTTGCACTGAAGACGTGGTCGTTCTTCTGCCTAAGCATTTCGGTCTGATTGCATTTCCATGAAGTAATAATCATAAATGTTCTTCCTTGAGCTGCGAAACTCCGCTGCACTCGGTGATCAACTCCTCAGGGCTCCCCCACGAACAAGCTGCTGCTGGAGGAGAGTAGGTGAGTTGTGTTTAATCTCTTTACTAAGGAAATTAGGCAAAACTTTAAAGATGTTTGATGGCTAGTACTATGGCTGGGATCCTAAATGTACTGTTGATGAAGTTAGATGCTGTTCTGAGCATTATTTGTGGCTACAGAGTGGCTTTCGGTTGAGGTTTGCGCACGGAGATGTAGACCGCTGTGTATTGCTATCATGTGGTCATTGAAGTTGGTATAACTAGATAAGCAAGCAGTCAGCAACATTCAACTCTCAAGGGTTGTCTAATCCGGTGTTACGGTGTGTTTGACCATAACTTAAATTTACGCTGGAATATCCCTTTAACACATCTAGGAGAATTTCACTTCATATAAATATCAAATTATCAAGCAAACTGGATCCAGGTTATCAGAAATGTGCAAATTTTCAAGTTCAAACTGCTTCCATACAAGTTTCAGAGCTGATTCTTATGAGCTAAAGCAAAGTAGTTCAGCCTTTATGAATCAGTCCAAAGCCATGAAGGACAATTTCCACACTCACATGCAAACACACACACACTCTCTCTATCTCTCTGAACTCACATACACGATTTTAAGCTGCTGTGACGGCAGCGTGTGAAGGCAGCCAGAGGTTTCATAACAGGATCAGAAACATCAGCGCTAACACTAACTGAGGAGCAGCAGATCACAGCACCACTGAGCTGAAGCTGCAAATAATGAGATAATTATATAATATGACTGTGACTCTGTTCATCTTCATCACTCAAAACCACAATATTCAGACCTTTATCTTCAGGTTAAAAGGATTTGATACTGTTAACTTAAATCCTCTTGTTCTCTCCCGCTGAGCGGCTGGAATCTAGACACAGAGGAATTTTTTCATCATTTTATTTATGAGAGGGGTTTGAACAAACATCCAGTCTGGAGGTCAGAGTCTGATGGTTTAAATCCTTTTAGTAATGTTCAAAGCTACCCACTGAGATGAGACTGCCTTTTAAAAGGATCCAACGTTCGGACATTCAAAGAGAGGAGGAAAAAAGACACAATCTGGACTTCCTGGTACTGGTTAAAAAAAAAGTACAACACTCATGAGCTACAAGGCTTGATGAATTCATTAATTACTGAATCTATCAACAGAGTTTTGAGTAGCACACAAACACCATGATAATAAAAGTATCTGCAATGTGAGGATTTGAATCAATAGCCAGACTCTTTTTGTGTTTTGGATCGTTCTGCCACACATAAAGGGATACAAACACTGTCCTTCGCCGAGCATGCCAGAGAGAGAAGTCATCCAATACCCCATCTGAAGTAATAGCTTCACTTTAAATAAAAATCAGCCTCACATGGGGGTAAAAGCCTTTGAGAGTGCGGTTTCAAAACACAAGACAGAGGTAAGATTACAGAAGAAAAGTACATCCAAAATACTTCTGATACTGAATACGTTAACACAGTTAAGTACCAAACAGACGGTGTGCTGAGGTGAGAGCTCTGAGGTGGAAAAATGATATATCTTTGGGCATGCATCCTCAGTGAAACATAATGTAGTGTCAGCACTTAGGGTGTGTTTATTTTCCCTTCCTGCCCCCCCCCCACTAGGACCAATATGTTGCTTTGTTCCTGCAGGAAGAAGCTGCAGCCTTCAGCAGGGCAGTCAGGTAACAAACCATCAGACTCAAGCAGGATTGCTGCTGTGATAACATGTTTACAGGACAAATTAAGAACTCCATATATCAGCACCCCATATGTGAAGCAACCTAAAGCCTATTTTTCATAGCTCCACACTCCTGAAATGGACAGGATTTTACCTGAAAGAGTGAAGTGTGGGAGCACAATTGACTACATGGCATACACAAAATCTGAACAGTTTACTCTCCTCCCACTTTGAAGCCTGTTTACTGACAAACAGAGCAGATATCTGGCTAGAGCAAGTAATTGCAAACTGCTTGAGAAACATGACACATAAATCAGACACCAATAAAACGCCAAAGTCCCCCCCAGGTTGGCACAGTCCACACAGAGCAGATTTTCAGAGTGAAGCAGACAATTACAGTTTTTGGAAAGTTCAGTGACTCTTATGTTTAGTGTTCATTTAATTCTCTTCATTCTTCCTCTACTTTGCTACTTTGACAAAAAAAAAATGCAGCAAGAACCTACACTAGCTAACAGAGCTGTCAATTTTAATGCAATATCCATCCCCACTTTGAGCATCTAATCACATTGAAAGTTAACAAATCAGCTTGCAAAACACTTTCATGATAGAAATACTTATCTGACCTGTATGTTATCTTATTATTTGAACCATATCCTGCATTTAGAACTGAAGATGCAGGCTTTATTACCTTTCGTGCAATCGGTCACAATGGGAGCTTTTAATATTCTTTAAATGGTTCAAACACAACTGAACACCTTTAACACATGAACTTAAAGAACTACTTGACAGTTTTACGGAATATAGGTCCTGGGAAAGGAGTCTATTGCTGCCTTTCAGTTGTTCAGTTTTCCGAGCTCCGAGTCGGAAATTCATCTGGAACGCACCCCTAGAGTCCGATTTCTGACTCAGAAAGTCGGACAATCCTCACCAACCCCGACTTGACCACAACATCATAATCCAAGATGGCAGCGCAGTGCATCAAAAGAGCATAACAGTAAAAGCTCCCGTGATGTATCATTTATTCGCATTTCTGTTTTGTTTTTGTGTAATTACTGTGAACACGGTGTTATGGTGTTTGTAAAAGTAAAATACTGTGTTGTGCATTGTTTACAACTGATATAGCTAACAACAACTAACAATGGCTAACGGCAACTGACAACGACAAACAACAGCTGACCACCGCTAACAATAGCTAACAACGGCTAATTGTCGTCATCCATCTGGTTTTTCAGACTTGTTAACTGGAACGCCGTCAACTCGGGTGTAACGTCATTCCCAGCTCCGACATCCAACTTCCGAGGTAACTGGAACATAGCAAAAGGCTCTTGAGCACCAATTCAACTTTTTACCACCTAAATGGCAGAAAAAAGTTAGGTTTAAAGGTTTGCATCCACATGAGCATGTCATCTGAATAATCTAGGGAACTTTCCAGAAACCTGTGCATGTTTGAAAAAGGCTCTGGGGTGTGGCGTCAGATGTAACAGCTGTAAGCAGGGAGGGAGTGTTTGCTGTGGGGTCACCAGCTGGGAGCAGGGGTGGCTGCACCCTGGATCTCAGTTCATTTTTTGAATGTTTAAAGAAGGTGTGATCAAATAATATTGCTCTCAATACAAAGTGTCCTCACACACACCTGCAACATCCAGCAGCAAATTTAAACCCTGGCCCAAATAAGAAAATACGATGCTAAACACCACTGTGATGGATCAGGTTCTAGCAGGGAAAGCCAATCAGATAGACGCGACACTGAGTTCACGGGCTGCTGTGCAGGTATGTGAATTGTTTTCGGATCAAAGTGAAAGTAAACACTGGATGATGGGAGAATTACACTGCCTCAGAGAACCATCAATAACATCCAGAATCTTGTGTACCTTCATTAATGTCATTTGTTACAGTATTGGTCAATATGTTTAACAAAGTGAGTCTGAAGTCGTGAGTCGGAAGTTTTGAGTTGTGAATGTTTTTCTTCGACAGCTTGAGTAATGAACAGCAGGGAGGATGAGGAGGATGAAGGTATGTGAACAGCTAAAGGCCTCAGCTGCTTGTTACTACGATGTTCTTCCTCTTCGCTTTGTCTCCATCACATGTCGAAGCTGCTGAGCCTCCTGACGACTCCTCCAACACGCCACGCCACCTCCTTTCAGCTCAGCTCTGCTCAGCTGGCCGCGGGCTCACAATCCTTTTGATCACTTTGGCTTGATGTTAGCCAACAGTGACGAGTGAAGACGGATGGACGGAGGGGTAAAATGGCGGATGGAGGAGCTGGATGAAGTCTGACTGGTGAAGTTTTACAGTTGGCCAGTGCAGAGGAGTCATGAGGAAGGGAGTGAGTTCACGGTACACTGGGCTCAGGAGGGTTTCAGATCCTGCGGGGCAGCAGACTGATACCTGGGGCTAATAGTTAGCTCTCACAGAGAGACAGTAAGATTACAGTCACACAATGTAAATGAATGAGATGTTTTGTTCCTGAGCTCGCATGAAAATATTTATCACTCAATCGAACATTTTGTGGACCAAAGAGCCAATCAGGAGTGTTTTGGTTGATGAGAAAGCAATTCAACCAACAGTCTTACGTAACAATATATACACAGCTGGAAAGACTTACTTTTATCAAAAAAGGTGAACATTTGTTTAAATCTTTAATTAACTTGAGATACTTATCTGTGTAAAACAACAATACAGTGATGGGATAGATATTTTTTTTAACCTTGAAGTCACTTTGATTTCTTTTCTTGCCTAAAACTGTCAATAGAGAAGTTTGTGTAGTCGAGCTGTTGTCTTGTGCCATCACGAGTGTACTGTTGGGACAATGTTTTCTGCTGTTGCCGAGTTATTGACTTTATTCATGATGTCACACAGACACACAAAGCACAAGTGGGCCTCTGTGCTGGGAATGACGTGTTTATCTAAAGATGCAGTTCAGTGACTTATGGTCATAGACTGTATGGGAAACCTTTTTCCACCTTCCGTCATTATACGAATTTGAAGCTGAATTGCTCTCAGTATTTCAAGGATTTTCTCCATTTCCTGGAACCACCGCTTGCACAGTAGCATTACACTCAGTCAGCGGAAGAGTCACTTTAATGACGCTCTGCTCAAACAGCGTATCCCCCGGGTGAGCAACGCAATCTTTGTACGCTCATAGGCTGTATCAAGTGTCAATCATAGAAAACATGAACCCCCTAATAACTTTTAAAAATTGAGCTGTACAGAAAACAGAGGACTTGAGCACAAACCAGTCTTACAATAACTACATGTCAACATCGCAAGCAGGGGGGAGAAAAATTTATATTCTGTGTAATTAATTTCTAAAGTTTGTTCACAACTCCATAGGGATTGCTGGAGGAGGCGGGATTTATGATCTATACTGCAGCCTGCCACCAGGGGGTGCTGTTCCCATCATGGCTTCACCCAGCAGACTGCATCCATTCTATATACAGTCTAGGCTTGTGATAAACTAAGGGCCACAGAACTGGTACAGAAGACAGAAATGATCACCATTTGAATCCTGTTTGATGTTCTTACAGGGTTTAAATATAGTTGATCATAAAATTCACAATTTAAGGTGAACTTTTAATACCCCATTTCCAGTTTTTCATCCATCTTGCTCACCCCCAAAAATTAATTTACCGTACAAACCTTGAGGTTTGAATAAAAAGGTAGATGACCTTCACACTTAGAGAATGACATTTTAAAAATCATGCAGCCTGAGACTTAGCAATGCAAATCAGTAATGACATCTACATGCTCTTAAAAAATGACTAATTGCATTAGTCTGATTAAAAATGGACTTAAAACCATGGAAACACATTAGTCTGACTTAAATCGCACTGAATTGAACTTCTCATAGTCAGACTTACATACCTGGATAATGGGTTTGGGGATTGATTGATGTGTAGGGCTCAATTTAACTGAAACTCGCTCAAGTGTTTTAGACATGTATCAGTGTTCACACGCCAGGCTCTGAGCCAGACATTAACTAGCATGACCACATTATGTTCTACATGTGCCCCTTCAGCCATGTAGTACACGACATGAGCATGTCTACGCTAAAAAGAGGATGGACTTTTTACTCGAACTGGGCAAAGTCAAGTCTATTTGAATTTTGTTTGACTGAAAAATATTTCCTATTTCACAAGCAGTTAAATCCTAACAAGTTCAGGAGTGCAGTGCAGGTGTCTGAAAAAGCAGTTTTACTGACATGGCATACTTTGCTGTTCTTTAACTTCAATCTGACTATAAAGATGAGTGTATGCTGTGACCTCTGACCTCTGTCTGTGAGTAATATTGTTGCTGAGTTCAGTGTAAGACTCGATAAGCTTCAGTTAAACGCTGTAATGATTGTTTCCTCCTCTGCCTCAGTCTGTCATTTCAGCAGCTCCACCCCACAGGGTTAATGAGTCAGCCTCCATTTCAAATTTTCTACCAACACCGGTAATTACTGCTCCCACACACACACACACAAACACACACTTATATACACACTAATACACACACACACACACAAGCTATCTCAGCTCCTTTTGTTGCGGCTGGCAGAAGAAGACAATACACACCTCCCCACCTCCTCCCTCAGAAGACGATGAGTCATGAATGAGTGTGATGTGCAGTCTGGGAGGTGCTGCGGGCCGATCAGCTCCTGGAGCTGCACACGCTCATTACAGGCTCACAACGGATACAGAGGAGTTGATCAGACTGGTACTTTTGTGTGAGTGTGAGATGGATGGTGGAGTCGTCTGTCTGACTGCGGTTCACCAGACAGAGAAGGACTGAATGACTGTCTGGTTCAAAGGCACTGTGGTGGAACTGCAGTTCAAAGAGATTTGTGAGGCTCGGGGCTTCAGTCTGCAGAACAAGCATGCTGACCGTGATGGCATTGAAAAGAAAGTCAATGTTATTATCCACATTAATGCTTTCTTACACAAAGGGTGTGTTTTTTGGGGGACAATTAGTACAGACATTGTTTATGTCAAGAGTCTGCAGTCATGCTCTGTGAAGCTGAACTTTAGCTCCGCTTTGCTTAGAGCTGAGTGCTAATGTCAGCATGCTAACAGGAGGTTCAGAAGGTTCAGTGTTTACTACAGCGTTCCCTGTCTTATTTTAGTGCGTTTGCGCAAATTCTAATCCACCCGATGTTGATTGAAGTCAGCTGTGGAGAAACTCCTCGAGGATCCCTTCACTACCTTTACTCTGCTGCTCAGAGAGTGACTCTGTACTTTCACTGGCTGAGCTGGGAATCTAAACTCATATTTAATTTACATTTCATGTTGGCACACGTTGAAAGAAAAGCATCTGCTAACACTGCAGCTGCTGTGATTTAAGATACTGAGTCATCAGAAAATGAGTTGGGTAACCTCGCTCAGAAATAAATGTCACATTCTTTCAAAGAACTGTGTTACCAACAATTTTTTTATGTGACACTGGTAGGTACTACTGCTGCTTTTTGAAAAGCTCCTCTCTTTATTTAAGATAAGAACTTCATTGATCCGCAAAGAAAAATTCAATATTTACTACTACTAACCCTAATCTTCTATTTGAATTATCAGGAAAAGGTAAAAAAATAAATAAAAAAGTAAAAATCCAACTAACTTGCTAGTCTAAAGGGAAATATAACTCATTAAATTGATCAAAACTGATAAATATTATAAACATACAAGACAATAAAGGCAGTTTGGCAAAGCTAGCATCACCAGCCTTTTGTTTGCCTTTATGCCACTTGAAGCAGACACAACCTACATACAACTGTATCCCCATTCTCGAGATACAATACTGCCAAACTCTTCAACACTACAAGATGTCATCTGTTCTTGATAACACTCAAGTAGAGGAGCTTAATAGCAATGAAGCAATAGTCATCAACTGGGGCGACAGACCCAGCAGCAGGGGGGGTCATTCTATGATCAATTTCACCAACAGCCTCAATATGATCCTTCAATGTCTATCACTCAAGAGATTTTTCTCTTCCAGCCAAAATTTCCTCAAAGGTCTCCACTTCAAACCCAGAGATTAAAGCTCAAGCAAAGAACTTTTAGCATCAATTTTTAAGGACCTGTGGACAAAACAGTTCACCCTGGCAACTTGTTGATCTTGTCTAGTAGATACACAAGTTGTATTTTCTGATGATAATTGTAATCCTGCATAAAAACATACAACTTATTGTGAATCTTCACTTTGGCCATGACAGCATTTCCCTTTTCTAACTTACCAGTTGGCAGTGGTTACAGACATTAAATAAACAGCTGAGTAGAAAAAAATGATCTCAATTTTTAAATCCTGTTTGCTTTTGGAGATCATATAGATGCACTGGTAATAATTTCAGTCCATTTTAAAGCCAACAGAAAATAACTCACAGGAGCTTTAAAAACAATTTTAAAAACAGACAAAAAAGGAAATGACTGAAGCAATTTCATGCAAGAATCAGTGTCCTTTTTTTTCCCCAAGACTATTCGTGGGGCTGTTGGGACCTTGAACCACACTGACACCTGAAAATAATCTGTGTAATAGCGGCACACGTCATCTTTGTCTGTACACGTTATTTCAACAAGCTCACCATCATTTCTAAGTCTGTGAAGGGTCTCAGCAGGTTCCTTCTGCATCAGGTACACTGACTGCCAAAGGTCAGGTCATGTTAACAGCTCAACACTTACTACAGAGGTCAAAGGTCAGAGAGACAGGTGGTGTACTTACATGTGTAATGTGACAGTGTGTGTTTTGTACACAGGTCTGTGTGTTACCTGCAGGGCACTGTTCAGGAAGCAGCTGTTCTGTCCCGGCTCGTTGCTCAGCCCTTTACTGGGAGCGATGGACGTCATGGTGCGAGGCGTCAACATCCCAACACCCCCAACACCGCCACTGCCTCCACCAGCTCCGCTTCCCACTACGCCTGATGCAAAGTAGTTCCTCTTCCACGACATAATCCCGTCTTTCTCTCTCTCGTTCTCTCTCACGTCCTTTGCGTCTCTCAGCCTCTCTCCCTCCAGGAGTCAACTTCCTGTCGTTCGTCCTCGTATTGAAGTAGACAGAGCCATTTCCTCCAGCCCAGAGGAGGATGAAAGTCAAAAGGTGATGAAAACTCCCCACAAAAGACAGAAAAATACTCAGCACGTTTGTGCAGAAAAACAGACGGGCATTTCTCAAGATGTAAAATAAGATGTGGAACAATGTGAGTTCTTTTAGTTAAAACTTGAAAGGCTGAATGATTTTTGACTGGATCCAATTCTTGGTTCCACAATTTTTGATTTAAAAATTCAATGAAATGTTCAAGGACATCCCAGGTACAGTCTTTGAAATTTTAAAAGGTTGTCAGTCTTCCACTGTGAGCTTAGAATTTTTTTATATCCTCTCGCTAAGATATTACAAGTTTTAAAATGACAAATTTTAAAGATTCAAAAATCTTTATCACTAAATTTTGAATGTTTCAAAAAATTTTCCTGCATTGTATTCCAAGACTTCCAAGGACTAATCCTTCTCGTGTCCACGTGGTGTAGGTGCAACGACCTTTGCTCTCCTTTCACACACCGACACGTGCACCTGAGTTGTCTCTGCACCTCATCCTCCTTTTCATTGTCACAGCCACACCTCAGAACAGCAGCTAACAGCAAAGGTCTCCACACAGACAGGCCAGCAGAGGGGGTCACAGCTCGGGGGGGGTCAGAGGTCAGAGACTGGCAGACAGCAGTTCAGCTCAGCAGTCATTGAGGGCGGAGCTGCAGAAGAAGAAAATCAACATTAGAGTCTTGGAGTCGTGGAGCTTTCACCTGATTTTACTACAACAATATCTAGACTCATTATTTGTTATTCATGGAGTTCGTTCTTTAAGCTGTTTTGATCAAATGTTTAAAGATTTTTCTGGTTGTAACCAAAATCAGTGAACATGTAAAATCAAAACAACCACAAAGATATACTGTAAAACCTTTTAAATAGGCATGAGAGCAACCAGAGACATACCTTAAGCTCATTTAAGACGACAAAAACCAGAGTAGTTGTCTAGCATTGCTTTAAAGGGATATTCCGGCATAAAATTAAGTTGGAGTCAAACACATCGTAACACCGAGTTAGACACCCCGTCGAGAGATGTTGCCGACTGCTTGCTTCTCTAGTTATACCAACTTTAGTAAAGACTGCATCTATGGATCCATGTGCACACCTCAACCAAAAAGCCACTCTATAGCCACAAATAAATCTCAGAACTGCGCCTAAATTCATCAGCGGTATATATAAGATCCCAGCTATAGCACGAGCTACCAAATATTTTTTTACCCACTCTCTTCCAGCGTCCGCTCATTTGTGGGGGGAGCCCTGACAAGTTGATTACAGAGTGCAGCGGGGTTACGCAGCTCAAGAAGAACATTCATGATCATTACTTCATGGAAATGTAATCGGACCAAGACGCTTAGGCAGAGAACTACTGCAGCTGCAGCGCAAAATGATTATTATGATGATTATTACGTCAAGGAAATGACGAAGTAGTGATTATACATGTTCTTTCTTGAGTTGTGTAACCCCACTGCACGCGGTGATCGACTCATCAGGGCTCCCCCATAAACGAGTGCTGGAGAAGAGTGGGTGAGTTTTGTTTAGTCTCTTTGCTCAAGGAACCAGGCAAAGCTAAAAAGGATGTTTGGTGGCTTGTACTATGACTGGGACCCTATATGTACTGTTGATGAACATATAGTTGATGGCGTTTTGGTTGAGGTGTGTGTGGAAACATAGACCACTGTATTTGCTATCATGTGGTTGTTACTGAAGTTGATATAACTAGAGAAACAAGCGGTCGACAACATTCATCTCTCGAGGGGGTGTTACAGTGTATTTGACCCTAACTTAATTTTACGCGGTAATATCTCTTTAAGTCCAGGCTACCTCCTCTTTGAAGGCTAGAGGAGGTGTCAAGAGCCAAACTGTTATAGTCCCTTTGTGCTTGAACCCAAAATCAGTAGCAGTGAACTAAAGGGTGTATAAATAGTTGAAAGGAAACAATAATTTTTTTTACTGTAAGTTTCTACTTAAACGGAGATTTGCCCGTCTGATGCCAGTCTAAAACAGGACCAGTGAGAACGTTTCATTCCCACCCAGGATATAAACTAATTAACGTGAAAAACAAAGATCAGAAACCGGCTTTGTTTGGATGCACTGAAAGAACAATAAGAAACACGGGAGAAGAAATGAAAAAACAGTGAATTCCAGACAGAGTGTGCATTTCTCAGAAAAAGCAGCACAGATAATAACTGCATTTAAGGCTTTAAATCTCCTCTAAGACCTCACTTTGAGATAATTTCAGGGTTTCTGCAGACTGAGAAATGACTGAGGCAAACACAAGACTGAACTCACACTGACAGACAGACAGAAGCATTTGCAGCCTGTTTTTATCTCCTCCCTTACTTTGTGTGGACCTCACTCTCTCCCTGTCGCACTGGTAATTATTACTGTCTTGTCTTTTTGTCCTTAAAAACTCCACACAGGGCTTTTTCTAACAAATTACACAACAAAGACAATGTGATTGAGATTTTTAAAAAATCACAAACAGACAATACAGGAAACACAGAAAGTACAGGAGTGAAAAAATCCTTTTTCTTCTGCTGGGCTGTTTTATCCTGTCTGTGATGATACTGTGTGATACTGTGATACTGTGTCAAAAATGTCATTTATTTTAATGATACAAGCGCCATTTTTAAGTATGTTAATGCAGCTTCTTTCTAGAGTCAAAACTGATGTTAATGTTTGCATTAGAAAGCTCACGGTGAGGCAGTCATCTGATCAACTTGCCTTCCTCTAGTTTTAGTTATTTAATTTATTTATTGAATTCATTATTTATTGAATTTCCCTTCAGGGGTAAATAAAGTTCCTCTTATTCTTAGTCTGATGTCTGCTAGTAACAGCGATGTCGAGTGGGTGTGCTCCCTTGCATCTCCTTGTGTCTGTCTGGAGCTTTGATTCCAGCTCGGTGTAGGAATGATTAGTTGGTTTCGCTCTGACCGAGCACAGCGGGAACTAATACCTGCATTATACCAGTCCTACCTGCAGAAGGGTGTGTTTTGACAAGCGGAAAATCAAAGTTCAAGTTAAAAACTGACACCAATTGTTAGTAGTTCATGAGACTGATAACTAACATTTGAAACTGGTATGCATTAAAAGTAAAAACTACAAACTTTTGGTCAAATTTATTACTTAGAGTTCAAGAAACTCCAAGACAAATTTTGCTTGAATGCTTTTAGCAAACTGAATCAAAACTGAAACATTCAACATCATAACCACCCTGTTCAGAGGCATGGTCCATGTCTCTGGCTCTCCCAAACTGTCCTATCAAATAGAGGCACTAAGCCTCCCAAAAATATAAAATAAAATAAAAAACATATTCAAATTAAGATGAAAAAAAGCAGGGTCAAATAAAATTCAGCAACTGCGTGTGCTTTGAAACGTAAGCGTATGCGCTAAGATTAGGGGTGCGTCACTCCAGGGAGCAGTTGTTTACTACAGGAGGGATCAGCTGACAGGACCCCCCCACAAACACACACAGTTTCCCAGACAGTATTTAACTGCAGTTGATCACTCTCTGACTCAGGCAGTAAAAGTTGGCTGACCTCAGGTCTGCGACATTTGCTTAAGTCTGTAAACAAACAGACTCATTAGGTTTGAATCCAAAAGCAGAGTGTCTCAAAGCACATTAAACGAGTGATGCAGGATATACTATGTATGAACAAATTTGAAAAGATTTGAGACAAATGTATCCTTAAAACCTTTCAATGCAGAAGCCTCAAAACAACAACAACAAAGGGAAAACAAACCTCCTGTGTGTCAGAAATCCCATGATGCTGAGCAAACATTCAGAGAAGTCAAACAGTCCCAGCTTTTCAAAGTGATGTGTTTAAAGCTTTCAGAAGTGTTTTTTTCATTGAAGCACTGGGATTTTGTCTCATTTTAGCGCTAGAGTAAATAAGTAAGTATTCATAAATGAATCAACGGACTCCACATGAGTAACAGAGAGAGGACAGAAAACACGGATGTCTGTCACGTTTAACTGTCCCAACGTTACATCTGCCTGTGTCTGTCCTGTCCAGACTCCAGCTACAGGGAGGTAAAGTGGCGGTCAGAGTAGAGTGAGGTGACGGGGGATTAGCCTGATCAGACTGTGTCTGTCTGCACGGGATTAGACTGTCTGTGTGGGTGTGTGTGAGAGTGTGTGTGTGTGTGTTCAGCGTGAGAAATGATGAATGGTAGAGGGAGGTAAACACCACAGTGCTCCCAGAAGACAAGTCATCATCTTTCAAGTCATATTCCCTTTATTCAAATTTTAATGTGTTTACTTTGTTCAAGTCTTCTTCTTCTTTGTGAGTGAATAAACAAGCAACAACAAATTAGGGGTGCAACGATCACAATTTTCTGGCTTGTCACAGTTCACTGATCACTAAAAAGCCTGAACCACTGATACCAATTTTTTTTATAACTGATGGCATACACCTATAATGTTCTGATCTTATTTTGACTGATTTCGACCTGACATAAATTAAAAACTGCGAACCTTTGCTCTTTTACTTTAACTGTGTCATACTGCCAAACAGACAACGTGCTTGGTTGACCGTGCTCCGGGTGACTTGTTTACTTGTGCAGCTGACGCATGCGTGAGTGCACTTGTGACCTGGTGGGCGGGCCTGTCAGTCTGGCAGAACAAAAAGCTACGATGGTTGCCTTTCAGACCTTTCCAGAGGTTGATAAAATCGGTGGACAAGATCAGTTTTATGTGTAAGGATCGGCCGATCACTGATCCCCCAAAATTAAGGAAATCAGCACTGATCGATCAGATCAATCAGTGCATGTTTACAACAAATCAGTCACTTGAAATTAAGTTAGGGCTGACCCCTGAAAGTTTAAATATTTAGAAATAACTGGACAGATCCCTTTCACTGAGCAATAGACA